GACGGAAGTTCCGAACCATGTGCAGTTGCGTCATGATAAATGACCTGCTTTAAAATAATAATGCGTACCGATAAATAGACCTATTTTACAGCCAAGTCGTTATTCATGGTGACCAAATTGTTCCTTGTAATAAAAGAGGCTACAGTTTGAAAACAATTGAAAGAATTTTCGTTCTTCCACTTAAATTGATGACTCTGTTACACCCCAACTGTGGCACTGCGCTAACTGTGATGGTTCATCCACAGTTGGGTACTGGGTAGTCCCAAGGGCGGATCCAGAACACAATTTTGGGGGGGGCCAAAAAAAAATTTGGTCCCCCCAAAAAAAGTGAGTCTCAAAAATTACGGCGTGGGGTTCGGGGCCCGTGAGGGCCCCGAAAATTTTTTGGATTCTAGATGCTCTGTGGTGCGATCTGAGGCAATTTCTGACCACTTTAACCAATTTTTTTTGAGGAAAAGATGGTGGTGTACTCATTGCCTGCCTTTATTGCAATGTCACATTAAAAAAAAAAAAAAATTGGTTTCGTTTTGGGGGGGGGGGGGGGGGCCATGGCCCCCTTTGGCCCCCCCCTGGATCCGCCCTTGGTAGTCCTATTACTTTAGTTTGATCATTATAGTTGGGCATGTATAACAATAGCCAAACTATAGTTGGGACTACCAAATATGAGCCATAGTTGGCACAGTTGCCACAGTTGGGGTGTAACAACTCGGCCATAATAATCCTCATCAATGACAATTGGCTCATCGAGAGCCTTACATGCACATGCCTACAACGTTTTGTTATCATGTAAAGTCGGCTCAAGCAGTCAGTCTGTGCTTGAGTTGAGGATACATGGCGAGATAGCCCTTTAAGGCAGGGATTATACCCTCGTATTGTATCCAGGGATCATTGCAACTTCGTTTTCGGCGGTCGTAAATTTTCTGTCAAAAGTTGACTCATACTTTGTGAATCGTGGCCAGGTGTCAATTAATTTCTTAGTACAGTTTGACCTCAGTGGATTCGGCATTTGGAAGTCTCGAGGCAAAGACAATGACGCACTTAGAATTATCTGCGAAAATCCTATAATTCTGGATAATACTTGTAATATTGAAGGAAATGAGGCACTTAAAAAAAAGAAGAAGTTAAAATGCAACAAACGGGAAACGTCGAGCTGAGATTCACATGCACAGATTCCAAGGGCGGATCCAGAACACAATTTTAGGGGGGGCCAAAAAAAATGTTGGTCCCCCAAAAAGTGGGTCCAAAAAATTACGGCGTGGGGTTCGGGGCCCGCTTAAGGGCCCCAAAAAATTTTTGGATTCTAGATGCTCTGTGGTGCGATCTGAGGCAATTTCTGACCACTTTAACCAATGTTTTTTTGAGGAAAAGATGGTGGTGTACTCATTGCCTGCCTTTATTGCGATGTCACATAAAAAAAAAAAAAATTGGTTTCGTTTTGGGGGGGGGGGGGCCATGGCCCCCTTTGGCCCCCCCCCTGGATCCGCCCTTGACAGATTCAAGGAACAGCTGAACAGCTAAATTATATTTTCTCGATATAACGGCCTATAACGTTTCAGTGGATTTACTGGAAACTTTTCAGATACACTGAAAATGACGTGTCATGCTAAACAATTTCTCACAACCGATCGTATATAGGCCCACGTGTGTAATTGCTGGAGACAATGAATGAATAATGATCTGGAATGATCAATACACAAAACTGTACCGGACGCGTTCTCATGCCAACAGTCGCATTATTGTCTGGATCACATCCTACCTAGCGGATAACAAGAGTTGACTTGCCCCAGTGGGGATTCCCCATTTGCTCTGGTTCGGATGGAATTTTGAAATATCATTTGCAATCTTTCTACATAGTGTGTCAACTACATAGTGTACGTGTCAACCGCGCCCACCAACTTGAAGCGTAATTTTGATTGTTGCGTAAACGTGTTGTTGGAACAATCACCTGCTCTGCGTAACGCAAAAAGAAATTGCCGGGAAAAATGCCAAGTTTCCCTTTTCCAAGTGCATCCTACATATCGTGTAGCCTACAGTAGTTAAATGAAACGGTGAATTGTGATAGATGTGGGGGATGACTTCGACTATTCTGGAATATGGATTTGAAAGAGATGTCTAGGCCTGGATGCTATAGAGACAGTAAAACAAACATGGTCTACTCGTGTCTTGTGTTTAAATAATGTTTTAATTGAGGATACTGCTACCTCGTTCCCATGGCGTCGAGTCGTACTCTAACACTAATTTCTAGAAGTTGATACCCGGGAACAAGGTTGAGGGTAAACCGTCCCCCCCCCCCCCTTGTCAATAGGTGTTTACAACTGGTTGCAAAGGTTATGTGAAGGATTGTATGGTAAATAAGTGTAATTATATGCTTGGAGTGTATTTTTTCCAGTTTATGCCATGTTGGATTCTTTCGGGATTTGCTGCAGTTTTAACGTGTGCAGTTTTCACGTATATGCAGTTTTCATGTGTGCAGAGCCACGCTCGTTAAGTTCTGACATAACACGCAAAATTAATGTAAATATTATGTGACCCTGCACGCCAGCCAGTCGGAGTCGACTTTAGAAACTGTGACGTCATTTCGATCAGGAATTTGGACCGCAAGCTTTCGATTGGTCGATTTGGCTGTCATGTTTTTGTAACACAACGGGTTACCGAAGACCCGATATAAAAGAAGGCGCTCACTGAATGGTCAGAATAATCGAGGTCAAGGCGCAGTCTTGTTTTGCAATTGCCGAATCTGCTCGCTTTATCGTAGACCCTAGCTGTGCAAGGGGATATTCCATAGTATAAGTGGATCTGGAAAAAAAACACTTTATCCGACGTTTTGTCGTCTTCAGTGGAATATTACCCCTTTTTTCGGGGAAAATCAGGTTCCGTTGCTGTAAATCCTCGTCAGGCTGAAAATGGTCTTAAAATGGGGCATTTTCTGCGAAAAGGTTTTGTCGGGATTTTGAACTCAAGCAAACTTTGACGTTTCTACTGGCAGCCCCGCTGTGTCCGGACATAATCATGATAACAGGGATCCATGTGTACAAGACCTCCGGAATTGCCCGCAACATTTACCGTATACTCATCGGGGTTTTCCGGGTCATCGACCAGATTTTTCCCCTTAAAAATATCTGCTGGCAAACCGCAAGTTTCAACCGGAACTTGTTGCTCTTGCAATTAAGAAACTTCCTTTTCACCGTCAATTTTATTTTTAGTTGACCGGTTGCCGGCTTTTAGGGCTGATTTTTTTTGCTGACTGCATGACATAGTTGGGACCAATTTTTCGATCATGTTGTTCTCTGAGAGAGACAGGCTATAAGTATAATTATTATTGCATCTCAGGACAAGTCTTTGCAGGGGATCGAAGCACATTATGGGTACGGGTCCTTATTGTAGAAGGCAATATGTTTGGTAACAACAAACAACACTAATAAAGCACACTAGTCCTCAATAAGCCATTTGCGAGTAACCTATACCCTTTGGGATTTACATTTGAAAAACGTCTGGTACAATGACTTGCTCAGAATGCTTGGCACATTTTAACTGTGAATTCTCCAGACCAAAGACACTGTTGCTAATCACATGATTCGGGGCAAACCTTGCATAGTTACGTAAGAGACGCTCAGCACCAATACATCGTTCACAATGGGTGAGAATGGCACAAAGACACCAGACAATGCCGGAGCTGGGGGTTGCTAGCATAAGGCTTGCCCCGAATCACGTGATATAGTAACAGTCTCTTTGGTCGGGAAAATGCTACGTTAAAACGTGCAAAGCATTGTATTAAGTCAGCGTTCCAGATTTTATTCAAATTTAACACGCAAATGGCTTATTTGAGCGAGTATATCTGGGCACGGGTCTCGGGCAGGGGGTGGGGCTAATTAATTATAATTCACCAGAGCATGCTGTAGTGGTGGGGTAGTGGGTCCGGAAGGAGGGGCTGGGGAAGGTGATAGGTGGTAATTGGGTGAAGCTTTGGTCGGCGAAAATTTCGTCATCTCTGACAAGACTTTTATTCAAAACGGTCGCTTTTGGGCTATGGTTTTGATACGCATGCCTCCTACCAAACTAGGTTGCACTAACTCAGTGCACCTGAAATCGGGTCATCAAATCTGAACAGTTTGGCCATTACTTTGGTTTGAGTTTTGGACACCCATAGCATAGCCTGCGGTGTGTGGGACGCACGTCTTTATAGCGCATACAAGTACAGCGCGTCCCAAAATACCCGCAACATTTTTGGGGGGCGAATTATAGCGTCGCCATGGAAACACGTACCGCCATTATTGTTATATTATTTTAAAGCTTGGAATCTTAACTTTATCCCTGGTAATTATTGGTTTGATTTTCAAAAAGGGTTTTGAAATTGTGTTCAAATAAAGGCATGTCGAACACAAACTCAACCGATTTCAAGGAAAATCAATCATGCGCATTTTTTTTCTAATGTGGAAATTTCTCATCATGTTCATGATGTGACGATCTCATTGCCTTTTACTTTCTGTGTTTCCTTTTCTTTTGGATCCCAATTTTGTTCTTCGTTTCAAGTTTAATGTGTTTTTAATATCAATCAACTGTTTTTTTTTTGGTTCTTTGGGGGGGGGGGAGTTAATATTTCAATAGCTTATTGACTTGAGTTTGCAGGTATACCGCGCGCATCATATTTTCCTTGAAATCGGTTGAGTTTGTTTTCGACATGCCTTGATTTGAACGCAAGTAATTTTTAAACTCTTTTAAATATCAACCCAATATTTGCTAGGGATAAAGTTAAGATTCCAAGATTTAAAATGGTGTAACAAATAACGACGGTACGGTATGTGTCACCGCGCCGACGATAGAGCCCCGCAAAAAAAGTTGTGGCTATTTTGAGACGCGCTGTAGATCAAAGACCGCGTTATTAGTTGGTTGTAATTTACTTTTGTGCTAGTTTATTGTACAGAAATGTAATTCAGATTTACCTTTCTTCCCCCTTTTTCATTTAAGTAAGTAATCATTTGATTTTTAAATCTTTGTTACAGATAATAGTTGTTGCGTGTATCGCCAATCCATCAAGTAAGTAAAAAATCTCATAACAGTGCCAGTGGAATATCGACTTAACTGATTTGTGTTGCTTATAATATCTTTGCCAAAAGGCAACGATAGTTTCGAAACTGACTGCGATTTTTGGCCAAGGACGCTTTTAAAAACGAAAGTACATTGTATATTTACATATACAACGGAAAAGCTAAGAAAATAAACAAGGATATCAACATACTGCAACGTTTCATGTTGCCCCTCACACTAAAACTAAATGGAAAAGGTTTCACACATCTGTTTGGTAAAATACGTGTGAAACAAAGGGCAAGCAATTGAAATAACTTTCCAAATCGCCACATAAACATAATATAGTACTTTCTCTTTGGTCTCTTGTAACTTTTAATCCACTTCCGTTCTATTCCCCGTCAACTTCAACATCATCCTCGCCGACGCCCCTCCCTATTAAAAACGAACGTTACGACTGCCGACACAGCGCCCTCTGTCATCGGTCATTCCACAACAACACAAGTGTTGACAGCTGCACTTCAACATGGAATCGCAGCTAGTCCAAGCTCCTCCATACCAGAAGTTGTAATTCCTGAAACTCCCCAAGCCGAAAGAACCAATGTGTCTGAAAGCCGGACAAACGTCTTGACATCTACCGAAACTTATCTGCCTACTGGTCCGGAGAATGGAGCCCAAGCATCGGCCACGGCGGGCAGAACGCCGAGTGATGTACCGCCGCCGGAGCCCGCGTCTACAACGGGAATGGCATCAGGCGTTTACAGAACATCATACCGTAAAACAAGTTTTTCTCCCCCTCTAGTCCCTTACACAGAATACTTTTCGTCCCAACTGAATCATTAAATGAACATATGAAAAAAAAATTGTTGCAATCTGACGCCACGTCCGCGATTGTGTACAAAGTTTGTGGAGAGTTAAGAAAGTTTCTAAGTATTTCCTAACAAAATTGGAAATGTTTCTCAGACTCGGTCCCAGATCCGGAAAGAATTCCATACTGGGCCACCACTCAGACCTCCTGCACTAAGTCTATGGGCCATGACAGAAAAAATAAAGATTTTCAGAATTTTTGCACTCCATAAATAGTGTTTCTTCATCATATTTACAACTTTTGGTACGTTTCAGGTCATATTAGGGAATAACTCTTGCCATAGATTAATGTCTCAGAGTCTTATCCCTTATGAGTTTTGCAATGACCATTTTGGAAGGAAAAAAAGGGCCTCCTCCTTCCTTTTTTTCAAAAAGCAGGACGCTAAACATATGTTTTTAACTTGGCCTTAGTTCGTTAAGATATTAGCCTAGGCCTGTATACTACTTTAGCTAGCCCCACTTGTGTGGCCTCCATATTGCTGCGCTGTACGTTAGGCCACACGTGGTTTTCCAACCTACTGAGGAGTTTAATCCAAACACTGGCGCACCCTTTTTTGATATTTTTTTTACACACCACTGTATATGGTTGTAATTCTATGATTTCTCATCTTTTGACCTCCGGGTAGATTAGGTACGTCTTTCTTCAAATTTTTTGAGAAATTTAGACATCTTTCTGGAGTACATATGCGCCAGTTTCGGACTAAACTCCTCAGTAGGTTGGGAAACCAGACGTGTGGCCTAACGTACAGCATACATGTAGCAATACGGAGGCCACACAAGTGGGGCTAGCCTGTATACATGATATAATTTCACAACCGAGAGAATGTACACAAGGCAAAGACAAAAAAAGTTGGTCGTCCGTTTTTTTCCAAAAGGAGGAGGATGCGCGTCTTTTATTTTTTGTTTTTAATATTTTTTTCTAAGATTGCCGCCAAGTATTTCAAATCAAAATGGCCACCAATTTCGGTTCAAAAAGACCGACAGCTTTTAATTAGCCATCCTAATAATAGTAAGTAGAGTCAAAATATTCATGTTAAAGTTAGCTTTTTGAGATGAGGGTGAAAAAAAAAAAAAAAAAAAGGATGCGGCTTAAAAAAAAAAAAAAAAAATTCCCAAAAAGGAAGCGGGCGAGGACTCTAAACGTGTTTTTATTTTATTTGGCCTAATAACCACATTTTGTATTCACATTTACAGCACTGCCTCGGCCTGTCATCAATGGTACGAGTGTGGACGTTACAGCCCATGGAGTCAGCCTATGTCTCGTCGAGCCTGTTGGTCCAGAGGGATCCATTAATTACTTCCTGATCACCGAGTCTTACCTTGACGGTACACGGACATGGAACCGCAGCCACGACCTGCTTAACAGCACAACGGTGTGCGTTCGCAAGCAGGATCTGGTTGCTGGCGTACTATACAGCGTGCAAGTGGTCGCACGAGATGACGATCGCGGAAGGTCCGCGAGTGAACTCCTGAACATCACAACAGGTGAACAAGTGCATAATGAGCATTGCTCGTTATAGAAGTACCTCAAGTAGGTTAAAATCCTACATGTAGTTTAGGCCAAAAAAAAATAAATATTCGGTCTCTGGTCAGACCCAAGTTCCGGAATTGACGCGGCCACGCGGCTTTTTTTTTTTTTTCCTTCACGCTTGGATTGTACAGACAAGGTGGGTACTATTTTGCTTTTTTGGTGTCCTCGTGTACATTGGTGTCCTCCATAATTTGCCTTGGTGCTTTCGATCATTTGCCTTGGTGCAATTTCCCATTCCTTGGTGCTCTGTGGTAAAAAAAATTGAGGAGGTGCGGTAATAGAGGGCGCTGTTGGAGCTACCGCGGAACATTTTGGAAAAAAAGAAGATCGACGCGCATGGTTAAAATCGACGCGCGCGCTGACCAGAGACCGACTTATTTTTGTTTTTGGCCTTACAGATGGTGATTGGTGTATCATTTGACGTTCATGCTAGACCTTTAACCACGTCGGTTGACGTGTATACACACAAAGGTTTTGCCATATTCGGAACGGTGACGGATATATATGCAAAGCAAGGCCAGAAATATCTGTCGGTAACCTACTCACAGCGAGCAAGACCAGAAATATAAGGGTGTGCTACCCGCAAATGATGGCCAGAACCATCGATGGCCTGGCATCGAGGTTCGTGAAAATCTCTCACCTGGGTCCGGTTGATGTCAAAATAATCCCGGCGCGAACTGGTTAATTGCCAAATAGTTCTCATTTTGAACAAACGGGATCCACATTTTTTCTTTCCTTTGGTCATGTGTGCGTGTTATTTGATTTTTTTTCTGTGAATAAGGATGGTTTGTACTTTGGTACAAGACTTCAGTATGCAACAAAGTATAAATGATTAAGTTTCAGATAGTGTATGCAAAAAGCAGACAGTTGATGCTGAAGTGGTTTCTTGATGTGGTTTCTTCTAAAACTTCTCTTGTAGGCCATTAAAATTGAAAAACAACCAAAGAGAGTCTTGTTTAAGGGCTCAATGTAATTTGTTTTAATGCTATCCTTGAAAATGCACCTTTGTGTCCCATTAAACTCAATTTTCAATTTTTGTTTTGCTGTTTTGAAGGGTATTTTGGTGCCTTTTTGTTTTTATGCTAATGCCAATTTCCATATTCATGAGTAAAACTGTGATGTCATTCCAGGCAAAAACCTCAATGTTGCAGCTATTTCCGCACAAAAAGTCGCCAGAATTTTGCATATTTTGTGTCATAGATTTTCTTTTCTTTGGTGATTCTTTCGTGTTGTGTAAGTACATGGCAGTAAGCCAATGAGCAACTCTTTTCATACATTTAAGAGGAGTAGCAAGTTGCACAAAATGTGTATCGCACGGACCATTTAAGCTTGAAATTTCCTTTTTTTTTGTGACTTCCCAGTTTCATGCCTAACAATATGTTAGTGACTTTTCAATAGCTTATTCCACGGACCGTCACAAAGCAAATCAGAAGGTTAAATATTTTTCCGTTTCTCCTTCACAGAACTTCCTCCGATAGAACTGGTTCTGGATCCAGTCTTGGAACTCCTAGAAGACGACATGACAGAGGCGACCATAGATTGGTCCTTCCAGAATCTCACCCACGTTGAGAGGTTTGTCTTCTCCTACAACCAGACCGACAACTATCCGGGTGGATTCCAGCAATACGAGACACAGAATCTTAGTGGCTCGACCCGTAGCGTCACCCTAAAAGGGATTTACCCCGGTGCTAACTATGACCTGTATCTACAAGGCTTCAGCGGGCCGCACACCACGACTGTCGTAAGGCGATGGACCCCAGGTAAAGTTAAGTCCTGGATTGAAGGAAAGAAGGGTCATGTAGGGGGAGTTATGAGCTGGACAATGGTTCTATTAACTAAAGATACAAGGGTTAGTTTCTGGCTAGCAGAAAATTTTGGACCGAGCAGTTCTGATTCCTCCCCATTTAATCAAAAGTTATCATTGATAAAATAAGATAAATTTCAACTTCAGAGGTGACTCCTTGCATATTTTATCCTACAGTTTACCGTCTGTCCCTCATTATGTGCAGTAACACACAAACACAAATGCATTCAGAAGCTTCAAATAAAAGTCGTTATTATTTTCAGAAAAACTTTCAACTTAATCGTGTACCTAAAAAAAATAAGTATTGAGTTCTTGTCCATTAGTGTAAAATGAAGACAATTTGACAACATCAAGAAATGGATATTAACTGTTCCAGTGAAACAGTGCTGGTAAAGCAGAATTCTTGCCACCAATGGCAGCTTTTCTTGCATAATGATATTTCTCTAATGTTACGCTCTCTTTTGGTGGACCCACAGCAACAGAGCCGCCTTCCCATCTGACACCCCTGGCCACTACCTCCACCACCATGGAGCTGGCATGGACCTTCCCTCCACATACCCCTAGGCCTCTAGTCAGGGAATTCCTGGTAAGCAGTGATGTTTACACATTTTTAAACGTTGAAACTTAGCAATCAAAATCGCTTAACTCAAATTAATTCTGGCAAAGGCATTCTGTTCGTCCGCTTGTGTCCTGATTTGTGATTGGACTTGTGATCGATTTGTGATGGACTAAAGATTGACTTGCGGTGGACTCTGCTACAAGTCTTGTGCTTATAAATAAAACGAAAAATGTCCATTCACATTACCAGGTCACCTACAGGGTCATCAGTGGCAATCCCTGGAAGCACGGTGGCCAGGCTGTTCAGTGGACCAACGACACTAGAATTGTTCTGGAGGGTCTGATCCCAGACGCCAAGTACGAGGTGAATGTCAGCACCATCAGTATCAGCGGTCGGCCCAGCTATGCCAGAACAGTCATCCATGAAACAGGTGGGTGTTACAGAGACACAGGATGGCATCTCAATTTGACCACTCACAGGTGTCAAGTGTACGAGACATACATGCACATGCAGTCGTGAATTTCTATACGCCCGAGGACAATGCTTTGTGCTTACCTTTGTCCCTGTAATATAACACTCTCCCAGAGACTATAAGCACATAACCGTACGATCGAGGACCATTTTCAACAAAAGACCCAACTCCCGAGGACTGAAAGGATCTGTTGTTCTCCCTTTGTGTGTCTGTCCTCAGGGGTTATGTAGAACACGTACATACCGACAGTCGTATTGTACCATTATGTTTGTGAACAAGGCATTGTGTTTGCCTTTGTTCCAATAATCTAACACTCTCAGATAGACTAGGCACACAGACTTACGTCCGAGGACTGTTTTCAACAGAAGATGGACGTCAGAGGACAACAAAGAATCTGTTGTTCTCTCTTTGTTTACCATTACGTCTGAGGACAAGGCATTGTGTTTCCCTTTGTTCCTATAATCTAACACTCTCCTGTAAACTAAGCACATGGACTTACGTTCCATGACCGTTTTCAACAGAAGATGGATGTTAAAGATATAGTCCATCATTTGTAATTTGTGCATGTTGTTCGTTTGAAGCAACAAAAGTGTTCAAAATCTAATGAAGGATACTGAACAACTAACCTGATGAAGTTTCAGCTCAGCTTCAGCTGTATATTCCGAGAAAAAAAGCATTCTAGGATCTCAATTTCAAATCAAAAGTTGTGAATCATGTTTTGAATTATTTTGAACTGCAGCTATATGCGATGTCGCGCACTGATCCGACGAATTATAGCAACCGCGCGCGCCTGTGCGTCGTGCCAATGCTTGCGCGCGCTGCGCCGAATGACAAAACGAACTACTAATTAAAATTTTCCTACGGTGCGTCTTAAGACGCACCGTTGGAAAGGCCTTCTTTCGTTGATTACTTCAAAATGATAGCTTGCCAGAAAGATTAATTTCACAGGGAGTTTAGTCCACTTACTATCTTTCAACCAAGTATGTTTTTCAACAATAATACGCCAGTTACTTTTTCGGATGGCTGCAAATGATGGACTATAGCTTTAAGAGGACAACAAAGAATATGTTGTTATGTTGCTGCCTTTGGGATGTATGTAATACAAGAGCTGCTCCACACATGTACATGTATAGGTTGAAGAACACACTACTATTAAACTTTCATCTGTTTGTGTAGAAACTCATAACGTCTGTGTGATGGTACCAGGCGCATATGGAGGCAGTGGCATATTAAATTTTCTTTGAACCATATTTAAGAAGGGTAACCTTTCCAGTGAATGCTCATCATTAGGCATCCTTCTATATTTATCATTTAAAGTGTCTGTCACGTCTCTTCTTTGTATAGTCACTGTCGAAGAATGCTCGTGCACAGAATTCCTTGAAAGAATTTGCATGAGACACGAAAGAGACAGGCCGAATTTCTTGGCTTTGCTTACAGTTAGTGAAAAGTCCATAACAGAAAATCCTGTGCTTACGCTAAGCTTTTGTTCACGCGTTAGCGAGTAATTTAGACTTCTGCGCATGCGAACACCCCGTGCTTACTGGGTTAGCAAAGCATTTTTCTGCTATCGCGATTAGCACAAAACAGTGATCATAAGCATGGAATTCTGTGGTTAGCAAAGCCATGACCAAACAATGAGCCAGAAATTTTGGCTTCAAATTGACACCGTTGCATAATATTCAAACAAAGAAGCTGACTTGCAATGTCTGAAATAAACCACGAAGAATTGAGAAAAACATGGCCTTCTGGGGGTCATTACTTTTCCATTTTCCTCAAGTCTTCAGATTTTCCTTTCCTTTCTTCCCCCCCCCCTGCTTTTTGACAGCAATTGCACCGCCCCATATCTCCACGGTCTCTGCCACCAGCACCAGCTTCACTCTCGTCTGGGAGCCACCCCGGGGGAACTATCAACATATAGTGACCTGCTCCAACTGCCTGTTGAGGTTTCAGACGCTAGCCCCTGGCGTGAACAGGGCTACCTTCGGAGGACTGAGGCCAGGGAATGTCTACAACGGCACCCTGGTGGCGCTGAAGGACAGTCTGATCAGGAGTGATCCCACCACCTACAGAGAGCTGACTTGTAAGTTTCATCTGGGACACCAAATTTGTGTCAAATCTTTCAAAGAGTTTTTCTCCAAATTGTATTTCCACCACATGCTTGCGTTTCAGTTGAGGAAAACCAAAATTATTCTATTACGCATCAGTGTACAAAGTGCTCGGGCACACCCGTGTGTGAGTTGTGAAACCGAAATTATTTATTACGTGGTTTTCACGAACTGAAAACACACAGCGTGTGAAAATGGTGATAGTTTGTACAGTCAAACCATCTACAGGTAGACCATTAACAGTAAAAAGTAAATTCTGCTATGAGCCAGTCTAGTCCATCAGGCCGGCGTTTATCTCCGGTTCCCTTGGCATGAAACGACAGATAATATTTCCATTTTCCCTTGATGGAATGCCAATCCATCGCTGGTTACTCCTGGACGCAGAGAGGTAAGGGATGTTGATGTCCCTTATATGGCCAACAACTGGATTTGAACCCACGACCCTCTGATCACTAGTCATGATTCCTAACCATTAGGCCACACTCCTCCACAGTTAGACCATTACCGCAAATCAAACCAGGCTTTAAAAGATCAGTTGGCTGATCAAAAAGCTGTACAGTACTCTAAAAACTGTAGACCATTTTGCTGTGATCCTTATGTCCGAAGGCAAAGTTGAGCAGTGAGAAGAACCAAATCGACAGTTCATCTAGTTTACATATAAATTTCAAAATAGATGCATTGACAAAAACAAGTTAACAATCCACCCCAAAAAGTTTAATACAAAAACAAAATTAGGTAAACTGGTTTCAAGTATTTTCGAATAAAGTAGAAAGACTTAAGCAGCAAATAATTCCTTCTTCCAAGATCTTTCAAATACTCTCTCCCTCTTTTCTTTTTTTCCATTGAACCCCTTTACTTTAAGATCCACATGGACCCTCCGTAGTCCACGTCCGGTTGCTGGACCCCCACGGTACCAGCCTAGAAGTCTCCTGGCATGCCAGTATCTGTCCTGGCTGCATGGTAGATTCCTACACCACCTCCCTCATGATCTCCAGGACCTCCAGGCGATTGTATTGGAAGCACTCCAACTGCCTGGTCGGCACCTGTCGTGTGGTGTACGACTCACTGCAGCCGGGCCAGGAGTATCACGCGGAGGTCAACGCGGTCAGGATGGATCTGTTTAGCGATCCGCCAGCATTATCCAGGAATATAAGAATACGTGAGTCAATCGAACGTATTGCCTCTCTGATTTTGACAAAATCCAATTTTGGATGATTCTGCAGATTGAGGAAGGTAGAGAAAGAAGGTGGCTACAAATGAGACAAGAAAAAGCAATTTAAAGAGAAAGAAGGAATCTGTTGATATTATTCTTGAAACTTATAAGTTATAAGAGGAAAAATAAGATCTTGGCAAGGAGTTGCACTGCAAGGCAGTATGAGGGATGAAACTTGAAGAATTGTTAACAACTCCGACGGATTTTTTTTTTATTTGCTCCCTGAAAATGGTTCTGGTGGGCATGGTATGGAAGTCAGTCGTTAGATAATTAGTGTTTGATCGTTTTTGTGTGAAAGCACCTCTAGCAGCGTGTCAAGGGCTGAACTCGATGAGAAAGTATGCTATTATTGGAGTCTTTTACTTTTTTTTTTACCTTTCTTATTTTTTCCAGAGTCCCTCCGGTTCTTTTCAGAACCACACATACTCACAAAAGAGACCTTATCTTGTCTTAATGCAGCTCTATTGTTAAATCTTACGAGGTTTATTTCTTTATTCCTCCTTTGCAAACATACATTTTGTAACAAGTGGTCCCTTCTGTCAAAATCAATCAAGTGACTGTTTTCAACAGTTAAGAATTCCCAGCCTACATATAAAGCAGGATTGACTGGCTGTAACTGTTTAAGTAACTTGGTACAGCTATGCTTTGTCTCCGGGTGAGTGATAAAACAGCTGTGACCACAACTTGCCTGCTTTGTCTGTTGACCCAGTTTGACCAGTCACAGTGCTTGCTTGACATATGATCTGACTGCTGGTGACTAGCCTTTGTTAACAAGTATACTACAGGGGAAGTGGAACTGTGGAAGTGAATTTTGACTGTCTGTGACTACTTAAAGCTACAGTCCATCATTTGTAATTTGTGCATTTTGTTTGTTTGAAGCAACAAAAGAGTTCAAAATCTAATGAAGGATACTGAGCAACTAACCTGATGAAGTTTCAGCTAAGCTTCAGCTGTACATTCCGAGAAAAACAGCATTCTAAGATCTCAATTTCAAATCAAAAGTTACTGAATCATGTTTTGAATTGTTTTGAATTGCAGCTATACGCGACGTCGCGCACTGATCCGACGAATTATAACAACCGCGCGCGTGTGTGCGTCGTTCCAATACTTGTGCGCGCTGCGCTGCACTGAATAACAAAACGAACTACCAATTTAAATTTTCCTACGGTGCTTCTTAAGAATCACCGTTGGAAATGCCTTCTTTCGTTGATTACTTCAAAATGACAGCTTCCCAGAAAGAATAATTTCACAGGGAGTTTAGTTCCCTTACTATCTTTCAACCAAGTTTGTTTTTCAACAATAATTACGCCAGTTACTTTTCGGATGGCTGCAAATGATGGACTCTAGCTTTAAATAGCGGGAGGGTTCAATCTGTCTTAATTGGTTAATAAGCCAAACCAAGTACATGTACTTCACTGTACCACCCCTTGACCTGACAATTTGTGACCAGGTTTAAAAAAAAATTGTTGGGACAATGTGTGACAAAGACCCTGCTTTTCTATCCCCTCAATAGCCCCAGCCACCCCCAGTCACATCACCTTCACCAAAGTCACCCACACTCAGATCACCATGTCCTGGTCCCCTTCCTACGGCATAGTGGACAAATACATCATCGCTCTGTGCCAGGCCGGCCTGCCCCTACCGCCGACTGCATCTACCGGATCGAAGTCAACTCTTCCATAACGGAATTCAAAGGCCTTGAGCTGACGCCCCGCACGAGGTACAACATCACGCTGAGCGCCAAGTCGGGCGAACTCACAAGCGCTGTCTGGTGGGTTGTCAAGTCAACAACTTCAGACTGTGAGTAGTATTTTTTTGTTTTCCTGAACAAATAGTTCCCCATATCGATCGAGCAGATTTTCATGTCATCAGCCCTGGCCAATGCTAACGTAAAAGAACGATCACTTGATGCAATTTTTGGCATAAGATCTCTTAAATTCCAATTTCCAAAGTCCCAACCCGTTCAATGTAAGTGTATTTATAATCTGCTTTTACAATTTCATTGGAGAAATTCAACAACATCAACTCAACAAGCCCATACAATATCATTCAAAGAGCACCACAGGATAGAAAGGTTAACTCAGCAACTGTAGGCTATAGTTCAAAATGCCATATGATGTTTATTTCTTGATACTAGGGCTGTGTCCAAAATACTTGGCTATGGATAGAAATAACACAGGTGGCTATGGTAAGCGGCTGCAGCCACTTCCCATAGACACGTGTGTCTACTGCTAGCCATAGCCGAGTAAGGCCGTGTCCTAATTGCTTGGCTACGGCTTGAAAATACACACGTGTCTATGGTAGCCGCTGCAGCCACTTCCCATAGACCCGTGTGTTATATCCAGCCATAGCCAAGTAATGCGGATGTGGCTTTACTTATGCTAAAGGGTCGTTCCAATAAATTTGGGGTCCAAAAGTGTAACAGTTTATGGTGTCTCTGTTGCACCTGACCTGTGCAATTTACCATGCAAGTATCATTAAAATTGACTTTACACTATTTTGTATTTGTTTGGCAGCTTTACATAATCACTGTTTGAGATAGAAAGCATTAACCCTAACTCCGTAGCATAATTTACTAGGAACCATACCCATCCAGGCAAATTCCAACACCCACATGGGAAATCGTACACACACATTGTTGGACTTAGTTTCTGGAGGTATGCCAACCCCAATGTAAAAGACCATCAGTTTAGGGGTACTGTACCTATCCTAACAGATTTAAACAAAACCTGCTGTTGGGCTTTGATGGGTTGAGTTCCTCTAGGGTTAAAGAGGGTGCCCTGATCAGTTACAAAATCTTATACGTGTCGGATATAAAAGGGACACAAAAAATGAACCCCAAATGTGTGGAATGACCCTAAAATCATCAAAACTGTTGTACTTAAAAACCTCAAACCTCCCAACCTATTTTTAAGCTACAAAGGCAAAAACCAAAACCACAAACCGCACTTCGATAATTCTCATCCTAAAATAAGTTACCTCTCTGTAAATCTTCCCAATTTGCAGTTCCAGTGGTGAACAGTCGGCCGCCGAAAGCCCCCAGCGTCAATGACGTCACCCCGTACACATTTCCCGTGACCTTTGACACCAGCTATTTTGATTCCAACCAGGCCTTGTTGTACTACACCGTCCTGGTGGCCGAGGCTAGCGGTGAGTCAGATATCAGTCACTTCCTTGGAAAGTGTCGGGATCCTGTCGGCAACAAAAACACTCCCTGAACAGAGAAAACATTCAGATTTTTGAAAAAAGAAAGCCATATTTTATGAGGGTGTGGTTGCTAGCTAAAACTTATCGCTAGGTGCCTTCATTATAATCACAATAATTAAAATCACAACAAAAGTTGCGTTTGGATTGAATTTAGATCTCAATTTTTTTTTAAATGTCAAGAATATATAATATTGCCAGAATTTTCATAGATTTGCATGTACACAATTTTCCCTCCCGATAGCAAAATTTACTTGACTTAAGTAACATAATAGATCTCTCTCATAGGATGCCACCTTTGTAGGAAATTACAACTGCGTTTTCAACATCATCAGGTGCATTTACACGCAGTGTGCAAAATGTTCTAAACCATGTAAGGCCAAAAAAAAAAAAGTCTCCGGTTTCTGGTATGGAGCTTCCCCAAAAAGTGGTGCGGCGACGTGGCTTTTTTTTTTTTTTACCTGATTTGTTTTGCCTCAAATGTCGGCTGATGACTGCAAATGGTGCCCGACTAAACTTAGTGCAAATATATGGGAGTCCAGAGAGGCCATATAGAGCTTATTCTCGATCATAACCCCATCCAAAAACACGTTAAAATTGTGCAGCAGCAGGATTCCAGTCAAACCGTTGAGTTTGGCGGTTTTGAGACATCATCTTTCATTGAAAAAAAAACTTTTTCATTTTGCCGACGCGCATAGCTACGGCAACGCGCGCGCATACCAGAAACCGGAGACTTTTTTTGGGGGCCTAAACAAGCATGCGTGTTGCTCAAAATGTCTTTTTCGAAATATGGCGCATGTCACGAAAAATTTGGCGCCCAAAATGCTAATGCACGTGACAATCTGTAGGAAGTGATGTCATTTGAGAGAAACCAATGACATTACATTGCTGTGAAATTTATCAACAATTTCCAAACCCATTTCCTGAAGAATGTTCTCCCTTAGAAACCCCCCATTTCTTTTCTTGAACTTGGGCCTTAAGCCGCTTCACCTCCAATATGCAAGTGCAAATCAGAATAATGTACTGCTACAGGCTTTTGCACAACTTATTACAATCATTAATTAATATACTCAACATGTTTTGTTTTCCATTTGATAGCCGTAAGCCATGCAAATCTCCCGAAATACGGCAACTTGTCGGAGGGTCTACAGACCCGCACATGGGCCAAGGCTATCGGCAGGGAGACCATACAACGCTACCAGATTGCTGACAGATACTCCTATGGGGAGCTCATATCAGGTTTGTTAAAAAAAGTTTCCTCTGAGACAGAAACCTGTTGCAACAACTCCGTAATTCCTGATAAATACTGATTTAAGTTACAAGATATGGATTTACTGTAGCACCATGTGACAAATCTCCAGTTCCACTACATAACCTCCCTTCACCATTGGCATCCCTTCAGTCTCCTGACGACGGGCAGAGTATACTGTCCGAAACGTTGAGTACCCTCCGTTTCTTTTTCAGAACCACACATACTCACAAAAGAGATTTGTCACATGGTGCCACCGTAAGTGTATGTCTTATTGCTTTTTTCACTTTGCAAACCTTCAAATATTATCTTTTTTTGCCAAAAACAGTGATAATGTGTACACATTTATGCAATTTATAACAAATGATACTGAAAACAGTTGCACTTTTGTATGGTGCAAGTTGTGGTTCACACTCACCTTGCACGTATACAAAAGTGCAACTTTTTTTTGGATACCATTTCTCTAAATCGCATAGTTTTGTACACATTGTCACTGTTTTGGGCCAAACAAAGAGTATGGCTGGATTGCTAAGGAATTTCTGTACTGATCAGTGGTAATTTGAGCAAGATGTGCCCAGTAGTTTTCGAGTTAGACAAAAAAGTATTAAGGGGGGACTTTTGTTTTTGGTTGAGTGCAGTTACAGGGTACCAAATACACAGAGAATTTTTTTTCTCCAACATGCTGCCATTCTGAAGATGCTGCCATTCTGTAGATGCCACAAAAATATTTTGAAAGTTCAGTTTTCAACTTTTCTTTGGCTGCAGGATCATTCTCAAGCATTTTTTATTTTGGTAATATCCTCAAATTGTCGGCTTTCAACATTGAAAATGAGTGTTCATAACAAACGTGACCGTCAACAATTACCTTAAAGACTCTCTAAGCTTGAACCACTCTCACATGGTTTTATTCAGTTGACCTCTTTTTGTCGCGCAGAGTCTGGCAAGAGAGAAGCTTATGCTAAGAAGACCATCATTATCGGAGAGGAAGATTGCTCAGAAGAAGAGAAAGACGTCTACTGCAACGGACCACTGAAGCATAATAAGATATACGTGTGAGTCACAAATGCAGTCAGTTGTAGTTCCTGTTGGCATATGTGGGATTCCCATGTACCAGTCACCTCCTAGCAAAATTTGTACTTGATTATTTAAAGGTAGGGTAGATCGGTTGTCATTTGATGCAACAAAAGTGCTCCAAATCTAAAGACAGGTGCTTAACAACTAACCAGATGAAGTTTTAGCTCTGTGGATCTTGTTTTGAATTGCGGCCAAAATCAGCATCGGGGACACGTTCTCATTCAGCCGATTGCAGCTACGCAATGTTACGCACTGAGCCGGACGAATAGTAGCAACCACACGCATGTGTGCGTCACGTCCATGCTTGCGCGAACCCATTCACAGATTCGCCAAATTACAAACCAACTACTAATGGAAATGTCCAAAAATGCGTCACTTGACACATCTTTGGAAATGGCCTTCTTTTATTGCTTATTTCAAAATGACAGCATGCCAGAAGGAATAATTTCACAGGGAGTTTATTGCCATCCCCATTTTTAAACCAAGTGAGCTTTTCAACTATAATTTTGTCGGTTACATTTTGGATAGCTGCAAATGATCTACTCTATGTACCTTTAAGAGGCTCATGTTAGTATTAGCATTGAAGGTTGCGGGTTTGAGTCCTACTTGAGCAAGCTCATGAAGTTTTTGCTATATGGCAAGCTCCCAGAAAAGCAAAAGCATAAGGTAGAGGACAGTGTCCCTTTCGAGAACAGATATATTTATCTCACATATGATCTTGAATGGAATATGCAAAAACTGATAGGTACGTGCATTTGTACTTGTCAGTTTTAGTTTTGAGCATTAAAAAAAGGTTATTCGATTCGAGCGATTCACAATGCAGTGCGCCACCAAGAGTTTGCCACAGAGAGTTCATTTTTCCCAGTGCATTGTGGGAGATGGTCAACAAATTCGCAGCACGGGACATTTGAAATTGTTAGTTTGTCCTGTCCGTAGTTTCATAAGCGTATGATTCAAGTATATGTTTGCCCTTTTCTTTCCTTTTTATTAATATGGTGATTTTGGTAAGGCGGCAGAACGCTTTGCCCAAATCTATAACAAATGAGCTCAAATTGTCTACTGACACTCCTCCAAATGGGCCATTTTGTCAACTGTAAACTTGAAAAGTTGACTCTCCATTGCAAACTCTTGGTGGCGCACTGCATTATGAATTGCCCGAATTGTTATGTTTCACAATGTTTTTGTTACAGCTACCAGTTTCGTGCCTTCACAGCAACTGGCTACGCTGACACTCCATTCTCACATCATGTGATGCTACGTGAGTATGCTGTTTTTTTTTTTTAAATTTCTTATCACCTCAAGACATTGCAGAAGTATGTTCTTTATTTCCTGCTGTAGGAAATGACAGTAGATCATCACTATGTACTTGTGTTATTCCCCTGTCTTCCAAGTGACTCATTTCCCACCAACTTTTGTTTTTTCAGCACTGGTCCCACTAGGCATACCTAAGACTTGCACCCCACCAAGTTGACAGGAAAAATTGAGAATATCTAACCACTCTGAAAAAGGGTATACCAAATTGTGAAATGAGTTGTACCATTTTTGAAATATTGTTACTTGTTGCACTGATTCGCAAGCGCACAGCATGCATAGTACACACAGAACCAATTTTTTTAACATCCCTGCATCTAGCAAAGTGCAAGGATTTCATATCATCCCTTGAAACTGGTACTGAAAAAAATACATATTTTAGAAGCATTGCAAATTCTGAGTTTTGGTGATTGAAGACGAACAACTATTCCTGAAAAAAATGACAGCACATATGAAATTGCAGTACACCCAAGACATTCTGCATTGACCATATAATCTTCCAAAAGCCTCCATCGCAAAACTGGTCTGTTGAACAGATTGAAGCTCTATAACAAAAAGCGTATTAGACTAAATTTGTTCTAATCAAAATTACCTACCGCTGCCTTTCAGAAAGTGAATCACTGAATTTGACCTTTGTTTGTCTGTTTTCAGCTGAGGATAATTCTGGTGTCGTGGCTGGCATCAGTGTTGTCTTGATACTTCTTTTCATCATCGTGCTGGTTCTGATCGCCATGATTATGGGACGTAAATACAGGTATTTACCTCCACCATACGTTTTGGGTTTTTACAAACCTGACTCAACAAGAAATGAGGGTTTGTAGGTTTAAAGAAAGATAATAAAATTTTCTTTACAATGCTGTTTGTTGCACTTCAGTCGGACTTTCCGTTCACAAGTTATGATTATTTAAAGTTCGCATTTATCAAAAAAGTGAAATACTAAGAAAAGGGCCTTTAACCACTTTGCGCCGGGATTATTTTGACATTGACTGGACCCAGGCACAGGATTGTTTTTCACGAATCTGGATGCCAGACGGGTTCAGGCCACCATCTGCAGGTAGCACACAATTAGGGCACATGGGCGTCGCAAGGGGGTGGGGCAAGCGGGGGCGCTTGCCCCCCCTCCCCTGGGAAAAAAAAAAAAAAAAAAAAAAAAAAAAGAGGCGCAAGGTCATAGTGGTGTATATTTAATGAGTTGGGGGGGGGGGGCAAAATGTCCCTGCCCCCTTCTAAACTGAGAAATCGAGAATATGTTGAGAAATTCAGGAATGTTTTTGGGAAAAATATGTTTTGCCCCCCCTCTAGAAAAAATCCTGGCGACGCCCATGTTAGGGCAATACACACCAACACAGTCCATGGAACCTTTAACATGTTTTCAACATTTCTGGCTGCCGTAATGTTGTTTTTCTATTGATTTGAATCATTTCCCACTCGTTCTCCCTCCCAGAGGGAACTATGGCAAGTACATGGCTGCACGCTCCATGGAACCCCTCCCCGTCGGTGTCATGGCCCGTGCCTCTACCAGCCGACGCTTCTCCCGGCCTGTCCGTCTGATGGACTTCTGCCATGACTTCCAAGTCATGAACGCCCACTGCCACTACGGCTTCTCTCAGGAATACGAGTCCGTCATGAAGGTGGGCCGTAAGCTGACCAGCAACGCTGCCGTGCTGGCCGCTAACGTCAGCAAGAACCGCTACACCAACATACTGCCCTGTGAGTAGCATTGTCATACCTTGGTAGACTTGAGACTGGAGGACTTGTGATGAACTTGTGATGGTCTTCTGGGGACTTGTAGGGACTTGTGATGGACTTGTTGCGCTGTTTGAGTAGAGCAAAATGACACGCTCATTTGCTGATCGTGCGTTTCGGTTTTGGGTGTATTGGCGTTGATGAAGCACCGGTATGGAATACAAATGCAGATATGCAAATAGACGTACAAAATGTGTGCAAAATTTCTAGTTCTCCGTAGGTTTGTGTACTAACATGGATGCGCCCAGCAGGCATCACTTTGTACATGAGTTTGCGTTCTAGTAATTTAATATAGCTCTATGAGAGTACCACACTTGTGTACCCCAAAAATTTTACTTAGATTGTTCTCAGAGACCTTTGAATTTTTTGTCATTCTACATTTTACCACACAGCTTGAATACTGCCGGAACATGGGGTAGATGATTTACCCATAGGGTTGCACTTGTCACTGTTAATCTCTTTGCGTAAATTGGCAAAGCATCGGACTTCATGAATCAAAAGATTCCAAAAAATGACTTATTATGTTGTCATATTTATCATATTATTTTTATAGACTCAAAACAATGAAAAAGTAATACCATGGCAACCCCCGCCCCAGCATTGTCTAATGTCAGTTATCTGTGGTTTTCTTTTTGGCCCAAACTTGGGTTTCACAAAATACCGTGGACAATACCACATCAGACAATTCTGAGACAAGTGTCTCACTGTTTTTCTATACAGTTGACAGGACCAGAGTCATGCTGAGCCCCATTGATGATGTGGAAGGTTCCGACTACATCAATGCCAACTACATCTCAGTAAGTTCGCGGCACGTGTTCTGGGGTTCTCTCAATGCGTTTGTGGTGCAGTATTCCAACAGTGATAGCTGGGTGTGGATTTCTTCGGGCATGTTGCCTAGATTTGGAAGCGGAGGAGTTGGGGTTGGGATAGTCTAAACAATGCCTCAATAGGGCTCGTTCAATGACGGCCATCTCTGTAGGAGAACTGCAACTGCGTATTTTACGCAATCAAGCACGCATTGCGCAGTGTTGAAAATGTTCCAAACACCCGCGCTTGTTGCTTGAAATGTGTTCAAAATACGACGCAGCCAATGCGCGTTATGCAAGTTGACGCTAAAAATGCCGATGCACGTGGATGGTCTGTAGGAAATGACGTCATTTGAACGAGACCTATATCTTTTTCAGATGTACTAGATCAGTCGGAGAATGTTTTGTGCAACACATGTCCTCTGACAAACATACTTGTTCTGCAGTTGTGGGGACTATACATGAGTTGTCCCATGGTACTATGGGGACCGAGGACACTGTGGGTACAGCAGAAAATCCCCATAACTTGGTCCCAATTTGCCAAACAATAAAAAATTTGCTATAATGCGGTGACGGCCCTGCCCTGTGTTCTATGTGTGCATGAACTTGAGATCTAAGTGCAAGTTCAGGTGAGGACTATGGTTAAGCATAGTTCAACTAACTTCACTCTAACGAAAGATGGTTGGACTACTCTAGTCGACTACTCTATTCAAACCGGACCACTGAGCACGGTTACATCACTGGTTACCCATGACCTCCTGCTTACAAGTACAGACGTCGTACCACTCAACCACCGAGCTGGCTGGGATCGGCCGGCTGGTTCGAATCTGATATAACAGCTGGCATCGCAACCAAAGTACTCATACGATGGAATTGCATCGGAATAAAAGTCCAAAACTCGTGTCCCATTCACTATGTGAAAAAATACATCCCTGCCAGAACACTCTTTTAACCAACTGCCATTTTGGGGGGACACTTTGTATACAGGGCTATAACTCTCCGAGAGAGTACATCGCATGTCAGGGCCCACTACCAGGCACAGTGGATGACATGTGGAGGATGATGTGGGAACAAGACGTCGCAACCATCGTCATGTTAACGCAGCTGGTAGAAAAGGCAACGGTGAGTATTTCTGATATTTTGATGAATGCTTTGACCATTTAAGAAGCCATTATAGATACTTTGCACTTTGGCCATCTTTGAGGTCTGTGATTTGTTCCACAGGGATATAAAATAAATAAAAATTTATGTATTAGGCCCCCCCCCCAAAAAAAGTCTCCGGTTTCTGGTATGGAGCTTGCCCCAAAGTGGTGCGGCGATGTGGCTTTTTTTTTTTAACCATTTTTTTCTTAAAATGTCGGCTGATGACTGCAAATGGTGCCCGACTAAATTTAGTGCAAATATATAGGATTCCAGAGAGGCCACATAAAGCTTATACTCAATCGTAACCCCATCTAAAAACACGTTAAAATTGTACAGCAGCAGGATTCCAGTCAAACCAGTGAGTTTGGCGGTTTTGAGACATCTTCTTACATTGAAAAAAAAAAAGTTTTCATTTTGCCGACGCGCATGGCTACGGCGACGCGCGCGCATACCAGAAACCGGACACTTTTTTTTGGCCTATAATGCTTTTATTATATAGCGCTTTCTATCGTATCAACAATCTCCATTATTCCCCCATTCATCAGGTCACGAGACCACGCTGATAGCAGCACACATTCAGTCCTCACAGGTACCCAGTCATACTCCTGGTTGGAGAGAGGCAATTGTAGTTAAGTGTCTTGCCCAAGGGTACAAACACCATGTTCCTGGCAGGGTTTGAACCCACGCACCATCGTACATGAGTCAAACACTGTAACCACTGGACCATGGCATTCTACATGTGACCAGTACTGGGAGGAGGATTTGCATGAGTAGACCTTTTGTGCATTCATTGTTATTGAATTTGAATAACCAAAAAGCCCTCAAAGATGGCTGCTGGAAGTAACAGTCTATTGCACACTCCATGCTTCCTCGACCAGTAGGGTTGCCAACATCATATTCCTCAAATTGAAGAATGTGTGACGTGTGTACACGAGCAAGTTTACCATTTAGTATTAAATGGCCATTTAAGGTGGTCACTTTTTAAGTCTATTGAACCACCTACTCACGGCAAAATTATGGACTTCCCTTTTTAATGGTACATGGTAAATCCTTGAAGGTAAATTTTGTAAGACTTTGCTAGCTGTGCTTTCATAGCTTAGAGTCAGGTGGAGCAAAGCTTACCTGACTTCAGGAGTCATCACAACTCATCACAGGGCATCGCAAGTCAGTCACAAATCATGCAGGCTCAAGTCAAGTGACACAGTATTCACTTCTTTTTCATTGTTCATCCCCATGTGACTTGAACTTTTTACCTGTTTTACCTATGCTGTATGGAATATCTGTCCATTCGCAGGTAAAATGTGACCAGTACTGGGAGGATGACAACACGCCATACCTGCACGGTGAAATTCAAGTCACTTTGACAGCTACTACAGAATTGGAACATTGGACGATCCGAGACTTTACTCTTGAAAAGGTCAGAGAAACGTTCCCTTTGATAAAGAAACCTAGTCTATTTTAGTTCAGCCTATTTTAGATTTCACTGCCAAGTGGTTTTCCAATTTTTTTCTCAGACCACAAGAAGCCAGCAAAGTAAGAGCATTTTTCAATTTATGAACCCATTTTCAAGGACTTGCTTTAAGGACTTGCTTGACTTAAAATTGCACATTTTGTAGTACCAAATCCTGATCCCAGAATACTCTTTGCCTTATCATAGGGTGATGCCACCAAGAAGGTGCGACATTTCCATTACCTAGCCTGGCCAGACCACGGGGTACCAGACTCCAGCACCGCCCTCCTGAGTTTCATCCGGACAGTGCGGACACAGTTTCCAAAGAACGGGACACCGACAGTTGTCCACTGCAGGTGAGTGCGTTAGTTATGTGTAAAAAGAAACTGGTAACTGTTTCATGAGGAGAATGGTACCCTTCTCACCCCTTACCGAATCACCTGATGTTCAGCTGGTTACCAATTGTCATTGCAATTCGCAATTATTACTCCTGCTCATCAGGCCTTGAGACAGTTTTCTGCAGCAGCTTGAGATCAGCGCAATCTGGTTCCGACCTTCACAGGTACTCATTTATACTCCTGGTCGGAAAGAGGCACTTGTAGTAAAGTGTCTTGCCCAAGGACACAAACACCATGTTCCTGTCAGGGTTTGAACCCACGTATCCATGCACAAGTGTCTGTTGTATCCCTCCGATTGGGTTTGAAACTTGCAATCTGTAGAGCCAAGTTGGAGGCGTATTTTGTTTTGTCTAAGCGGTAATGAGATACTTTGTGTTGTCTCTTAGCGCTGGGGTTGGACGCACTGGGACCTTTGTGTGTTTGGATCGTCTTATGAAGCACATGGAGGAGTTTGACTTTGTTGACATCCTGAGTGTGACCTGTGACCTGAGAATGCATCGAAGCTACATGGTCCAGACGGAGGTAATATTAGAGGGAAGATACTGAAGGGGATTGGAGTAAGATTTTGTCAAAAAATAACGAAAAGAGTTGAGGGTTTGGTACATCAAGGTTTAGGATGAGGCTTCTGAGCGACTTATTCCACAAGACCTGGTGTACAATTCCTCGTCTAGCAGAGTTCTAAAATTCAGAAAGGAGAAAAAAATACTTTTGAACCTTCTGTGGGTTTTCTCGAATATAGTACCCGCTGAGGGCAATTTGTAAGGTTCACTTTTAATCAGTGTAAGTTGGAAGAAAGAAATTGACTAGAGTGGGATTTTAACCTGCAACCTACAGAATATCGACCTGGTATACTCACCCAACTGAAGTTGTCAATGTTTTTCTTGACAGGGTACTAGTCAGAAGCCATAAGCCCCCCCCCCCCCCCCTAAAAAAATATGAATGAAATGAAATGATTGAATTAAATTTCTTGTTCTGCCGACAGCAACAATACGTCTTCATCCACAAGTGTGTCCTGGACATGTTAGAGGAGAAAGGAATCGCTCCCAAGCGTCTTCCCAGCATCTCCTCCCTCGACACCTGCGACATGGCTTCCACCCGGCAAGGCAGCGACGCCTCAGCCATCAAACGACGCCTCTCCGACACCGAGGGCGATACCGTCGAAGCCGAGGACGTGGTGGTGTTTCGTCAACACCTGTCCCAGGACTTGGAGGAGGATGACGCCAATAAGAGGTTCTCCATGTACAGCATGGGTTCGCCCAAGCGATCACTGATTGAAGACGGAAGTGAGGGGCGGGCGTCGCCCTCACCAAAGCGCCGCAGCAGCAACGGCTCGGCCAAGAAAATGTCCAAACACATGAAAGAAGAATTCGTTTGATTCCTGAAGTCACATTGTTTGGTGAACCCAGAAACTGAAGTTCCTGTCCTTCGTTAAAGCCTGCCCAAGATCACTGCTCTTCAATTGAAAGTGGAACATTCGTCTTATTTATGTCATAACTCACTCCAAAACGTATATAATTGATTAGAAGTTGAGAGATATGATCAGGTGTATTGAGCCAAGAATCACCGAAGGACTTTAAAATGTTGTGTTTTCAGTGTCCAGTGTCTGTTGAGTTCCATGGATGATTCAGTCAAATAAATGATTTATGTGGAAGTGTGATGATGACCTTATATTACAGCCATTTCACTGAAAATATGCCAGAAATAAAGATGTATCTTAACCTTGAAAAAGTAAAGTTTGTTTCACAAACTAAGCCTGTAAATATTACTACCTGAAATTTCATGTGAGATAGGATATCCATTACACTCTCTTATTTTTCCTTTAATGATAGCGACAAAACTGCCAAGCCTGCTTATGTAAATACTTGCTAATCAAAATGGGCTTGTGCACAATAAACATTTGGAATGGTAACAGTAATTTTTCTAAAAGAGTATTTACATTTTTCGGGGTTAAAACGGAGGGGAGTTTAGAAAGGATTGGTCCTGACTTTCTGAATGAGCCAGGATGACTTTCACCCTTTAAGTCTTTCCTTTAACATGCGAACTGCACAAGTTAAACCTTTCAATACAATTTCAAGACATACATGGTATTTGTCGGATCTACTGGGGAAGTGTTTATCTAAGGGCACTTTTTAGTGAGATTTTGGGGGTATTTCAGGGTAATGTCTGAATACAAATTATTGGATGTTTATAAAGCAGACCAACTTGCTTCTATAACTTGGAACTGAAATTATGCCCTGAAAGATAAATTTCTTTGTGGTTTTCATTTTTTTTTATAAAGTGTAAAACTATTTCTTCCTGTTAACATTTGAAATATGTAATGTAAAATATTGATGCTTCACTCTGCAATTTCATAACATGATAACAATGTCCTTGATGCATACTTGCAAGCTGTGGGTTGGTTTACAAATCTAAACATTTCACTGTAAAATGTGCGGAGAGCAACGTGAACACGCTTGATTGGCTCTTTTGCCTGTCAGCATCGTACAGGGGCCAATTTCATGGCGCTGCTAAGCACAAAAAATTTGCTTAGCACAAAAGTAGTCTGGCTTATAAAAGCAGGTTACCAGCCAAAACTCAACGTGATGGATATTGCTCGTGATTGGTACTCAGCTGTTGTTTGCTTGGCATGAAAAATCACATGGAGTTTTGGCTGGTAACCTGCTTTTATAAGCCAGACTTTTTTTGTGCTAAGCAAATTTTTGTGATTAGCAGCGCCGTGAAATTGGGCCCAGGTGTGGCACCACTGGTGAACCTCTTGAATAAGTGTTGCAATTGTTTACGTGTATAAATATGATATTCTATTTTAATGTAAAGAAACTATTTTTAGCCAGAAATATTGTAAATGAGATGCATTTATGCTCCCGTTAATGGTTGTTTATAATACTCTGCTTTTAGTATAAAGTAACCCAACCCCTCATCACCGAAACCCTCACGGTCAGCTCTTAACTCTCACCTCAGCCCCTGTAATGCCAAAAAGGCAAAGTAATACAAGGCGATTTTCGCAACTTGGAGGCCAAAGGGAGCCATGCCCCCCCCCCCCAAAAACGAATCCATTTTTAAATTTTTTTTATAGTGACTTCGCAATAAAGGCATGGCAATGAGTACACCACCATCTTTTCTTAAAAAAAACATTGGTTATTAGTGGTCAGAAATTGCCTCAGATCGCACCACAGAGCATCTAGAATCCAAAAAATTTATGGACACACTTTTGGGGGCCCCCCAAAACAAAAAATTGCGTTCTGGGTCCGCCCTTGCTGATGCATCACTCTTCACACATGCACATGATTCCTAATGAGGTAGAAAACACAATAGAACAATAGTCCCCGTAAGAAAGTCTTTATAGAAATTAATCTGCCCCATCAGGGAAACGCTATGGAGTTTGAGATTTCAATAGGAACAAATGAGAACAAAAGTACAAAAGTCTTCCCCACAAGTATATTGAAACAACTATTCACCGGTGCATGAACTAATAATGAGATTGACGAAATAAAAAAAATGCATGGAAAAGTTTAGTTTATTTGTCAAGTTTTAATTGTGCTATATATGCCGAGTACAAAATGCAGCATTAAAAAAATCCAGTAAATAGTGGCAATATTTTATATATAAACATGATTGTTAAATGTGAACAATTACGTACTGTTTGTACAGCTTTTTATTAATATATGTAGAGCAACTGTACAATACTTTATTTGCTTTGTATTGGCTTTTCCGTTTTGTAATAGTTTAGTATACATTTCTGTGTTAGTGGCGTGAAACCACATTATATTTTTAAAGATTTGTTCAAATTGTAACATGCATGTCAACCAAATATTAAGTTTAAAAGGAAGCCTTGTTAAAAGTGAAGATCGTTGTTATTTTTGTCATGCCCGAGTTTGCCAGAATAAAATGCAGTTTTCCTGCAGCATGAAAATGGATTTAGTGACTCTACATCACACTTTGCCTAATTTAAGAAACCATTCAAGAAAATTTAAAGAAATATGTCGGCCATGATTTAATCACATTTCAGTTTAGGTCCAAAGTAAAATACAAGTTTCGTTTGTTTAAATTTCTATGAGATACAGTTTCGAATGGGACAAAGATTTTCCCAACTTAAGTTTCTTATAATTTCTTCTTAAAATTCACAAAGTTAAAAGAAAAGCAAATTTAAAAAAACTTTAATCTTTAGCCATGAATACATCACTACATAAATAAAACTCATGCACCGATAAAGGGTGACCTTTCAAGATAATAGGTTATAAGTTTTCTCATAGTAAAATTATAAAGGCTTAAAAAAAGCCAAATCCAAAAAGCCAAATATCTCTGAATAACTCTACTAAAAGCTTTAAGAATGACTCTGGAGCCAAAAACGAAGCCAAGTTGAGAAAAAAACCTATTGAATCGCTGTGATCTATGTACAAACTGTAAATGTCACCGTTCGGTCTACTGATGAGAACCAAGGGACGGTACTTTTGATGGGGCACATATAACAGATTGCAAGAATGCATCATGAAGAAAATGAGACAGAACTGGACAGAGGTCGAAATGAGGGTTTGTGGATATTTGGAAAGAGAATTGAAATTCTCCTCACAATACTGTTTGTTCACTTTGTTGCACTTTACAGACGTTCCGTTAACAAGTTATGGTTGCTCAAAGTTGGCATTTATCGACATGTCAAAAAGAAAAATACAGAGAAAAGGGTCTTTAAAGTTCCAACTGTTTTGTAGTCCTAAAAATAAAAGATGTTAATTGTCGTTCCTTTAAAACACTTTATTCCATGATTTTTTTAATACTATTTCTTTAAAATATGTGTATTAGGCATATCAAAGGTTACAAATATCAATTAGTCTGAAATTGGAATAAATCACCCCCATTCATTTTTTTTGCATTTTCTCCACTACGGTGCGGGCCCAGTTCTGTCCCATTTTGCCTCTATGCCTCACAAATACTCTGGGCATTACCAATTTCTTATCTTAGTCGCCATGCCAATTTCTTGTAACAGTGCCCCTCCAAAAAAAAAAAATAGGTATGTATTTCTTTTCTTCAATTTTTGTGTACAAAAACTTTGAAATATAAAGTGATGACTCCATGTACAGTCTGGATACTGACAACGTATTATTATTATTTTTTAATTTTTTTAAATTTTTTTTTGGGGGGGGGGGGCCTTACAGGCTGCACTTTTGGCAAATGCTCTTCAGAGAAGAAGGCGCCTAAGCATTGGCTCCAAATAAGCATTGTCTCCAAATACAAGAAGACAAGATGAGCCCAGTAAAGCTGGTCCCAGTGTGCACAACGTTGTATTCAATGGATTCAGAGTGGATACAAAATTAGTAGAATAAGCTGTAGTGGTAATAGAGAACCGAAGTGAATACATCACGCGCACAACTATGTGTGTAAAAGACATCAGCGCGTGATTCAGCCCGTGAACCAACATATGCACGTACTCCATTCGTTTGCACTACACTTCCCAGTTCAAAATGACGTCACACTTCGGTACTCTATGTGATGTAAATGGAAACTCTGCTTTTGCTGTTCCCGTGGAGACTTGACTTATTTCCTACTTGCCTACATATGTATCATGGAAGTACATAAAAACAAGGTGCCAGACTAAATGCACATGTGGTGTAGATATTACATCACATACATGTATAGGCAAGCGTCTTAAAGTTGGTCCGAGACAGTCAGTCGATCGGTACAAAGAGGCTAGCCCTCTGACTCACTTGAGGGAGTTGTGCACATAGGCATTAACCAACGACCCACAGGCATTAACCAACAGATGGTCATTCAGCGAGCAAATCGTTATCAAAATTGATGTACGATGACAGAAATCCACCTGTCTATCCTTCATACTGCAGGTCGGAGTCACTCAGTTTCGGTTCACTTCCCACGAATATTACATCATCTACGGGATGAATCAACCAGAAATGGAGAAACCAGTGACCAGTTTAGCAAATAGTTCTAAATTCTAGCTAAATTTGGTGTCTTGTCATAAAACTTAAAGAAATCTGTAATCTTTGTTACTGTCGGTCTAATCAGTGTTTAACTGTGATAAAGCATCCTTTTGTAATTTTTTTTTTTATCAATTTGGCACTGTACTGGCGAGTGGTTATTTATGTGCAGTGTTAACTTAAGGGTGGGGAGGGGAGGGGGGTTCCATTCACATCTGGAAATGAAAACACTCTGCCTAAAGATAAAAAATATTCAAGTTTATAAGAGCATGACAAATATATGGCGGACTTCAGTGCTATTATCTACTTTTTTGAGAGCGGAGAAATTTCACATACACGTACCTGCTATTATGTTGGTTGACATTATCTTCTGATCACTGTCATTGAAATACTCACTGTAGTTGATCCTTCCAGTCACCAGGACCCTGGAGCTACAAATACAACAAGAACACTATGTCTTAAGCAGGGTTTATTCTCGATTTCTTTAATGGTACCTGTGATGATTCGAGGAAGCGGGAGGGGTGTACAGACAAATGTAAGCACACTATCACTGTACACACACATAGGCCTCCGTAAAAGTAGAGTAGATCATCTGCAGCTACCCAAAAGGTAACTGACAAAATTATTGTTGAAAAGCTTACTTGGTTTAAAGCTAGTACTGGGACTAAACTCCGTGTGAAATTATTCTTTATGGTATGCTGTCATTTTAAAGAAAACATAAAAAAGGCCATTTCCAAAGATGCGTCAAGTGACATATTTTTGGAAATTTCCGTTAGTAGTTGGTTTGTAATTCGGCCAATCTGTGAATAGGTGCGCGGAAGCGTTGACACGACGCGCACGCGCTTGCTATTATTCGTCAGTTCAGTGCGTGACATCATGTAGCTGCAATCAGTTGAATGAGAATGTGTCCTGGATGCTGATTTCGGGCGCAATTCAAAACATGACCAAGCAAGTTTTGAATAGAATATTGTTTTCTCTGAATATACAGCATCCACAGAGCTAAAAGTTCATCAGGTTAGTTGCTTAGCCCCCGTCTTTAGATTTTGAGCACTTTTGTTGCTTCAAATGGAAAAAAATGCACAAATAACAAATGATCTACCCTGCCTTTAAAGCAATTTGCAAACTATTGTTCAGATGTTCTGCAATGCAGCAGTTGCTTTTTAGTGTAGCTCCTTAATATTTGGCACTTGTCCTACCAATTTTAGTTTCGAAAAGAAATGACAGGACCTACTTTTGAACACTGTAACAATCCTCTTGAAAAATTTCTATAAAACAACTCTACACACAAACTCTGTCTGCTTCTCTCTCCTGAGCGATAATAGCATTTAACATGAGGCAATAATAGTCTAATACAACACTCACCCCTTTTTGCAGTATGTGAAGACAGAATCTCGCAGTCCTGGCTTGAACACGTTTATCCGATGCCAACTGGTTCTCTGTTTTAATTCTAGAGAGAAAAAAAACAAACACAACAAAACAACAACTTGAATGTTTGGCATAAGTTGCAGTCCACTATATGTGATGCGATCATGAGTCGTTTGTCGGGAATTTCCATTTGGAGATACAGGCCATCTTCTTCATCGCATCACTTCATCACATCTCTTGATGATCCGACTTCCATAATTTTTGAACTAAAGACGATACCACCATGCGGTTTTCACAGCAGTAATGCTGAGATTGTGCTCCTTTAAAATCTGTAATAAAAAAAAGTTTTGACCGGGGTCGACAAATGACTCATTTAGCTTGATCGCATCACATTAATTGGCAATTCGTCAAACCCCCTTAAATCCCCTAAACTCCAGCACTGGGAGGAAGCCGATGGCACATTTTTCTACTTGATCCACAAAGGGGCATCCATCCAGCCCCATATATAGTAACAGTCACTGTGACCTACTTGCTTTTAACCAGCTATATCCTCCAAAACCTTTAGGAGGGTAAGGGCATCATTTAATTACAACCAGTGTCTTACCGTCTTCTTCACTATCTCGCTTGACTCTAAATGTCTCACTGGTTGCCAAGGGAAACAAAGCCACAGGATTGGCTCCTTGACCTCGTAACTCGGCATCCCGACCAACCCTGCCCAGAAGGGTCACTTTATTCAAACCTGTAAACAAAACAAAACACCTATAAAAATAAACAACATTGCCGCAAGCTGCTTACTGACTAAGATTTCTTTGACTACATCATCCTTTCTGCCACATCAACAATCGGTCCGATATGACAAACCTGTATAACAAAACAAGAACCTGATCAAAATCTGACCAGGAGTTTCCACTGTGAATGAAATTTGGTATGTAGGTAGGTGAAGTTAGCCCTATCTTATGGTATACAAATAATGAATGTTTGTGAGTGCAATGGTAAGAATAATTTCATGAGGTGACAGATGAAATGTTCCATTCCACTGGGCGAAGCCGAGTGGAATGGAACATTTCATATGTCACCGAATGAAATTTTCCATTGCACGAACGTGAAACATTCATTATTTGTTTTATATAACACCTGAATAAATCCTCGTCATCTGATTGGTTGACTTTGAATAGCCAATTTATTCCAGTTAAAAACTGTTTAAAAGTTTGACAAGTTCAGAGCTATCATATTTAATTTATGCAAACTGTTCTACAGGTTGAGAACAATCATATTCAGTTTATCTCAATTTAAAACTGTTCCACGAGTTTAGACCTCAAACAGTTCAACAAGTTCCGAACTTTTATTATCAATTTGTGCAAGGCAAGTTAAAAGCTGTTCCACAAGTTCAGAACTCAAACAGTGTAACAAGTTCAGAACTTATATCAATTTATGCAAGTTAAAAGCTGTTCCACAGCGCCACCACCGGCAGCAGTCAAACCATGCAATGGAAGTTCTATTCACCGTGCAATAGAACTTCCATTGCACTGTGCGCTGCACGCACAATGACATGTGATAAACGATCCACCAATCAGATGACGGGGATTTATTCAGGTGTTGTATAAGGCCCCAAAAAGTCTCCGGTTTCTGGTATGGAGCTTGCCCCAAAAGTGGTGCCGCGACAGCTTTTTTTTTTTAGCTGTTTCAGCTCTTCAGTGTCATGTGACTAAATTCCACCAATCAAATGACAAAGATCTATGTAGGCGTTATATAATATCCCCTATCAATTGAACATTTTAGGGGAGACTTGAAAAGGGTAGGGTGTTGGGAGGGGGGGGGGGGGGAATAAGGGGTTAGGAAATCCTGCTGGCCCATTACTACAATTCTGCATAGGACAAATGACAGCAATCCTTGCAGATTGGTAGTAGTAAAAGTAGTGCTCAACAGAACTAGATTTACCTGAAGGAGTACAATATCAAATACTTACTTCGCTCAACGACACCTGTTTCCACCGTCTTCACTGTTGTACTGTATCCTCTCCCAAGATATCTACACAACTGAGATAAAATTAACAGTACGGTAAATGTAATACAAGTTACAAAGCAAACAGAAAGCTGCATTTAGTTTGCTCAACCATTCAAAAAAACAATCCACACAAAATCTAATTTTGCGAAAAGGGGGGGCATGAATTGTTGTTAGACTGGACTATTGGTGGGGCGGGCTGACGTCATCCGATGAAAACAGCTATGCATTGGCACACCAGTTTTCATCGATTGCTATTAGGTTTGCGCGGTTCCGGCGGTTCCCCGGTTCTAACCGGTTCCAAAATGGGAACCGGAACCGCGAGTCCAATATTTTCAAGAACCGGGTACCCGCTATCGTCGGTTCCGGGCCCAAAAGAATCGGTTCCAGATTAAATTACCTATTTTCTGTGCACAAAATCCAAAGCCGAAAATCGGCTCCACAGGAAATCAATCGCGGAGTCCCGGCCAAAGGTATGGACATCCAGGTATGGATTTCTTTCCGTAAAATCGGCCATCTTGGGAAAAAAAGGGGCCACCTCCTGCTTTTTTTCAAAAAGCCCGGGAGAGAAACTATAATACTAGTTGGCGTCTAAATGACACTTGACACTGACAGTGATCATAAGGATGATGAAATCAAACTCATACTGCATCTACCAGTTAATGCCATAATGGTTAAAGGGGCACTAGGTCCTGAAATCCCTGAAAATTTCATGTTTTGGATTGTTTACTTAGCCTATTTCAAACATCTGGTTGGAAGGAAACCAACCTAAGTAATGTCTTACCGTTCCTGAGTAAAGACGAAAAAACCCCCGTTTTTTTACATCGAACATGTCGCGGTACGAATACGGTTTTCCTGTTGTTCAATGTACGATATACACGTTGCGTGTGTGTCTATTAATAACATACGTATACAGCACCGTGCTCAGGAACAGCAGTGACCAATCACGAACATGACCAATGCACAAAATGTGGTTTCTTACACGTCTGCAAAAGGCAAACACTTTACGGATGAAATCACAACTAGCAGTAGCACCCAAACACTGAAACAGCTTGACTTTTGGGGTCGCAAAAGTGGACCCCGAAATTCGTTCCCGCACGCATAATGGAATAACACAAAAACGCCCAGTTTTTAAAGGATAGTTGTGTGGATGTTTATATCCTACTTTTAAATGTTCTTTCCAATCAACATCATATCGTTCAAAGCGCATTTTGTAGCCAGGACGCAGTGTCCCATTCCAATCCCAAGTTTAACTTGAGTCAAGTTTGTATAGTCATGATAGTTGGCAAGTCATTATATTATAGTGAAGTGCAACCACAGTGCTTTTTTTCATAACAACATAGGCCTACCTGAGTTAATGACGACCTGTACATTTTGACCTATTGTTTTGGCAAGAATGCAACCACACTTTTCCACACTCCACAATCTTTTCTTATGAAGAGAAATAAACCTGATGATGCAGTGATAGTGATGCAACGTGCCTACCACCAGTGCTAGTGTTTTTCCCGGGAAATTTTCGTGGGCCGGGCATGTGCAGCCGGGGTCAAATTTGTTTAGAGGTCAAAAGTTTGGTCAAAACCATTTTTCATGCAGGGGATTTAATCTAATTGCCATACTAATTCGTAAGAAATATCATGAAATTTGTTTTTCCCCACATGTGTTTTTAACTAAAATAAAGACAATATATTTATTTCTGATCGTTTTTTATTTTTTATAATAGTTTAAGTGTTTGTGCATTTACAACTAGTATTAACTGACAACACTTGCACTTGAATCTTGAGTGGTATCTACCAACATGGCGGCTTCCAAGCTGCAGACTGATTGACAGATTTAATGCAGGTTTTAACTCGCGATTTCTTGGTTTTGTAGATGTATTTTTGTGCGTGAGTTGGTAGGGGTAAAGACCAATGTTTATTTTCTATTGTTTGTGTAATTTTTTTTTAGGTTCACTGTGCCTTATGTTGTATTTTACTTAATCAAAATCCTTCAACTAGTACAAAACGCTCCGTCACTCATGTCACTCAGCTGCCCCAAGACGTGAATTTGAATGCTGTGGGGCGAGTTTGCCAAATGCTCTTTCGTTGATACGATTTGATTTAATAACTTAAGGCAATGGCTATATATTTGACCATTAGCCGGTCCCATATTGTTTTTGGTATTGAACCGACAAGGAACTGAACATGCGATGTGACTGTTTTTTGGGACTTGAATTTTTGGTGATCGTGTAGGCCTATATTATAGGCCCCTACACTACAGTATAGGATCTACGCCGCTACGGTCATGACGGTACAGGAATGATGTCTTGACGGGCCTGGTTCGGGCATGACGGGCCTGGTTCAGGACCTGGCGATCGTGTAGTGTAGGGCCCCTGTTTAGTTTCCATAAGCGTGTTAAACAAAAATGACCTTTTCAACCTAGAGCAGACTTCTCTCAATATTATAATGACACCTAGGCCGAGGCCTATTTTGCAATTTTTAAACAGTTTTTTGGGGTAGAAATTACGATTTTCCTGCATGGTTTACAGTTGGTGCCATGCGATTCGGCATCTTTATTTTTTAAAATTTCTACCCTAAGAAACTGTTCAAAAAATACCAAAAAGGTGTCATTATATATTGAGAGAAGTCTGCTTTAGGTTGAAAAGGTCATTTTTTTAGTTTTAAAAAACACCCTTGACTCTAATTTGATCAAAACTAAACAGGGGCCCTACACTACTACACAATCGCCAATTTTGTTTATCGTGACGAATATTTGTCTGGTTCCGCGCTAACTTGAGTAGGCCTAACTCTAGCTCCAATACTCATCAGAAATTGGACATTTAACGCTGGAGGTCAATGTACGTTCTATCCAGAGGTAAAAAAATAGCGGAGTCCTTTAAAAAACGGACTCCACAAAAACGGTCCTTTTCCCCTATTAATTATCCAAACCCAGATGAGAGTAAACATATCGGAAAAAAAATAATGTTGCATCCTGACGTCACTTCAGCAGTTGTGTACAAAGTCTATGGAGAGTCAAGAAAATTTTCTAAGTATTTCTTAACAAAATTGGAAATGTTTCTCAGTCCCAGGTTCATGTATTTTCAACATTACAATGACTGACCTTTGTTGAGATGATATATGAAGAAAAAAGTGGCGCTAGGATGCAACATTCTTTCCAACATACCTGCAGCAGTCATTCATGAAGCTAATTATCGACTTGAAACAGAACAACAGTGACAAAAATATGAAAAATATTGATGATTTTGGTGGCTTCTTGAGAAAAACTGTCCAGTTCCGCTGTCATGGCTGCGTTCTGGTGGTTGCGTACCTGTGTGCATGCGCATGTGTCAGTCAGGGGACCAGATGAAAAATCGAGAATCAAAAAATTTGCTAGATTTACCACACTCATTTTGCTGATTCTTGTCTCTTGCAGAAATCCGTCTGTTGTCATCGGAAAGTTAAGTTGCTGTATCCAGCCAAATCTTCAAGATGATGAGCGATTCACTGGCAGCCATCAACGTTGATCAACTGAGCAACGCTGTGAGTGCTGTGGTGAATGGCACGCAGGGGCAGTCCCACAATGCTGGTTCTGCATCACAGGTATTAAGCTGACTTAATATTGGATTGAAAATCTCAGTGTCAGACAGTAGTGCTTTGGGAAAGATTTCCATATAGGAAGTTCACTCAACACCCTGTGTACAAACCCTATGAGATTGGACTGAAAAATTCCAAGTGTTTTCTAAGAAAATGCTTGTATTTTCTCACTGCTCAAATTGACTTTGATGACATGAAATTGCTATCTGGGGGCTTGTTAGTCAATACAGAGGAAAATTAGTGAACTTCGTATATGGAAATCTTTCCGTACAGACTGGGATGTTAAGTGCAGAAAAACATGCCAAACAACATCTGGCCAACTGACCAAATTCTTCAAATTTCTACGAGGCAAAAGCAAGGTCCTCAGTATTTCACCAGCCAAGTTTGAGGTCTCAGTTCGATTTTTAATTAGATGAGACCTTCAACAATTTGCACAGATCTGAGAGCTATGCAAAGTGATTTCAATTCGAAGCTTTAGACTTGACTGGGACATATCCAACTTTTGGAAGAGATCAACCCTTCGGTAGTCTGATGGCATGACCATTGAGGGAACGTGTAGAAATAGAGACTAGGTACCGGATATTTCTTTTGACACAGTTGGTTGATGCAGTACTAAAGGGTTGTTGGACTGGTTGTTTCATGTGCCAGTCTATTTTCTTGTATTGCGTGTTTTCACAATCTTAAAGTTTTGGGACTCACACACAGTATTGAGAGTCTCAAATTTTCGAACTAGTGTTTTTCTGAATGTCATACATTGTAATCCTCTTTAACATGTTTCGTTGTACATTTTAATCTATCGATGTACAAACCATTGTCGGCATTATAAAAGTACACGCAGAATTGAAAACACTAATCTTTAGAATATTGGAATCTTCCGCCTAAACTTCCACCACCCCCCCCCCCCCCCCCCCCCCCCCCCGAAAAGAGACACAAAATTTAAAAACAAATATGTTATTTTTACTACTGTTTCATTGTCAGACTACCATGGGCCTCCAAATGCCGACCACCAATACCGTCCCCAATACCGTCATGGTCCATGTAGACCGGCAGCTGTTGAGTCAGCTTGCGTTCCCCCATCCGGGATCGACTGGCGAGGTTTCCAATATTGATGGCACGCTGTTGCAGAACTCCGGTAATCTTTCTATACAATTGGAGTTTTTCAATCACTTTTTTGCAAGGTGCGAAGGATTCGCTTGACAAGCTATGTACTAATAATTACACAAGTGTTAATTCAATATTCAATACACTGGAGTGGGGTTCAAACCAGGGACATCTGGAATGCTGTACCGATGCTCTACCAACTGAGCTATCCAGTCAGTGTCTTTGTTGTTATAAGGCCAAGTAAAAAAAAACATGTTTAGCGTCCGGGTTTTTGAAAATAAAGGAGGAGGCGGGGCTTTTTTTTTCCGTGTTTTTTTCTTCAAGATAGCCGACAACCGTTGGTTTTTACACTGTTCAAAGATACAAAAAAATGAAACAGACATGCTGGACAAGAGAATTAAACATATTTACAGTGTTTTTAATAGTTTTCCAGCACGGTTTTACAAGAATTAAAAAACACTGCCGCACGGGCATTCTTGTCCACGTCGAGGCTGGTTTGGAGATCGCAGGGTCGACTGCATGCATGATGTGGGAAGTGACCAATAGAGTTTAGAATTAGAAGTTCCGACTTGCAAGTATTTGATTTTATGACAGATCGGTCGACATTTTTGCTTTTTTTTTCCAGAAAAAGAAAAAGAAAAGAAAAAGGAGGCGGCCTCCAAAAAGGAAGCGGGCGGGGACGCTAAACATGTTTTTTTTTATTTGGCCTAATTGAAGAGACTTTACTTCAACCAAAGGCAAAATGTCATTAAAATGTCAACGCACCACTCAGTAATTGACTAAGATTCATAGTATCAAACTGGTTAACACACATCACAAGCACTTATTGTTAACCAGTTTGCAGCGAGATTATTTTGACAAGAACAGAACAAGGCACGGGATTACTTTTCACTCGACCTCAAGCCAGGCGGGTTGAAGCCATCACCCTCGGGCAGCACACTCATATTTCCGACCTCGCTCGCTGCGAGCGGGTCGCTGACAGATATTTCTTGCCTCACTCCCTGCATGTTTACGGCGTCATCCGTTCTGAATACCGCAAATCTTTGTATACACGTCATCCGACATGAACTGGTTAAAAGTTGAAGTTGAGTTTTGGGAAGAGTGGAAGGTGTTATTTTAATTGTCTCCAAACTAAGGAGGTAACTTGGGTAAGTTTGGGGTTCATCATGACAGGATTGGTCTTTTCAACTTCTGTTTTTCTCCTTGTAATATTCTTTCAGTGAATGTTTCGGGCGGTTTTCAAACCGGCAACTCACAGCAACAGAGCAGATTGCTGCAACCTATCACCCTGACTGCCACACCCCCCACCACATCCCAGAACACACTGGTGGCAACGCAGATGATGGGCCCATCTGCAGCAACCAACGGACAGGTGCCGTCCTCAATCCAAAATGTGGCCCTCATGAACGCCGTGCAGATGCTGAACGCTCCCCACTCCAACGTGGGCAGAACCCCTGCCGCAACCCACAACGCACCCATGAACCAAGTGGTGGGCACACAGATGATGATCCCCTCCATCCTCACCAGCATGGTGCCGGCTGCCACAAGCCAGGTCGCAACCCAGAGTACACCCCAGAACGCTTTGCTGGGGACCACGGGACTTGCCAATGCCTTCATGACAAAACAGGGTGGGGAACAAATGATATTCAATATTCAACCAGAAGTGGCCAGAGGGGGTAACAGCACTAACAGTAACAACAATGTATTGCAGCTGGTGCCCATCAACAATAGTAGTAGGTGAGTATTTCAAATACTGCTGCTCCTGTTGGATTGTCTTCTATTTTGGTGAAAATTCTGGCATGAATATTACCATTCAACTCCAGTAACATGAGAAGTTTAAATGCCAAAGACCTAGATGATGCATTTGTGGAGGGACTGTTGCAGCATCCATATCTGTAAGCTATTTGACAACCAAATAATATCTCTCCTTAACCTTTTAACATGTCTTTAATGACTTCCTGTTCTTGACAGTGGTCTTTCAAACCAGCAGCCTGCAAACCAAAACCCAATGATCAACATGAGCATAGCCATCCACCTCCCGTCCCAGGGTAACCAAGACAACAAGGACCCCAGCAACGCCCAGAAACAGGCCCGAACTATCCCCTTGTCTCAGCTGATGACTGGCCAGCCAATCCCAGTCTCTCAAATCGCTGGTCCTATCCATATGGCAGTGGAACACGGACAGGATCGAGGGGCTATCTCATCTGGCGGTGTGCATCAAGTCTCGCAGTTTGGTAGCCCTGCCCAGGGTGTGAATGCCCCCCAGATGGCTGGCCAGCTCACAGGGAACATTGTCCAGTCGCAGATGTCGATACCCTTATCCCAGCTAGCCGTAGCCCAAGCCATACCCTTCTCCCAAATCACCACACATCTCTCAGACAGTTCCTCCCAATCTGGCTTGTGTCTCCCCAACAATTCGACATCTCAGCACATTCAAATACCGCATTCAGTCTTCCAGTCCTTGCAAGCAAACTCTGTCAGCATGGCGTCGACCCCGTTTGCTGCCGCGACGTCCACAACGCAAGCCATCACCACGGCGTCGCAAGTTGCTGCGCCGGTTTCGACGCCGGCCCAAGCCCCGGCCGTCATGATGGGACAGGAGATGCAGGGGAAATCGTTTTGGAACCTCCAGTCACTGGATCAAGGCTCACAGCTGACCTCAGAGTTGACCTCTAGCCTGGCCCCGTCCTTGACCTCGCAAACCCACGACGGCTCATCTGTTGCACCGATCACCAAGGCTCCAAGTCAGACTGGAATGGATCTAGGCATGGTGTCTATATCACCAGAGGGGCTGGTTTCAAGTATGAGCACTGACGACATGGCAAACATAGATCTGGGGGCAACGGAGTCCATCGAAAATCTAGCCATGCCATTTGATGAGGAAGCATCAAACATTTGTGAGTAATTTCTCTTGTAATTAAAGGTAGAGTCATTTACAGCTATCCAAAAAGTAGCTAACAAAATTATTGATGAAAAGCTTACTTGGTTTAAGATAGTAATGGCAGTAAACTCCCTGTGAAATTATTCTTTGTATTTTACCAGCAAATCTTGATCATCGTGGAACCTGTCATTACACACACTATCAAGGTTGATACAAGACACTCACAGAATTGTGTTTGAAGTAAATGAATTGCTATTTTACTCCTGACAAAATGTTTTAGAGTGGCCGCACGATTCCGAAGAAAGTCAGGCAAACTATTTTCAAAATGGCGGGCGGAGGCGATTCAACAACTGTTTCGTGAAGGAACACAATTATACCAAAACAGCCGTCGTAAATGCTATTAATATGCTCGTCCAAGATGTTTAGATGATTTAAAATGTTTGGCAGCTCAGCAATAAATTTGTTGTGTAAGTCCTACGCATGGCGTAAGTTGCGCACTGTTTCGTGAAATCGGCTGCTTGCCCTTCTTGGAACCATTTCTCTTATAGAACTGTATTCCTCATACACTTACTGTTTTTTTTCTTCCCAGGGTGTGTTGAGTGCAACCATTACAATCCCACCACCTGTGCTACCCACGGCCCACCGACGTACATTCCAGATACTGAGATACCATGCAGAGCCAAGCTGACGTTGCCCGCCATGCTGAGGTTATCCGAGTCACTGACGAATCGCAAAAATCTGCGCTGCGGTAAGAAATGCTGCACAATGCTTTGTGACTCTCCTTTGTAAAATCAGAAATGATGTGCTTTACTTGAATTCTTGCTAGTAATTATTCAAGGATTTCTGCAAGGTTCGCTGGTTGTAATACTTCGGAAAGTGAAAGACATCTAAGAAAGTGTTGGAGCTGGTAGGAAAACCCTAGAATGATATTCCCGAAAAAAACACATTCAAATCATAGGTTTTGAAAACCCTGATCCGCATATCGGCCTGAGTAGGATTCAGACCCATGGCAAACATTTGAAAGGCAAGAAAGTCCAACTGCACCAACTTATGAGGTAATATACAACATTTGCAAACCTCAAAAAACCAAAATACCAAATTGTTATGAAATAACTTACTCCACTGTAAGTGCATTTAGTCTCCAGCATCCTGTGAAATCATGGCACCTGATGTGTTGTCATTTTCAAGAAAAGTGGAATTTCTGTATCAATTTCCAATCATGGTCGGCCGACCATCGTTGGAAAAAAATCTGACTTTTTTTCAAATACTGCTCCCAATTTACCAACTTTAGTTAGTCCACATTTTGTTTGCAATCGGTTGCACATCTGTGAACAGGTGCAAGCCAGCTAGTCTGGTTCCCTGACCTGACAATTCCTCGACATCTATAAATTGCTTGTTTTCATCTGAAGTTGGGTCAGGGAACCAAACCACAAGAACAGCATTTTTTTCTTGGTTTTTCCAGCATGTATGCACACAAACTTTTAAACAGGTCAGTGTAAAAATACTAAACCCCAAATGCATTCATTTCTGAAAATTACAGCAACAGCAAATGTTGTATACTAGTACTTTAAGGGTTAAATCATTTTACCTGTCGTGAATGAAACAGTTACAAGTTTTAAGACTGACACTCTCAGATCATTCAAAAAATTAAAACAGATTTTAGAGGGATTTTGCAATGTCAAAGAAAATGCATCCCAGCTCCTGTGTGTTTTCATGGGACTTAATGGTTCCTGCAAGTCAAAAAGATTGTGTCATTCGGTTTCTACACAAGGCTTGACTTTTGGAAGATTTCAACAAATATTTCAGTTGGATTTGAACATCTTTAATTATATAACTATTACATTTCTAATCAACAAAATTAGCTGGCCTGACGTTTCGTTCTTAACCTGCCTCTGAAGCAGCTGGGGCCAATTTCGTAGAGCAGCTAAAGCACAAAATTGCTTAAGCACAAAAAAAAACACCTTGCTTAATATAATCAGGTTACCGGCCCAAACTCCATGCGATGTACATTGCTTGTGACTGGTATTTAGCTGTTGTTCACTTAGCATAATAATCGCATGGAGTTATAACTTATACTTATAACTTACGAAACTTTTAGTTGAGAATGAAAGCCTATGTAATTATTTTAAGAAATGTTAATCTCAATTTCATGTCATGTAGGTGTCATTGCAGTGGAGAATATCCAAGCACGCAGTCAGTTTGGCCCTTTGATTGGAAAAGTTATCAGTAAGAGTGATGACATTCTAGAAGCAGATTCCATTAGGATTTGGAAGGTAAGACCATGAAAGAGGTTAAACAGGTAAACTGTAATCATTCATATTCAATAAAACAAGTCCAATTTTCTTGTCAGCTTGATGCTTTATGTGAATTCTCAGAGGGTTTAGTATAAGAATAATAACAAGTTGGGGGCCTAATCATCCTTACTCGCAGCTGACAAGCCGAATTGTGAAGGACGTGGCTACGTGGTCGAGCCAAAGGCACATAAAGGTGCCTTTGCCGCCATATGACCCATGTCTGACCATGGAAAACAGCCAGAGATCGAAAGTGTTTAATTTTGCGGAGGTAGCAAAACCGGAGAGCCCGGAGAAAAACCCTTGTGGCACAGAAGAGAATCGATGCACAACTCCACTCACATATGGTCCTAGCCAGGAATCGAATCCAGGCCACAGTGGCGAGAGGCAAGCGCTTTACGCACTAGCCACCCAGGCCACCCACAGTGCCCATAAAATTAAAGTTGGTGAATAACCCTGCAATTTTTGTAATTTTTATACTAAAAAACATCTTTTTTTTTCCCTTGGATAATTTTGGTAGATTTTGTTTTTGATAGATTTTCCGCAATGGCATTGCCAGCCATTTTATTGACGTTTCCGACGAGAACCAATCCAACTGGATGAGGTACGTCAGGCTGGCCGCACGGTCGCAAGAGCAGAACGTCGTGATCCACCAGAGTGGAGGAAACATTTACTTCACCACCAATAAACAAATTACGATGGGGGAAGAGCTGAGGGCTTGGTACAGCCAGGAATACGCACGATGGAACGGTTAGTCTTGATTACAGAACAGATTATGTTGTTACCTCAGATTTTTGGGCCAGGTTACACAAGGCATTTCACAGGCAACGGAATGCACTGACATATACAGGAGGCCATGGGAGTAGTGTTTTTTCCCCCAGCAGTTATTAAAATCCCTCCAAACATTACATGGAATTAAAATTTGCATGTTACTTTTCTCCTTCGATTGCCTGGAACAAGTTGCGGGCCTCTTGTGTCATGGCCCTTACATTGGCAAACTTATTTTCCATTATGGTGAAAGGGATACTTTTCACATGGATTGCAAAGATAGGCCACTGACATTGAGCAAGTTTAGACAAATGATTGTTGTTGTCCATAGTTCTTCTAAGAATCATCGTATAATTAGTGTAGTCCACTTTTCTGGACCAGCCTACCAACACTATGCAGTAAGCTAAATGTAAAACAAAATGGATTTTGTATAAAACTGGGAAATCATTCTCCATACAGAGAAATGTAGGCTGGTTCTACCATAATATTGCAGTGTTGGGGTTGGATTTTAGCTATTCCAAAGTGTGTGCACAGATATGAGACAGACTGTCAGAGCTCTATGTGATTTGCCTGATTTTCAAAGCACTAATAAATTTGGTAGTTACATAATGAAGTATCGTATACTACTCATTAATTAACACTTCTAGTCTTCTGCATTTCACAACCCTTTTAAGTTTTGCAAAATCACTTTTGCCCATAGAGTTAGCACCCACACTTCAAATTCCTTGGAGGTAATCGTCTGTGGAGTATGGACGACACTTTAAATCCCTGCACAATTCTTTTGTGTAGTACAGCTACAAGCAGGCAGATTTGGTTATGCTTCTCTGCTCTCTACAGTGCTGTTTTTGTGTGTGCAGGGTCTCTCTGTGTGACACAATTACTTTAACCCTAACCGCCCTGAATCCTTTAAAATCCTCTTTGCCACAGTGGAGGAACTTGGAGGATTGAGGTTACATGGCAAAAGTGCGTTACTGATTTCATAGGATGCACTTTGTCAAGGTCTTGGGTTGACCTTGTGTTGTTTTTGCTTAGCCATGCATAAATATAGGCCTGGATTATGCTTGGAATCCTCTGTACTGCTCCAGGATGGCAGTGGCCAAGCCTCAACATATTGACAGTCACTGCCGCAGGATTTTGCAAGATTCAGGCAGTGGTCGCCCCTCCACGGACCATATTCAAGAAATAATGGCGGAATATGCAGGATTGAGGCTATGCTATTTTTCCAGGAGGCCATCGGAGGATTTTGCAGGATTCAGGCCACATCCTAGCAAAAAGGCTTAGGGAGTTAGGGTTAACGTTTCATATCCCTTGATACTGACCTGCAAATGGCACACTGGAGGTGTATCCTGATAAGCACAATACATTTTTCCACCTATTGATTCTCCATAGGTGTACCTGAGAAGCCAGGCTCCTCCTTCCAGTGCACCCAGTGCCCCATGCAGTTCCTCCAGCGCAGACAGCTGTCCCAGCACCTGGGCTTCAAGCATCCAGACATGGCCTCCCGCCACTACAAATGCTCCCTCTGCCCGCGGGCCTTCGTCTCCAGCACCAAGCTGCAGCTGCACATGCTGACTCACATGGGTCTCAAGCCGTACAAGTGCAGTCACTGCGGCAAACAGTTCTCAGACCCCAGCAACCTGCGCATCCACACCAGGATCCATACGGGTGAGACATGGGTACAATTCTTCGCAAATTCGAGCCCGGTAGAGTTGCGGTCTGGTCCTCACTTGTCATCCTAATTCAGTCACAAGTCCATCACAAGTTGTCCAAGTCAAGTCAAAAGCTATTCCAATAAACTTGTGAAAAGGGCAGTCCTATTAATAACTCATTTTAGCCCCATTAACTCTCCTATGCAAACATACATTCTGTGCCAAGTTTTCCTTTCAGTCCAAATCGATCATTAGTGACTGTTTTCAACAGTTAAGGGCTCCCAGCCTACATAAAGCAGGATTGACTGGCTGTGACTGTTTATGTAACTTGATACAGCTATGCTTTGACTGTAGGTGATTGATAAGCCAGCTGTGCCTGCCACTTGCCTTTTTTTTGTCTGTTGACTGAATTTGACTCATCAAAGTGCTTGAGTGAAATATGATCTGACTGTTTGTGACTAGCCTGTGTAAAAGGCATGGCAGGGGAAGATTATTGCTTTTTTGATTGACTGTGACTGTTCAGGTAGCAGGAGGGTTAATAAATTGTGACCACTGCACAGTTGTGATTTGACTTGTGATGGACTCGACTCGAAATCTGGGCCCCATTTCTTGGCTCTTCAAAACCACAGAACTCTGCGCCTGTGATCACCTTTCTGTGTTTAGCATTAGCACAAAAATTCTTTCATGTACCATTTCTGGTTGAAAGAAGTGAATTTTCATTCCCTGCCTTCTTGACATGGACCATGTTTGCCGTAAAAACACCAATCGGTGTTCAAACCAACGTATGGGGCTGGAAGTGTGTGCACAATCTCTCATCTCTAATGTTTACATAACAGGCCCAATACTTCAGGCTATCTGTGCATTATGTGAACTATTTGTCACTTTGACTGCAGATATTATATGTGATGCGATCAAGCTAAATGAGTCGTTTGTCGGGAATTATTATTTGAAGAGACAGGCCAAAATAGGGCCACTTCATCACATCACTTCATCACATCTCTTGGTGTTCCGACTTCCATAATTTTTGGAACTAAAGATGGTACCAGCATGCGGTTTTTACAGCAGTAATACTGAGATTGTGCTCTTTTCAAATCTGTAATAAATTGGGTTTTTTACCAGGGTCGACAAACGACTCATATAGCTTGAACGCATCACATATGAAAATCCCTTAGTGAAGTTGAAATAAAAATCACAAACCATAAACACAGATTTGATATAAACACAGAACTAATAATCTGATATAATTAATGAATGTTTTTATACTCATTTTGTTATGGTTTCCATGGTTTCCAGAAGAGAAGAAGTTCATTTGTGACATTTGCCAGAAGGCCTTTCGTCAGAAGATCCACCTGATCTCTCACATGACCACCCACACTGGGGAGAAACACTTGAAATGTCCCTACTGTGACCTGACGTTTTCCACCCACTCGACTCTCATCCAGCACAGACACTCCCACGCGACTGACAAGGAGGTACGTGGAGCTTAAAAGCTAGTTTATGTTTGCACTTTCTGTTCCTCTATAAGATTCAAACTGGAGAGCCAGCAAAAGCAAGCTCAGTCAGCAGGTGGTTGTGCGTTAATTGACCTATCGCGGTAGAATCGCGTTAGAATCATGTTAACGCAGCTTGTGAAATACTGTCCAATTACATGATTTACAAATGGATGCGGAATGCGCAAATTCTGCGACAAACAAAACTTAGTGTACCAAAATTCCGTAGGGTTGTCTAAGGGGTGTGGCTAACTTGGAAATGGCGATAGGTCAATTGCACCCAAGTTTGTATATTTTTCTAAGCTTTCGGATACTTTAGTTCAAAGAGATCATAAAATTGCCAACACCAAAAAAGTCCAACCCCATCAATACAAACTCAGCCAGAACCAAGTCAAAATGTTTGTTATATCCAAATTTTGTCCTATTCATTGTGCACATAAATGCACAGTTGGGACTAAGGCTTTAGGTTCACTATAACCAGAAATTTGTTGAATTTTTAACAAAGTTAGATTCAAATACTGATAAACAGATTATACCCTGCACATGTACTTTTCTAAGCGCTGTATGCTCGGTGCTGTCTAAGAGCCAATCAAAAAATTTACAAGCTTGATCAGATGCGAATTAAAACAGTTATTTACTACAGTAGATGTCTTATTCACCCATCTTCCGAGCTTGCTGGGGTGAGCTGGCCAATTCAAAAGTAATTGATCAGCGCACCTGCTGCTATGGACTCCCTATGGACACTGTACCTGATGCATAACGGTGCATAACTTAATTAATTCTGGATTTGCAGAAACCCACTGCATTGCTGAGTGAGCACCTGGCATTTAGTACATTGTATTTTAATATTTTTCCCAACTCTTTTTTTGTCAATGTTCAGGAGGGAGCGTTTGTGCACAGAGTTTATATCCCCGGTTCCAAATTCCGTTGACTTTGCATTTTTCCACAATGTCACCCCTTTACTGAGTCATTAGTAAAAGTCACTAATGAACTTGTACCATGCTTGCCCAAAAATGTCTGCATTGCTAATATTATATACCACATATGTTTCATTTGTTTTCCATCTCAATTATTCATCCAGTTGCAGTGCGACAAATGCAACCGCAAGTTCAAGACCTATCGCATACTCCAGAAGCACATCAAGACGCACACGTCCCAGCGTGAATTCAAGTGCCAGTCCTGCAGCAAGGGGTTCTACACACGCTACCACGCCAAACGGCATCACCAGAAATGCCGGGGGTCGGGAGGGGAGCGAGATAGGAAGAGGGACAGGGGGAGGGAGGAGGGCGGGGATGGGGAGAGGAAAGCCAGAAAGCGGAGGGGTAGACCTATGAGACATCTGAGGCAGACTTCCCATGATTCTGAATCGAGTCTGGTCGAGAGTTACGGTACTGATAGTCACACCCATCAGGGAAGGAACACGGAGCACCATCTGACTGTCCGACGAGAGAGTCATCCAGGTGATGACGAAGAGCCAAGGTTGGGGTCAGGTGATAGAAGGGAACTGCCAAAGAGTGTCAGAAGGGGATCACACAGAGAGAAGGAAAGGACACCAAGGGGAACTTTCGGTGGACATGGTGTGCAAAGTTTAGATTACTTTGTTGGTAGTGTCTTAGGATCGTCCAATATGGAAACTGGGCTTTCCTCTGCGGAATTGGATCAGTCGTCTGAGCAACACAAACATGAACGCCAGAGGAACTCCTCGAAGAAGTCTCCAAATAAGGACGCTGATTCTGCAAGCAAACGGCGAGATGGCAGGCCCGTCCGGCAGAGAAAAATGCCCAAGAGGTACTCCTCAGAAGAGGACAAGTCTCTGGATAAAAGCAGGCATACAGGACGCAACCAACAGGGAAGAGACAGGCGCCGTGGCTTCTACAACTTCAATATTGTTGACGCACCTGCCAACACTGAAAGTAGCCCCAGAGATCAAACACCGAGACGGGGAAGCAGCAATGATTCAAGTTCCCATGTAGGTGGTAATCCAGGAACCTCTCTCTTCGACACCAGCCATGCTCTCGAGTCTGGTATTCTGGACGATGGTGAAGACTCTAGGGGGAGCCCTTCAGTTTCCTTCTCGGAGCTGATGGAGAGCGGTGGCCTGCAGAACTCCAGCTGGCACACTGCTGTAGGAGTTGGTTCCCTTAACAATACCCCAGGGCCAGTTGAGCAGGGAACATCAAGAGCAGTTGGGATGTTACCAATAGGAATTGGATTGTCATCGTCCGAGACTGCAACTTTGCCATCATTGGCCATTTCACAGCCAGTTGACACGGACTCTACATTACAGATGCCCAGTTCGCTGTACTCGGCCAGGTCATCGTCCCTGGCAACGAGTTCAATGTCGACGCAGATGAGGGGTGAGCTAACAAGCGATGTGGAGGCAAACGAGCAATGTGATGATGAGGAAAGGGCAGGGACAGTCAACGACAATGTTGAGGAATAGTTGACAGACAGATATAACTTGTATCTATTTAATCGACTGTTACAACATGTGAAAGCTGGAGTTTGTTTCATTGCATGTACAGTGCAAATGTTGAAAACACTCGTGATCTTTTTGATATCTATTGTGAAATCAAATTGTGGCTCTTCCACATCAATTACAGGTGTCAAAATCAATGAATTTCAATCACTTGACAGGAAGGCATAAAATCAAAGCTTATTGTTCGAGGGCCCTTTGCCCAAGTTCATGTGTGAGAAACAGGCCATGGTGATTGCATAACAGAAAGTGGTTCTTGTGGCACCTTCACTTATTGGTTTTAACTTCCCATTGCATGTATACCCTTGCTTGCTGCCCATTGTAATGCTGTTAGTAAATGTAGAATTTACTAATTTGTGCAGGCGTGAAAACATTGTAAATGTTATGCTGCATTGAGGGTAGGCGGTAAAAAGGTTGCATGCGCTGAACAGTAATGATCACTGTACATACACGTGTCATATCAACTTGTGTGTCGCATGCCAGGATTTGTGTTAAGCTGGCGTTAGGAACTAGCCTTGGTCAAGGTGTTCGTTGATTGTGTCCGTGATGGTATCTGGCCACCAAGCGCAATGCACTGAGCGAATATTTGTTCGTCGCCTACTGATTTGCATCATTGTAGACGGGTGAGGTTTGCACTTTGTACAGTGCATAGTGCGCAGCTAGTGTTTGTTTTTAGCGGTCAGGTACCATCATGGACACTATCGACGAGTGCCTTAAGCAAGGCTAGTTCCATCGCAGCACAAGCAAATCTTAGTGTTCCATGTCTCAAATGATTGCATCATGTAACCTTCATTAAATATTAACCAGTAGGGAAGGAGGTTCCAAGTATTCAAGGGGTATTAACTGCACTGTATTTTAACCTCCAGGCTTCATCTGACAATGCAATACACCAACCACAATAAAAATAAAACTCAAGGAATTCAAAAACCGTTCATTCTGAAATGTCTTTATTTGATAAAATCTATGTACAAAATACCACCCTTAACATGCGCCCTTGTAACTCAATCAATAAAGATCACACCGACTTTCCAATATGAATTTATAAAGGTTCATTGAAAACAATTTTTGGGAACTGCTACCAAACATACTGAATGTTGAGGCTTGTGTCGGTAGATCAGAAACTGGCAATGTAATTCTGTGCTTAACACTTCTAATACAGTGTTGCAATAAATAAATCTGTCATAACATGAGCTCAGCAGGATTTGTAAATGCCATTTTCTCCAAAGTTAGTTTCACAGTTTAAATTAGGTTTGTGGTCTACATTTTGGTTCATACTGACATCGACACCATTGGAAAGCTCCTGTTTTGAAGAATCCATATATTTTTTAAAGTATAACTTTATAGCTCATTTTCTGACAACAGGCGACAATTTAGCCGAGAACCAGTCACAAGTTACATAGCATAGCATTACACTTCGGTTGGTAACCTTTTTTTGTCACTGACTGACTGAGCAAATATTGTCTATGTTTTGCAAAATTTGTCTGTGCTTCACAGCTCCATGAAATTGGCGTCTGGTTTCCGTGTAGTTAAAATGAAATGTTTCCCCATTTAAGATGCAAAAGGCAATAGGAAAGAGTTGTGCACATGGTTGTTTTACAGTCTACCAAATTCCTAGCCTTGATCAAAGTGTTTGACGATAGAGTCCGATCATCCATGGTTGGTTGGCTGTGCGCTAGCGCTATGAACTTACACCTACTGTGCGAAGCGTGAACAGCGACCTCATGCGGCTAGGCTACAATACAGGTAGTGCTGAACTAACGCCTTGGAACAACCATTCGCCTTAGCTTAGTTTTTCTGTATTTTGTCGTTGCGGGGTTTTTGCGACGACCCTGTATGTGAATTTTTACATTTTTACATGCACAGAGAGTTGGACAGTGTGACTACATTCTCCAACAAGTTTGGAACTGCAGACCAAAAATAAATTGATATAAATCCTGTGAAAAACCCCCGAAAACTGCCCGAAAAACATAGGCCAACGCGACGGTTGTTCAAAGGCATTCATTCAGCACCAACTGATTTGCATATTGTAGCCTAGCCACGAGAGGTCCCTGTTCATACTTCGTACAGTACCTGTGAGTGCATAGCACGTGGCTAATGTGTATGTTAGCGGCCAACCACTGATCATCAGACCAAACGCCTTGACCAAGGCTACCAAATTCCTTGACTTGATTCCTTACATTGCATTGAGTCTGTCATGCCAATATTCCCCAGTGGAAAGAAAATGTTCCGGAACTACTGTCTGATCGTATCCTACAAACGGTCTATTTCATATGCAACAGAGTTTCTGCATGGGACTGGCAAGTTTCAAAAGGACTTGTGTGTTTACATAAGTGTGTTTGGAGGATGGGGGAGGGGGCTTTCTCCAAGCTTTTAATCTATGCAAATGTACACATCTGATATGTTGAAATGAACTTTTTTACACAGGGAACATACTGATGCCTATATGGTGCCTTAACCCTTTCAAAACTCAACCAATCAAACCCCAACGGCATGTTTTGTTGGAATCTGTTAGGATAGGTACAGTACCCCTAAACTGATGGTCTTTTACATTGCGTTTGGCATACCTCCAGAAGTACGATTTCCCATGTGGGTGTTGGAATTTGCCAGGATGGGTACGGTTCCTAGTAAACTATGCTGAGTTAGGGTTAAATTATAATCAAGTTTTACACTTGAACACAACCAGTATCTGTCTAGATGTAACGGATGTCGATATCAAATGGTTTCTTAATCATACATTCTGGTGCCGGAATCAACATGCTTATTGCTGGATGAGCTTACAAACACGGAGGCTGAGGTCTTAACCTGCAGTAAAAAAAACAGTAAAAACAATTTGAGAGAATCAAATTTGGAAATGATTTTATTTGCAAGAAATCTAAGTTTACTCCAATGTAACATTTTTTTTTTTTACTCTTGAACATGTACTCATTGGTATGTTATGAGGAAAAGCCATACACAGATACAGTAAACTCCAGCTAAATAGACATCGTACAACTCGTCAAATCGCTCAAGTTTGCTGTCTGACTAAAATCTCGATTGTCTGTAAAAGGTGTCGCAAAAGGGTGTCCTACTATATACATCGCTTGTGCATCGTGAGCATATCAATACCAGTACCCCCTCTAGTCTGTACGCATGCGCTCTGTCCATTTGAATGACTAGTGCTGCAGTCAATGCGTGCATTGCACGCATTTAATTCGTTACTGTGCACGTACATATGTACATGTATTACTATTTTGTACACGTAGTCTCCTCTTTCAGTATCCCAAACGTGATGATAAACTCCAGCATAAAGGAGTTAAACCAGGGTAAATCAAATAGTGCAATGAATCATGTGTGCAAAAGGCCATTTATGTAAGTGGGCAAAATGACGTCTTACAGCAGATGTCGGCATTCGCGTAAGTCGTCACAAATTCTCGGGTCCCGAGAGTGCCGACTTGGCCGGAGTTTACTGTATTTCAAATTTGAAAATTATTGGAAATTTCGTTTTGGAATCATCAAACCAGAAGATTACTAGAGAACAAGCAAATACTTTCTTTGTCCACTGATCAAAATTGCTTATCTCTTCAGATTTGTTTTCCCGCCCTTATTTGACTTGTAACTTACTTCTTGTCCTGTGTTAATCTTCATCATCAGGTGGTATGCCTAGTTCCTCATCTGTCCACTTGGAGGCATCAGGCCAAGGATTGTGACCCTTTAAAGAATTTTTGTTTGCGAAGATATAAAAAAAAGATGTTGCATGTATTATTTCACCAGACTTTTATTTCTTAGTTGAAAAATGCACTTTTGAGACAATCTTGGAGTCGATTAATGTTTTTATGTGTAGTCTTGTGTAGTCTTGTGATGATTATATTTAATTCCATGTTTATCCAGTCGTTGGTCTTGAAATGATGTAATTCTATGTTTGTTCATATTCCTTGTCTTACCCCTCCCCTCTCATCCTCTCCCCCTTCCCAGCTTACCTTCCTCATACCTTAGGCTATGGAACTCTAAAAACAAGTGAACAATTTTTTTTATTGCCTCATTATAATTAATCACTTTTTTTATTGACATCCATGTCTAATGGTTTTATTGGAATAATTATCCGTTTTAATCCTGGGAATTTGTGTTATCCCTCCCCGCCCACACCCTCCTCCCTTAACTCCCCACATAGCTTAATCTTTGTCCTATTGTGAGTTTGATGTTTTATGACAGTTATGTATTCCTTTGTCTTTTTTGTTTTGTTTTTTTGTTTTGTTTTGTGTAAAGCAATTTTTTAAGCCTAGAAACTTTTTACCCATAAACCTTTTTTCGTTCTCTCTCATCCATTTGTATGTAATGTAATGCAAATCTTTTTATGTGTAGTCTTGTGAAGATTACATTTAATTCCATGTTTATCCAGTCGTTGGTCTTGAAATGATGTAATTCTATGTCTGTTCATATTCCTTGTCTTACCCCTCCCCTCTCATCCTCTCCCCCTTCCCACCCTCTCCATTTGATGTTGTTTTTTTTTTATTTTATTTTTATATATGATATTTTAGTCTTTCGCGCTCTTGTAAAGTAAAGTTTTGTTTTTAATGATTAAACATTGTAAATGTTCTTTACAATTCCGCTGCTGGCGGCGAAAAAAGACATAATAATAAACCAATTAATAAAAAAAAAAAAAAAATTAAATTGAAGGTACAACACAACTGGAACTGCACAGTAAATGGATGGCGTCAATAGAAATATAACAGGACCCACCCACCCCCCCAATTTTTTTTAAACCAAGTGTTTGATTTGGGAAGATTTTGGTGGGCTGGCGTTTCAAGGATCATTTTTTGACCCTAACTCCCTAGGGGGTATGCCAAATCGTATTGAAATTGGAGGATTCAGGACTGTTAGGGCTATTGTTTGTCAATGGCACAAAACGATGGGTTTGATTTTACTGCGTATACTCACAAAAACATCTTTTGGTTCGTGGTAAAACCTCCACAGAATCCAGAACCACATAGCACCAGCAACTATCTCTCCTTTCCAGTATTGCCTTCTGCTAGGCTGTGCAGCACCACGGTATACAACACTGCCACTGTTAGGGAAACAAATCACAATAAAAGTGAACTTCATCTCTTGTTAAATTAACCCCAACTCCCTTATTCCCTAAGCCTTTTTGCTAGGATGTAGCCTCAATCCTGCAAAATCATTCAATTGGCCTCATGGAAAAAAAAGCATATAGCCTGAATCCTGCAAATTCCTCCATTATTTCTTGAATATGGTCCGTGGAGGGGTGACCACTGCCTGAATCCTGCAAAATCATGCGGCAGTGACTGTCAATATGTTGAGGCTTGGCCAGTGACATCCTGGAGCAGTACGGAGGATTTCAAGCATTATCCAAGCCTATATTTATGCATGGCTGAGCAAAAACAACACAAGGTCCAGCCCAAGACCTTAACAAAGTGCATCCTACGAAATCAGTAACGCACTTTTGCCATGTAACCTCAATCCTCCAAATTCCTTCAATTTGGCATACAGGGTTTTGAAGGATTCAGGGCGGTTAGGGTTAATGTTTACTTTGAATTATAGAGTTTCTTGTGAACCAGTCACACTTGGTGATTACAGTTGTATGTTCACATTTAGCATTCATGGTCAGTGATGACGTCAGTTTTAGTTTGGCTGAATTTTGAGTAAAACCGAGGATGGAATGCAGAACTCAGCTTCTGATGCTACTTGTTTTACTTTAAACCCTTACCCTCCTAAATCCTCCAAAATCCTCTAGGCGGTTTTTGGATGATTTTGGTGGATTGAGGATGAATGGCACAAAAGTGTCGGTTGATTTTGGAGGATGCATGATTGTGTCAAGTTCGTAGAACAGCATTATGTTCAGTCATTCATAATTGATCCCTGCATTAAGCTCAATATCATCTGCACTGCTTCTGAATGTCATCGGCACTACTTCAACCCATTAACAGTGTTTGTTGTAGGGTTTTGAAGGATTGAGGCAATTATCCCCCCCCCCCCCCCCCCCCCGCGCTGAACAAATTCAAGAAATAACTAATGATTTTAGAGGAATGAGGCTGAATCCAATTTTTACATAGTGGCAATTGGAGGATTTTGCAGGATTGAGGATGGTTCCTAGCCAAAAAGGGTTAGGGTTAACGACCTCAATGATGATTTTGCATAGCAGGTACATTGGATACAATGGATTCGCCCAGACTGTATCAGTTGAGAGGTTGTACAAGAAACAGCCGTCGCATCACAACTCACGCAGTAGAAGTGACAAGATCGATTTGCACAACACTATGTCAGTTTAAGTTTAAGGTCGTCGCTTCTTATATTGAAAATGGCTGCCATCAACAGACCTTGTATGTGTTCATACAACTCCAGAAAGACGCCTTAATTTCTCGAAAAATTGGAGCTAAGATTACCTATTCAACCCGGAGCTCAAAAGCTGAGACATAAAATAAAGGCCACACAATCAAATTTACTCACACTGGTAGAACTTATTACAACATTTATTTTCACATTCAGACTGCGTGCATAGTTGATTTATGCTTTGAAAACACTCACCCTGTTAATAACAAATTCAGAGTTTTCGGCATTTGTCAGCAGTCCAGCTTTCGCGTCATTTCCAGCCAAATTTGGAGGCTTCTTGGCATCACTTTGTGTGTAACTCATTGCAACCTCGCGCAATACATGATGGGATACATGAATCATTCACCTGTCAGTCGCGCAGCGCGCAGCACGCTGCACGCCCGGTGGCTGTTGCCTGCCTTCAGTGAATCCTTCATGTATAGTGCGCCCTCATGCGTGTACCGTCGGCGGTATATCGTGTATGCACACGATATACTGCAAATTTACCGAAAATAAATTTTGCAATAAGTTCTACCGGTGTGAGTAAATGATAGTGTGGCCTTTATGAATGTAGTCCAGTAAATCATGTAAATAGGCCACATACATGTAAATTAGGCGATCCACTTTAAAATTATAAGACCGACCAAACTAGTTGGCGACATTCTCAATAACCAGGTATGTCATAGATAGAGGGCAGGGTATTGATTTTTTAAGGAAAGTTTTTCGGTAAAATGACGATGACAGCGCGGCGACGACACTCGACCCAAAAATAAAGATGGCTATCACCGCGCGATGTACCGTGAGCACGCACGGCGCGCTGAATCACAAGGCACAACCGCGCTAGCTTGAGTAACTCCAGCTTAACAAGCTCATCAGGAATTTACATGTGAATTCCTGATGAGCTTGTTAAGCTGTAGCCCGACTGCATCTGACTGTACAGTACTATCGCAAGCTCTGTAGTACTGCCAGACAGCAAATGCTCCCCTAAACGCTGAACTCTGATGGAGCGATATTGCTACAAATTTTGATCGAGATTATCTTCTCATCCAGGACAGAAATTTCCAAACTTAACTTAGGTTTGGAAAGGTATGAGTTCCTCTACGACTAGAAACCTTAATTTAACCCTAACCCACCTCACTCCTCCAAAATCCTCCTGGCGGTTTTGGAGGATTCTAGAGGATTGAGGATGAATGGTGATTGAATCAAATGAGGATTCTGGAGGATTGAGGATGAATGGTGATTGAAGCACATGAGGATTTTGGAGGATTGAGGATGAATGGTGATTGAAGCACAAGAGGATTTTGGAGGATTGAGGATGAATGCATTTTGAGGCAGGACTGTCTGATGATTTTGAAGGATTTGGCGTTGGTTTATCCTTCATTTAAACACGAGTGCAAAATTTTGGGATGAGGAGGATTTTGGAGGATTGAGGATGAATGCATTTTGAGGCAGGACTGTCTGACAATTTTGAAAAATTTAGGCGGAGTTGAAAAATTTTGGAGGATTTTGGAGGATTGAGGATGGTTGTAAGCAACAAGGGCCTAGGGGGTTAGGGTTAAATTAAGTTACTTAAGGTTTCTAGTCGTAGAGGAACTCATACCTTTTCGAAAAAACGTTCTTTTATCTAAAAATCTTCATCCATCTGGCCAAAAGACAACTTTCAGTCGTCATCTCCCACGAATATCGTCCCGGAAATTTTCCTCCATGCGATTTCAAAATGGCGGCCGCGTTGTATGCATTATATTATATGTATGTAATGTATGCATTATGCGGGCGCGCTTGGTCAAGATTATGAATATACATTCAGTTCATGACGTTTGTCAGGCGCGCGGGGCAGCTGGCCATACAAACACGAGGTCATGAACTGAACAATGCATATATTCATAATCTTGCTCAAGCTGTTACCCGTCATTCCAAAATCTTTGGCGCTCTGTGAAGTGCCTGGATGTAATATACGACCGCGGATGAAGAGCGCACACAAGAGGGCGCGCTTCACTGCAGAGGGCTTCAAAGATTTTGGAATGACAGGTAACAACCGCAGTGTGCTTTGCCAAAGTTGACGCACGCTCAGTAGATGATTAAAGCTCTTGTTTGGTTCCCTGACCCCTTTGGCCTCTTGACTATTAATATTAGGGTGGCCGGGAAACATATCAGCGACGCCATGTTTGCTCAAAACCGTCTGCATTCTTTGACGAATTACCATGATTTTTGGAAAACTAGACCTCTGTAGGTACCAAATTTAACGATTTTGTGCTATTTAGCGGTCATACTATAGCTGGGTTGATTTTCTGCTGACAAAATAATTTCGATCTTTATTTAATTTTCGGCTCCCCTAGCAACGGGACGCTCCGCTCACAGTACGTGGCTCTGCCTCTGTGATATACCTCTCTGATATACCTCTGATATACCTCTGAAATACCTCTCTGATATACCTCTCTGATATACGGAGGTAGTCCAGTATTTCAGTCACATTTAAGGGACTAGGTCCCAGTCTGAAACTGCGCAGGAAAATCGTGATTTCTACCCGTAGGCCTACCCCAAGAAACTGTTCAAAATTGCAAAACGGGTGTCATTACATTAGATTAGAATTGAGAAAAGTCTGCTTTTGATTGTAAAGGTGATTTTTGAGCAATAAAAACATTTTTGATTCTAATTTGGGAGCAACTATAGAATGCAGGGCCACGCCGGAGCAAGGTTTTTTATTTTGCTTGGAGGCGTGGATGGATAGGAGTAATAGATATGCAAACCTGCAAAAAGTGCTAAGTACAGCAAATGCACTTGTCTTCTAAGCTTCTCATGAAGGATCGGAAGGGAGGGCGTGCTTGTAAATGTGTTGGGGGCACGGTACGGATCGGAGTCGCGGAGTGGCGGAGGCGCAGAGTCGCGGAGTCGCAGAGTCGCGGGGCACTGGAGTGGCGGAGTCGCGGAGTCGCAGAGACTCGCGCCGAAGCATCCATAGACTCGAAGCATCCATATCCATTTTAAATGGGCTTGCAAATTAGGAAGGGAGGAGGGCGACGGGGCACTGTCTGGAGTGGCGGAGGCGCGGAGTCGCAGAGTCCATTTTAAATGAGGTTGCAAATTAGGAAGGGAGGAGGGCGACGGGGCACTGTCTGGAGTGGCGGAGGCGCGGAGTCGGGGAGTCGCAGAGTCCATTTTAAATGGGCTCGCAAATTAGGAAGGGAGGAGGGCGACGGGGCACTGTCTGGAGTGGCGGAGGCGCGGAGTCGTGGAGTCGCAGAGACGCGCACCGATAGAGGGCGCAATTCTCGGAGATATCGACTGCGGCTCCACGGTACGACTCCACGATCGATTTTCGGAGGTAGGTCGGCTCCTAGCCCCATAAATGTGGCCTATTTACTGGACTGCCTCCGTAAACATAGGCCACACATCCACATGTACAAAAATCGTGTCGACGGAGCCAAATTTTGATTTTCACATTTAGGCTTAGTTTGTAGGTTTTTTTTGCTTTAGAAGCATACTCACCCTCTTTACAGGCTAATCAGAAAGTGCTGCCTTTTTCAGATGTATATTTTTCGTGAAATTTCCAGATTCATTTTTACACGTTTGCGTATCAAAATTTCAACATGAAATTTCACAAAAATTAGACATCTGAAAAAGGCAGCACTTTCTGATTAGCCTGTAAAGAGGGTGAGTATGCTTCTAAAGCAAAAAAAACCTACAAACTAAGCCTAAATGTGAAAATCAAAATTTGGCTCCGTCGACACGATTTTTGTACATGTGGATGTGTGGCCTATGTTTACGGAGGCAGTCCAGTAAATAGGCCACATTTATGGGGCTAGTCGGCTCCACGCCTCCACGCAGCCGTACGGAGGCGCGGATGTAGAGTAAAGTGGCCCTGCATTCTATAGTTGTACCCTAATTTGATCAAAACAAAACAGGGGCCCTACACTTCACGATCGCCATAAATTATTTAGGCCCTAGGCTATCATATATGGGCCTATTTCTAGACCAAAACTAGGCCTAGTCCGGAAACTGGGCAACTAATGCACATACCCATACAAAAAAAAAAATACTTACTGCCTCATTGGTGTCGAACGCAGCACACCTCTGAGCGGTCCAAACGATACCCGTAGCTTTGATAGAGCGTACATGATTCGTTAATTGTGAAAACTGCTCCCAACATAGAGAAAAATGGGCTGTTTTCAGGGTTGAAATTTAGGATACCTCTGCCCACTATCGCTGTGAGTTGCGCTGGTGTACAGCATGCAGCATGCAACGCCGAAGCTAGACGCTCGTGTATTGTGCGCCCGGCTGCGCCGGGGACCATCACAACACTTGTGACCGACTGGTACGGTCCATCCAAAGCACCAAAACTTGGCAGATAGATTCTTTTAGTTTGATAAAGTAATAAGAAGATGTTTTTAGAAGGGGCGAACACCTGAAATTCTTTTGGGAAGGGTGCCTATTTTGCAAAAGTGAAAAGTATATTTTGGGGATTCTACTTAAATGACATATCCTTGCTTCAATAACATTTTCTGAAGCATGAGCTGGATAGGGTTTAATCAAAATTTCGAGAACAAATCCCCTTTAGTCCCATAGCAGTACATCACGTACCCTGGTATCATCGACCCTGATCACAGAATGGCCAGTCTTTCGCTAGATCAGACGGCCGACTGGCTCATTGGCGCAATATGTCACTGGGGCCAATTTTACATTTAATCAATATTTTGTAAAACAAGAACGAAACTATTTTTATATGATAGCTTGGCCTTTGTAGATAATGGAAATATAACTTAAGACTGATTTTAGATCAGACTAATTAACTTAAAGTCGAGCGGCGCAAAAAGCGGGCGGGGGGGGGGGGGGGGCGTGGCCCCCATCTTCTACAAGTGCCAAGTCTTCAATAGAAACCAGTTTCATTTTCTCCCCTATCGTCGTGTTGCAAGTTGCAACGGTATCAGCGAAAAGGAACAGGAGGGAGTGACGGCCACGCGGCCCCCTCCGCGCTTTTTTTCGCCGCTCGCAAGTAAATTTATAGTCTGATCTAAAAAAAAAAAAACCATCACTCTTTAGTTATTATTTCCATTATCTGCAAGTGCCAAGCTGTCAAACAAAACTGGTTTCGTTCTTGTTCTCAAAATTTTGATTAAATGTAAAATTTGCCCCATTTTGCATGGCGCCAATTATGAGCCTCGGTCTGATCTTGCGAAACTTAAGACTGCAGACTGGCCATTCCGTGATCAGGATCAATGATACTATGCTATGGGACCATAAAGGCCGGGATTTGTTCCCGAAATTTTGATTAAACTTTAACCCTTCCAGCTGTTGGTCTGTGTGGATAATTATGAGCTCGAGGACATTATGAAAGATCAAAAAATTGCACTCATTTACCTTTTCCCTAGCAGTCATGATCATCAAGACAGTAGTCTTGCCAAACCTCATTATGAGCTTAAAATTCACAATGTTACTCATTGACACAGTTACCCTAATAAAACTATATGGAAAATCATGTGTTTTTTAATGATAACATCATGATATTTATCCCAGAAAAAAGGGGGGAGGTGTCCGTAAATTGGGCTAAACCTTAGGCGGAGCCTGCAGAGGGTTGCCTAACGTGGGGGTCTTGAACAAGTTCAAAGAAATCCCCCAAAATAAGAGATTATGGTTGTTTAAAATAATTATGTCTACGTCAAAAACTTTTTACGGGTAATTTGGTGATTTCTTTGAACCTGCTCAAGTCCCCCGCGTTAAGCAACCCTTTGCCTAATTAACGGACACCTCCTTTCCCTCTCTTATGGGCGTCAATCCTGGGGGGGGGGGGGGACAGGGGGACATGTCCCCTCCCCCACTTTTTGAAAGGTGGGGGACACAATATCAAATGTCCCCCCAAATTTTTGAAGTCGTGTCTCAATTACTATTAATAATTATATTCAATGTATCTTTTGCTAAGAAAATAATGGTTAAAGTGGTCAGAAATTGCCTAAGATCGCACCACAGAGCATTTAGAATCCACATTTTTTTCGGGGCCCTTAATAAGCGGGCCCGGAACCCCACACCTTTAGCTGAGAATAGCTTATTCAATGACTTCAACCTCGAAAATGATGTTTAAATTATTATCTTTAGCAAAGAAAATATTGGTTAAAGTAGGCAGAAATTGCCTCAGATTGCACCACAGAGCATCTACAATCAATTTTATTGGGGCCCTTCAGCGGGCCCCGAACCCAACGCCTTTAGCTGAGAATATAATAGGCCTATCTTATTCAATGACTTCAACCTCGAAAATGATGTTTAAATAATATTATTATCTTTCGCTAAGAAAATATTGGTTAAAGTAAATTGCCGCAGATCGCAGCACAGAGCATCTATAGAATCAATTTTTTTGGGGGGCCCCGACCCAAATCCTAGCTCAGAATAGCTGATTCAATGACTCCAACATCGAAAACGATGTTCAAATTATTTTCTTTTGCTAAGAAAATATTGGTTAAAGTGGTCAGAAATGGCTTCAGATCACACCACAGGGCATCTATAATCCAATTTTTTCGGGGCCCTTAAGCGGGCCCCGAACCCCACGCCGTATTTATTTATTTATTTCAAAATCTTTATACAGGATACAAAATATCAGCTCAAAGGCTGTTTTACATTATGGTCCTTTGATAAGAAATAAAAACATTCAAAAAATAGTAAGAGAAAAAAAATAACAACCGTAAAGGCATCGCGCTCGCATTAGTTCTGATCAAAGTATGTCCCCCCCCACTTTTGAGAAGCGATTGACGCCCCTGCCCTCTCCCCCCGGCCTTTTTTGTTTTCTGGGCTAAATAATTATTAGTGATGTTATCATTGTTCACATGATGATTCATATGATTTTTATTAGGTTAACAGTGCCATATAGTAAGTAACTTTGTGAATTTGAAGCTCATCAATACTGAGGTTTACGAAGACTACATGATGATATCTGAGGATGGGGAAACGATGCGTGCTTTAGGGTACAGGGTGAGTCAAAAAAAGTGGAACCCAAACTGGCCCCCAAAATTATATTTCATATTTAAAAAATATGTAGCACCAAACATAATAATGACTGGAAAGCAAATTTCGTGAGCTACTTTTAGATGAAAAAAATACTGAAATTGCTCAATCCGTTCAAAAAATATCACCATTTAAACACAATGACCATAAAACCTGTTTCGTCCCCTGTGAAAAAAAACGCGGCGCCACATGTCGTTGGATGCATGTTCGTCCGCTTAGAACAAAATGAGGGCGCCCTTTTATGTAGGCTGGACAAAATACGTCACGTGACAAAAACGGGAGAAATTCCTTCTTTTTCAGAAAATGTCCGAATTTGCCGAATTCGTTTCGTCGACAATCGGATAACGCCACAGTATTTCCGAGTATAATATAGTTTCTATTATTAAAATTATTGCTTATTAAACACTTTTAAAAATGAGTTGATAAGTAATATTCATTGCTTGCATTTAGAAAACTTGAAATTCGCTGTGTCAACGGGTGGGCAAGTGCCACAACAATAAATGATACGTGGGGTCTATACAATTGTGTATAATATATCATAAGTGGTATATGGAATACTTATAATCGCCACAAACATAAGGTGTGTTGCACGAGAGGTCACAGCGATAAGGTTGTGGAGTTTAGGCCTTAAGAGTGGCGCTCCACTGACCGTCATTTAACCCACCATACGTCGTTGGCGTATACGTCCATACCATGCTCCAACGACACACTCTATAGATCTACACTCCGAAAACAGTGAGTATTGAGAAAAAAACCAGTCAAACTAGCACCCAGCCGGCTGACCATACTCTGCTGGGTGCAAGTTGGACTGTTTTCGGCAGTAACCGTATGTCCCCCCCCCCCAAAAGTGTCCATCTGACAATTTTTGTCTCACCTGGACTTTGTTCAGGAAAGATATACTATAAGCCTATATTATGCAATCACTTATGTATGTCTGTTTATAGGCTACGTACATGTACGTATGTATGTTTATACGTACGTGTATGTGGTATTTTGGTTAAAGTTTGAAGGTATTGGTGAATTGTAGTCCAAATGGAACCAACTATTTGAATCGTAGTTCGCTCGTACCCCCGCCCTGCAAACGCTGGGAAGGGGCTGATCTCTTTGAGCTCTCATTGGATAGATTTTACGTGACCTGTGACGTAAAATGCAGCAGGCTGCCGTTGCATGCGTTGAAGCTGATCTGGTACACGGTACCCTGTAGAGACATTATGTGCACAATAGGGAACATAGGATTGTATACGTCTCAACAGAGCAATTTCAATAGGTGAATACTTCTCCACAAGGTTGTCACGTAATAGATATGTGGATTTTACTCAAAAAGTAGCAATTTCCAAGGTCACAACTTGGGTAGATGCTACATGGGAACCTTCACATGATCGTGATGTCAAAAGTCACACACCAAGGTCAAAGGTCACTCTTTAAAGATAATCGCGCAAGCAGGCGAGAGGCGCGGTTCGAACCGCCTAATTGTTGAAATAACTACAAAATCATGAAGTCAATTTTGAATTTGTTTCATTGTGCAGATACTCCTTATCCGCCGGCCTAAACCCCAAGGGCCGTACGTACAACTGGGCTATTGTGATTGTGCATTTGCCCATGCCCCTGTCAAAATGGCGAGTGGAAGCGGCGAATCCTCGCGGTCTTTGAAGGGAAGTTTTACCGCTGAGCAACTTAATTCTGAACACATTTATAAATGACTCTGACAGTGAAATAGATAGATTTGACTTAGGAGTTGATTCTGGAACATCGGAAAATGAAGCTAGGAATGATTCAGAATGGGAATTTGAAAGTGATGAAGTCACTTCCGGGTTCGGTTACATTTAGGTTGCCGTGACAATTGACATGTCGCCTATGTTAAGTTGTGTAATTTTTATTCATTAACATCAAAATTCTCTCATAAGAACACATATTTTCACTTTCCTACCCAGATTTTAGGTTTGGATTTGCTGATTGGCCATGTGTATGAGAATAATGAAAATTATGGCTAAATATGTGGATTTATTTACATTTTTTTTCATATTAATTAGTTGTAAACAATATGGCGGTAAATGGTCATGTGACCTCAATTTAGGATTTTTCACCTTTTTTGGTTTTTCTCAATACAAGGTGAATATTTCCCTACTAGTTAAGTAACTTCATTTATTGAAAATCCCATGAAAACCTACAGTGTAGAATAATTGCACACAAAAACACTCAGTACTGAGCGTATCCGGGCCAGTAACGAAAGGGTTAATGCTCAAGGGCAAATGATTCCAATTCCAAACCACATCAGCCTTTTTTTCCACAACACGCGGGATTTTACACAGTTTGCATAACACAGCACTGAAATTGATTAACTTAACTTGGTCACAACAGTATCCAAAAAATTAATTGTGATCAATTGACCATTGTGCAGTGATGCGTGATTGAAATAAACACTCATAGGGGTTTAGGCCAAGGATAAGGAGTATCTGCATGCAGCTATTAAAAAAATTCAAAATTGACTTCATGCTTTTGTAGTTATTTTAAAAACACGGTCAGACGGACACTGTTTTGGGGACATACTGTAGTGCGTTGCATAGCATGGAGGAAGGGATATATGTCACATCATACGTAAAGGCGTCCCGTTTTATTTGGGTTCTCATATTTTAAACTGCAAAACATAAACATCTTAAGGAAACAAAAACAAAAGGAAGTTGCACTTGTATTGATGGCTGAATTAAGCGATGCCAAATGTCTTTGTTTTATATAGTGCAATGAGATTATCATGATTTTATAACTGAACAAAACTTACATTATTATCTCACATTATATATGCAACATGCAGCTCACTTAAACGTTTTGCTGTAAAAGCAGCCATGACATAACAGTGAAGGTATAGACCCCTGATGATGCTGCATGTGTGAGGCAACACTCATTTTTTATGGGGTAGCAACGGTAAATTGCTGTATGTGCTTGGAGTAAACTTGGATGATATTTTCCTTAACTTTTCCAGTGACACAGAGCCTGATTTTCTAAATTTGATATTCATAAATACCTCAGACAGTTTAGCTATTCCTATTGGTCGAGAGCCCGTCACGTGGCCGGTATTAAACGGATGATAAAGACATGGCTAGCTGGTCTTAAACACTTTTCCAGTGTCACAATAAAATGTGGACTCCTAAAAATCCAGTGCCTCTTACCGTTTCATTGGTTGAACGTTCACAATCCTCACGTAGGCATGCGCAACACTACAAGCGAGTCAGAATTTTATAGTTCTAAATTCAAAACGCAACGCCCCAGGTGCGTTCTGCGTGACATCGCGCAGAACATGTTACGCGCGCGTCAATCTCCATAAAAGGGTTGTTTACATCTTACTCGCCAGCTGAACACTCCATTATTTTGCTAGAGGGATGTTTCAAAAAGCATGAAGTGAACTTGTTGAACAAAATCGGGATTTTTTGAACGAATTATTTGAAATTTTTTTACGGATAAGGTATTTATGAATGGGAATAAATATGTGCTCGGTCGGTATTTATCACTCGTTTAATACCGCTTAGAGTCTGGGTGCTGATAATTACCCTCGCCTCCGGCTCGGGTAATTATCAGCACCCAGACTCTAAGCGGTATTAAACGAGTGATAAAAACCTCCAGAGCACACATTTATTCCCTTATTAATTTTTACCCATTAATTCATTTGTTATGTTAGTGGGTTTTTTTTTGTTCTTGGGTCGGGAACACAAAATAGGGTCGGCCGGAATTGAGAACCAAAGAATAAAAAAGGGCACCCATACAGAAACAAATTGTGGCACCACAAATGAAACGCCAATTTGTGTCCATACAGATCAAACTGCGCCGCTACGATGAAGTGCCTCAAATCAGAAGAATGTACCGGCAAGGGTCTAGTCGTAGTCTTCGCCTCGTTCTTGATTCATCTATTCATGGCAGCAATCACAAAGTGCACGGGGGTTCTCTTTTCGTCTTTCCAGACCGAGTTCATGAGCACCACTGCGCAGACTGGGGCCATCTCGAGCATCATGTCGGCTAGTTCCTTCTTCGGATGTGAGTGGGAGCACACATTGGCGTAACTGGGATTCATTTCGCAGGGGAACGGTTTGGTGGGGTGGGGGTGGGGGGCTTATGGGGCCTCATTTTCTGGAGGGTGGTACACAATGGTGTTGAGGCATATTAAGCTCATTTTTTGCCTTCCTCGAATTCTGAGCGTAGGTATATGGGGGTGAGGGCACAGGCCTCAAGCTGGGTGGGGGGGGGGGGGAAATACGTTCCCCGTTTCCCCTATAGTTACGTCAATGTTAGGCCCTACATTAATGGTACCTGACCGACAAAATATCCATGGTTAAAGTCGTATTTAACCTCAAGCAAATTATTCAGAAAAAAACTACATTGTATATTCTCAGCAATTTGTCAATTTTGTTAGAATCCTTTCTCTGTTAAGTTCATTCTATGGACTCGTGTTGTAAAACGAAAAACAACTTGAACATTTCTTGTGCATGCATCATTTCAGTATAACAGCAGACTTACATGTATGTTTGAGTTCGTGTAGTACTGGGCAGGCCCGTTGCCTGGGGGGGGGGGGGGGGGGGCTGGTGGGGTCGGGACCCTTTGGCGAGCACTTGGCCCCCAACGGCAAAAGCCATACATATGTATTTTGTATTTTTTTATGGTAGTGGGCCCCCTAGTTGATACTATTGCCCCCCCCATGCTCAGGGCTGGCGACGGGCCTGGTACCGGGCCTACAGAAGGCTGCAGATACCGCGCAGGTCTATATAGTACCCCTAAGGCCAAAAAAAAAAGTCTCCGGTTTCTGGTATGCGCGCGCGTCGCTGTAGCCATGCGCGTCGGCAAAATGAAAAAGTTTTTTTTTCAATAAAAGATGATGTCTCAAAACCGCCAAACTCACTGGTTTGACTGGAATCCTGCCGCTGCACAATTTTAACGTGTTTTTAGATGGAGTCATGGTCGAGAATAAGCTTTATGTGGCCTCTCTGGACTCCCAATCCCATATAGGCCTATTTGTACTAAGTTTAGTCGGGCACCATTTGCAGTCATCAGACGACATTTGAAGCAAGAAAGTCAGGTAAAAAAAAAAAAAGCCGCGTCGCCGCACCACTTTTTGGGCAAGCTCCATACCAGAAACCGGAGACTTTTTTTTTGGGGGGGGGCCTAAAGGTCGAGGGTAAATTCACGTCCCATTTTCATCCCTGATGACATTGAATTTTGCAGGCACTATTGGCGGTGCAGTGGCGAATCGCTTTGGGTGCCGCATCGCGATAGTAGTTGGTGGCTTGCTCACTATCGCGGGAATGATTGGTTGCGCTCTGACCAGACACATCTATCAAATGTATGTCTTGGGCGCTTTGGCAGGTGAGGAAGCCAAAATTGTGCACCATATATATATTGGCCTATCAGTAAAACATTAAATTAATTTTTTCCCTCCAAATTAGTTTAAATCAAGTACCTTAATATGCCTCTCATATAGCGTTCATGGGTATTACAAATTGGCAGGCCTGTCAATTTATGAGTATACCTTTACCAAGATTGGTATGGAGAAGATAATGGCCTCATGATATAATAGCCCGCTGTAAAGTTGATATACGAAATGTGTAATGTAAGCTTACGGCTATATTTTGCTGAATGTTTAATTTGTTTCTTTGTTTAGGTATTGGAAACGGGGTAGCCTACACCCCAGCTGTTGTTATAGTTGCTCAGTACTTCCAGAAATATTACTCCTTGGCGGCCTCCTTTATGACCACGGGGGATAGCATAGGAATTATGTTGTTTGGTCCACTGATGCAGCTGTTTTTGGACACGTACGGCTGGAGGGGAACGTTGCTGGTAACCGGGGCAGTTACAGCTAACATCTGCGTGGCTGGTGCAGTGTGCCGGCCAAATACACGTCTGCTTAAAGCACGCGAGAGCGAGAGCAGAGATAGTTGCAGGAATATACCGTTAAATGAGCGAGGCAGTCTTGAACTGCAAGTGATAACTCATCCCGAACAAACGGATCCACAGCCCATAGCGATGTCGCAAAGCAGTGGTAAGAGGAGAAACAACTTATGTGTACACGTAGCGTTTTTCTGGACCGGTGTTGTGAAGATGTTCCGACTGAATTTACTTTGCCAAAGCTACCGCTTTTCACTGTTTTGCTTTGCACAAAGTGTGTATGTTGCATCGCTCGGATGCTATCTCATTTATCTCATCCCGCGCGCAACCGGTTCGTCCGGTGTGTCCGACCGGGAGGCGTCCTTTCTCCTCAGCGTGGTCGGAATAAGTGGTCTGGTAGGGCGGCCTTTCTGTGGACTCCTCAACCAAAAGGTGTCATCAGAGGTTATCTATGACGTGTCTATGGTGGTCTGCGCATGCGCTGTCCTGGTGGCACAGTTTGGCACCTACGGCCATTTTGTGTTCTCTGCCGCCGTGTTCGGGTTCGCGATTGGGTTCCAACGCACCATTTCGCCGGTCTTGATGCGGGAATACGTCGGTATGGATAATTTGGGGTCAGCAGTCGGAATTTACTCTGGGATTGGAGGCGTGGTTGATTTAATCGGGCCAATTTTAGCAGGTAAGCCATACCACCAAAACTATAGTTATAATTTTGCAATGAACATTTATTTTCATAATAGTCCAAGTCTGTGTAATGTACTTTGTAAAAAGCAAAGTGTGAAAATTGAAATATTTGAGAAAAGAGATCAACTCAGATCAACTTAAAATCACGATCACCAGACGATCCCACTTTCCAACTCGATCTTCTTTTTCCTGATTCTTTTGGTTGCCTTAGTTAAGAGATTTCAGATTATTGACAGTTTTTTTTTAAACTTTCACCTTGCAGGAGCTCTCTACGATGCTACTGAAAGCTTCGCCATTCTTTTTTACGTCTTGGCAGGACTTTTTGTTGTGGGGTTTTTGGCAATGCTGTCGGCGCCTCTGCTGAAGAGAATTGAGCCTGGTGTCTACACAAGCGTGGATACTGAACTGACCGTTTAGGGGGGAAAACAGTCATTATTTTAGGGACAGCCCTACACACCTGCAACCCAAAGATCCCCATCCAAAGTTGCTCTAGCATATCTCTGAGCATGCGCACGAGCGAAACCCAAAAGTAAAGACCGCATGATTATGCTGCCACCAAATGTCAGAAAATGTATAAAATACAACTTTTGTAAGACATCTTCCTTCTTTTTATTTTAGGGATTTGAAAGCAAACAAAACAGGAATCTCGAAATGTGGATTTTGATGGGACTCCTCATTTGCAATAGGCTTGCAAGCACGTTGCAAAATAGAATTTTCGTACCTACGAGAACAAAATGCACAATTTACACAATCTTCCTATGGGGCACTGTTAAAAGTAGACATTCATGGCGCTCTCGGACACTATCGGTTGCTTCATTCAGTGGCGCAGCCAGGATTTGTTTATTTTTTTTTGGGGGGGGGAGCTAAAAAAAAATTCAGGGTTTTTTTTTGGAGGGGCGGACTATTTTGACGTTTGTGGCGCCACTTACACCCCTATTATACTACTCGATAATAGGCCACATACATAATTATCACCAAGGTCAAATCGTGGGACCGTAAAAAAATGTAAAAACAAAACAAAAAAACCCCCTTTTTGGGGGGGGGGGGGGGGGGGGTTGCGCCACTGGCTTCCTGCAGGGGCCGGGGTGACTTGATATGCATGTATGAAGGCAAAGTGCAGATTGAGCTAATAATCATCCAAGTGTTTCCAGCTATATATTAAGACTCACGAGTTCGAAGACTGAATATACAATAGCCTGGTGGTTAGGGTCATTGTCCACAGACCGCGGGGTCCGGGGTTCGAAACGGACCCCGGTGCATTTTTTGGTTTTCAATACAAGCGCTCACTCATTTACTTAAATAAGAGTATTAATTTCCCGTCGTCAAATACCAACCGACCTTAGCTCAATCAGTTAAGTCAGCGGCTGGGACTGTCTGCGAAGTCCAGGTTATGCATCTACTCATAGGTACGGGGCTCTTTTGTTGTCTCGGCAGCAAGGCATAGGGTGTCGCCTCGTTTCCTCCCTTAACGGTGCTTGGCCCTCCGGGGTTACATGGATGGACAGGGAAGGAGGTGTGGTGGGCCGGGGAATCCGAGGCCCAGGAAGAGTCCTATATGGGAGTTGGTAACCAATCGCGACCCCTGAATGCTTGGTCAACACCACATAACTTTTTGTTTTTCTTTATCCCATTATTTTTTTCATTGTCGAGGCTTTATAAGGTACAGCAAAACCAAAAGGTTTTCTTCAATAAATAAATCGTTAAATAAATTCGCCATTAACATTTTTTTCCAGCCGGGCTACTGAAACAGACTCTTAATTCTAACAAGCCCGCATGTTTTTCTTTAGTGTCTTATAAACAAGAATGTACATACATGTAAAACATGTATCATGAGGCAATCTTGTCAGTGTTTTTAATAAACAGATCAAATTTTTTTTACCATAAACAAATAATAAAATTAGACACAAATTGATACAGGTTTGCTTTCTGAATTGCATGATTTATTTCTTCCGGTCCTTTCATCTTTGCCGTAGCCAAACAATTTTTCACTCGCCAGCCAGGCTACTTAGGCTAGCGGGCCGCCGCTAAAGTCAAACCCTGAACTAATGTAACAGTTATACCAACATTTCAGTGTAAACAGAAAATTCAAACACAATGATCATCTCTGCCTGCACGGGTCCCTTTTTGCTCCTGGGTTGGTAGAAAGTAAATATTGATATAAAGTGTCTTGCCCAAGGACAAAAATATACTTCAGCAACTTAAGGCTGCTTGTCGGGACCGCACAATGACTCAACTGCATCCAATTCACTCCACTTGGAGTCTTGCTGGTTGCCTTTTTGCAACCTCTGCTGCACTCCAGCAAGATTAAGGCCCAATGTGAAGGCCGGAAAACAATCTTGACAAAAAAAAATGTTTTTCTAAGACTTTGCGGAAAAGCCAAAAATTCAAACACTGGGTATATGCGAATTAGGCGAAGGGTTGCCTAACGTGGGGGCATAATTGACAAATTTACCCCGTAAAAAAACCCAATTTGACGTAGACATCATAAAGCGATTGACGCCATTGACTTTACCAAAAAAACAGCAAATTATACTTGAACAACTTTTCGCACATTTAACTCCAAAAACAAACTGCGTGAAAGCTTGACCGTTAAACTTGAATAGCGCCCTCAATCAACTCGAAGTCGTCACTGTACACATATTATTATTTTATCACATACAATTATTTCTGATCACAACAGCAAAGAACCCCTTCATCTATTTTTAATCCTAATGAACACATGTAATTAACAGGATCTGTTTCGGTGAACTACGTCGCCGATACAGCTAATTACCCGCGAACTACTTTTCGTACGTTTAACCCCCCAAAGCAAAACTGCGTAAGCTTGACCGTTAAACTGAAATAGTGCCCTCAATTGACTGAGAGTATCGCCACAAATAATCGTCATTGAACAATGTGACGAATTCTTTTCTTCTTTTCAGGAATTCGAACACTTTCTCTTCCAATATCGGGCGTTACACTATTGACAGCGCACTCTGTTGCGTAACTTTTTAGCGCATTCATTGTTACGCCGAATTGCCTATTCAACTTCACTCTCGATGGAGGAACTATACGTACCCCTCTCTCAAACTATTCTTCTTTTGTTTCACTTCTTGCAATCAACAATTTCTTGCATGCCGCACGACCGTTCAGTCCGGTACTGGTCTCGCGCCCACGTATGTATTAGGCCAAACCCGGACAGTGTTTTTTTTTTAAGGGTGGGCCAAACCTTTTTTTTTTGTTCCCCGAAAAAGAGGGTCCAATAGACCTGAAACGTAATGACGTAATGGCTTTGTTTACTTAACTCGCTTTCCTATGGGAGCAAAGTCGGGACTACAGACAACGTGGGGACCGTCTACCACATAGGAAATGCCGGTGCGACTTTCGAAATTTCTTTGTATATACACTTTGAAGACCTTTTCGTATTCCATAGGCAACCCCCGCGGGTGACACCCCGTGCTGTTTACATACCTAATTGGCTATAATTAGTTTTCAATGTGCATCTTCTAAAGAGAAAATTTACTTAGTATTCTAATTTTGGGCGTCTGCAACCCTCTGAAAAGGGAGTTTCATTTTGCACACAAATGAACCCATCCTGCGTAAGTTGAATGAATATCTGGCAGCCAATAATTCGATATTTTTTTGAAAGAAAAAAGTCAGCTTCTAAACGTCAAAATTTTCGAGGTGAAACGCAGCGAGGGGACGCATCTTTAACAATTGAACCTGTGATATTTTTGGCTATTACTCGCTCCCTTCTCCATCAACAAAGCATTTTATTGTGAATCGCTTATTTCTAGCAGTATAAACGTTCTTCACTTTTGAATATATGTATAAGACCCGATATTCCAAAGAAAAGCACCGATAAGAAAGAACTATAGAAGATTGGGTACATTTAAGAAAAAAAAGGGCAAAAACAAAAATTGTCCAAAACATCGTAAATGACGCTTGTTTAGCTGCCGTCCAATCTAACACTTTTTGAAGACAACCTAAAATAATAGCATAGGAGGGAGCGTAAATAACACATTGAAATTATATGTCTTTAATTTTGTGCTGTATATAGTATTAATTTCACCGTTATATCCTACATCCGATTCAACTCAAGTTTGGCTCGGCAAGCGCGCATGATTATAATGACGTCATTATGTCTTAGGTCTTTCGGGCGACATGCAGATACTGATTCCATACCGTATGCATGTGTCTTTCTTTCCATGTAACAGGCCTTCACACCGCCCAACCACATCAGGTTAATAAAAGCCGGTATATTTGCCCCATTCGCTCTAGTGTGTTGCGATATTGGAACAAAAGCGAAGTTGAACGGGCGAAGGCTTCTCATTCACATTGTAAAACGTCTCACCTTTTGAAAAAGTTACGTAACGTACGGAAGACCCATACGAACAGTGCGCTACACCAGTCGTGAAACAAAAACGTAGCAACTCTTCCACGGGTGGTAAACCAACGATTTGATCCTCTGCAAAGAAAATGGTGAACAATCGTGTTCGGAAACAAAGCTGAAGAGTCAAGAGTCGCTCGCGTGAGACCGAAACCTCTCCCTCGGTCAGTCGGTCTTAAAGTTAAACTATACAAGGAATAGACGACACATTGTGACCATAACATGCTCCATACACAATGAGTACATGCTCATCCTAGTCAGCTATCGTCCCTCGACTAGTAATACGGCCCGGCACTCGTACGGTGAGCCGGGCCCGCCGCTTTCGAAATGCCTTCAGCGAGATTTTGCGATACATGATAAAAAAAAAACTACAGTGAAAATCGAACCTGATGTCTTACAAAATGTTAGCTTAAACTTCTACTACAAAATAAAATAAAAGCAGACACAATGTCAAAGAGAAAGGCAAAAGGAAAGGACATCGAGTATAGTCAGTGCGCATGGATACTGCAACATGCATGGACTTGGCTGTTCAAACGTTTCGTGATAGAAGTCAGTTCAGTTCAGTTCATTTATTACCAGTGTTCACAAATCAGTGTCTTAAATACATAATGTGTGTCTGTACATGTACATGTCCAACAGGAGTGAAAAAAGTAGAGGAATCCATAAGAAGACACAGCTTGTATAAATTATATGCACAGTAGGCCTAATTTTCAGCCGCCAAGTGACAATCAAGCAAACTGTTGTATTCAGAGAAAAAGATTTACTTGCAAAGATAAACAAGGGTACATATCAATAATTTTATAAGCCAACATAGGAATGTACGTAAGGAGTAAATAAATATAGTTTCAGATATCAAAGTAAACATTCAGCACAATAGATTTGTATGATGTAGAACTTCATCAGGAATGGACTATAACTTTGGTTCTCTCGAAGTTGACAGGTTTTGAAGCAAAATAAGTAGTTAATGGTGGATGGAAATGAATAGTTTGCCGTGTAGAGAGTAAAATATCGAAATTCCTTTAAAAAATGGATTGAAGAGTAAAAGGTATTTGAAATTTATAGACGGATACATTGCGGAAAAAATTACGGCGAATGGGGTGACGAATACAACAATTTTAGCAAAAGTGCCTTAACGAAACAGGTCCGTTTTTTTTTTTTTTGACATGCATGTATAAAGGCAATTGTGGTGAACATCTCGAACGGGGGTTTATCGTTTTGAGACTTTAGATATAGAATTCAGCGCTAGTTTGCGTTTCACTATGGTGAGCCTATAACGAAATGAGCATGTGAGACCATGGAGGAACTAAGGAACATGCAGCATGGTGTTTTTTATTTATGAAATTTTGGGTAGTGCTGATTTATTTTTTTGTTTTACATTTTAGCAATCATTCAACGGCTATTCCTGTGAGGTTGATTTTTTTTTAGCTACTTTGTGAATTTGAAATAGTATCCACCCTGCGAAACTAGAAAATGAATCGACGACTCAACCGTGCATGTCTTGTGCATTCAGTTTCTGCGAGATCGAAGTTGAAGTGCACACCGGGGATGAGGTTGACTTCAATTAAGCGGGGGCTAGTCTGGTATCGTTCCAAGCGCAATGATATCTGTATGTAATAGAAAGGACGCCAGACATTCTATCAACCTGCTTTTTTTTATGTGAATCGTACTGTGGCAGGTGTATATAGCGTAGTGTGTACACAGGGCCTTGACAACGGGCCGTCGGTGTAATCAAAACATTGTCTCTAACGCTTGACTGGACGCGGCCGGCACACATGTGCAACGTAATTGGATCGACTTTGCATGGCGTATTGATTGATATTATAACCTGAATTTAATCTAATAAACGTTGATTTTGCCGATTCTGGCAGGAAAAAGTTTGAGTCTAAGTTCTAACTTAAGTTTTCAACATCAAGTATCCAATTTTGCGCAAAACAACTTGTTCGATCGGAGTTTGTGTCTGCTCGAGCAGTCGAGGGAATTGTTTTTCTTTTCCCTTCCTTTCTGAGAAAGTGGACAGTCACATGGACCATGGACACAGTTTGTGTCATACATGTTTAATAATATGTTGGAAAGTCTTCAGTCGTTGTCAGCTACATGTAGGCGAAGAAAAAAACATCAAGCATGCATACGCGCATGTCAAGAATTGAATTTTAATTGAGAACACTATAAATAAGAAAGTATACAGTTTTCCCCAGGACAGTTGTGCTCAAAGGAAGTAAGTCATCATGGCAGATGCATTAGTCCTTAGGCCCAAAGGCATCCCGACAATATTTGGAAATCTTGAAGAGAAGAGTATAACCTTTCTTGTGGATGCTTCAGGAAGCATGTATCCTTATCTGGAGATTGTTAAGGAGCATCTGATAGAGGTTCTTCTGGCAAGGTCTTTCAAGCAGAATGATACAATGTTCAACATCATGGAGTTTTCCTCAGAGGTGATCCCATGGGCGGACCGCATGGTGAAATGCACCCCCCAGACCGTCACGGTCGCCGGGGAATGGGTGAAGAATTTGGGATGCAAGACGGGAACCAACACCTTGGATGCCCTTCTAGCTGGATTTGCAGATCCGGCTTGTGAGGCTGTTCATCTGGTGACCGACGGACTTCCGGATCAGATACCAGAGGAGATCCTGCAGCACGTTGCAGTGGCTAGTGAGGGTCGTCCGGTCCATGCGATTTACCTCAGTGGTGGAATAGCTGACGTACCAGCTTGCGACTTCCTCGCCAGTCTTGCAACGGAAACCGCTGGAACCTTCCAGTCAATCAAACTGTCTCACAAGGGTTCCATAGAAGAAGTCAAAATTGTTGTTCGTTCAGACCACGCTGTGAGGCGCATCTCACGTTCCCCACCAACAACTCTTGACAACCCACCAATGAAGAGCTTCAAAGTTTACGATGTGTCGACAGGGAAAGGCATTCCTTCAACCAGCATCAAGACAACTCTCCAGAATCTTCCGAGATCCAACACCATTACCTACATCAATGAATCCGATGACACTTCCACAAAAATGTGCAGTGTGACAACCTCGCTAGACCACGATCCAATCGACCAGAAACTCATCTCAGTAGATGACGTTCCGACAAGGGTGATTCGGACAGATAATGTTCAGCTGCGTTACCCAGACCTTACCTGGGAGACACACCGTCCAACGGCGAGACTCGTACGAAGGATGATTGCAAATGCCGACAAGACCTCAGTGACTGGAGGTGTTCTCTTGCAAGGCATGAGGGTCTTGGCCAGACGAGATAAAGATGGCTACTATTGCTTGGGATTTGTTAAGCAACAGGTGCTTAAAATGTAGATTTTTCAACTTTTCTAAAAAAGGCTTGAAGACTTATGTAGAACGGTCCTACTAAAATGCGTCAGCAAGCGTCAACTGGCGTCAACAAACTTCAACGGTCGTCAACCCAGCGTCAACAAATTTTGTAGAAGTTTTGGAAAATCATAAACAGATTTATATGGTAGAAATGGCAACAAAGAACACCTTCAGCATATAAATTACAGTAAAAACTATTTCAAAAGTTGTTTTGTCAATGCTAAACATATGACGACTCTGTCGTGTTTGTGTTGGCCGCCATTTTGTTTTCGTAAAGCTAGCCGTACCACGCATGCGTGAATTGTACAGAGCCATACTACGCATGCGCGAAGTGTACAGCGCCATCCAAACAAGATGGCGGCCAACACTAATCGACAAACTCGTCATACATTTCGCGTTCAAAAAACAAGTTTTTAAATAATTTTAACTTTAATTGATATTCATGCAGAAGATGTTCTTTATTGCTTTTTCTACCATATAAAGCTACTTTTAATGTTCAAAAGCATATATACTAAATTTGTTCATGCTTGTTGACGACCGTTGACGCTTGTTGATGCATTTTAGTAGGACCCATGTAGAATTGTGTATTATTGTAAACTATGCAGTCCTACTTATGCCAAAAATAATAATGGTTCTGCTTCCGGTTACTCTACCTACCCAAAAAAAAAAATTTGCGGGGGGGGGGGGGAGTGCGGAAAACCCTCGAAGATCATCAATTACTACCTTTTACTCTTGGCTACACGCAGACACCTCCATGCCATGTAATCGGAAGCAGAACTTTTCTTCTTTTTTTTGGCCTGAGAATTGCATTAGAAACATTTGATATAAGAAGTTTTGGAACTAGAACTTATCAACTTCTTTATTTGGTACTTTATTTTTGGATTATTAAGTTAATGAATATACATGTATGTAGAATGATGTCTTAGAATTATCAAGGACAATTTCGTAAATGTATATATCCATCCCAGATAATGTAAGGAAAAAAAAAGAATGTGTTTTAAAGTGACCACTTGGGCTTTTCTGTTTTGGTTTTACAGAATATCAGTCCTCTATTCTAAACATCCCCACAAGCTCCATTTTTGTAAGCAGCCTCAATATTTGTTGATAAGTAGTTCATGTTAGTTGGTTTTTTGAACTGTCTGAAGGCAAAATATAATTTCAAAAGACAAGTTTAGACACCTGAAACTAGACCCATTTTAAATTCCTTGTAAGGGTGTTGCCTCATGGATGAGCACAAATTATGAAACATTTACGCAGTCGTTTCATGTCAAATAGATCACTCCATGTCTCTTGTGGTTTGGGTCTTGAACTAACCCTGTTGATGGCCTTCTTGATTCCCAGATCACAGCCAACCACACCTTCCTGATCGAGTTTGACAAAGAGCCAAGCTCCAAAGCACAGCCGCAGCTTCAAGAAACGGCAATCTACGACATCATCTCATACAATGATGCTTCCAGACACTCCATCGCTGCAGGGGACAAGGTCCTGGCACCTCAAGGGAAGTTGCAGTACCGCTACGCCCCAGGGACGGTACTAGAAGGACTTGAAGGGAGATCATCTGGATGTAAGTTTGTATTATCATTGAATTCATTTTTTTCCTGGCAGAAGTTTATGACTTGGTTGGGGCAGGGGATGGGGGGGGGGGGGGGGGGGGTGTGAACGAGCTTTTCAACAGTGAACTAGAATCAAGTGAAAAATTTAACATTTGAAAAAAGAATGAAAATGAAGCAGTCCATTATTTTATGAAATTCATGAAATTCTTAAAATTTATGTTCACATTGTCAGCTGAAACAGGTCAAGTTTAAACAGATGTGCACTACACTGGGAACATATAAGCATAAGCAATAGCTAATTTTACTCCCTTGTAGAATAATTTTTTTTTTTGTGGTTTACAAAAAATTCCATTTATATCCAATTTTCTGGGTTAGAATTTTGTGCAAAATGTTTTGCCCTGCACCATGGAAACACATCTTTGAGACAATTTATCAATGTGTTTGTTTAAAAAGGCCAAATAAAAAAAATCATGTTTAGCGTCCTGCCTGTTTGAAAAAAAGGAAGGAGGAGGCCCATTGTTTTTTCCAAAATGGCCGCCCGACCAATTTTCCAAAATGACTGGACGAGCAAATTTTCAAGGTGGCTGCCAGCTTTTTAAAAAAAATGGCCGTCACTTGGACTCAGGCAATGACATACCAGCTTTATATGGGCTAGATGCAACAGACATGATGTCACTGTTTAAAATGTATCATTTTTTCAGGTTTTCTTTTCAATTAAAAAAAGAAAGAAAAAAAAAGAGGCCGTCTCCAAAAAGGAAGCGGGCGGGGATGCTAAACATGGTTTTTTTTCTTATTTGGCCTAATAGAATGTACACATACTCGTAATCATCCCACTACTTTCTTAACCAGGCTCCACCCCCAAAAAATGTTTCAATAATATTTTAGCCCTTAAAAATAATTCTAGGACGGACAATAAATCAATACACTAAAAGCCTGCTGCCAGTACTGCACAGTAATTAGCATGGCTGCAAGCTGTTTCTAACACATGCGTACAACGTCAAGGTCACCTTAGGCCAAAACACTTATTTGATTATGAAGACAAATGGATGCCTGTTGCTAGGTTGGCAACGGTTGCCATAGCAACAATCACACTGCTAATGACACGCATTTGTTGCTGCCGCATATTTGCTGCTGCTTGGCTGACGGAGAAACAGCACCACAGTTTTGGCTTGGATCATTTTGGATGATTATTTACTTTGCAATATACGGAGTCTTAGCATCATTGCGTTTTTTAAGGACAGACCTCATATTTATTTCAAGAAGGTATTTATAATGTTTCTTCTGTTTTCTGTTGGCTTTGTTGAATGGATTGTCCAATTAGATTTTATTCTTCCAAGAAAGCGTGTGTAATTTGTACACGCAGCTGGTGCTTATTTCAATTTGTGCGGCCTCACAATTGAGAAAGGCCTAATAACAAACACTTTACGAAAGAGTTTTGCACTTTTGAAATTACAGTCGGATGTCAGTTATTTTCAGACCATTAACCATATTTGTTGGAACAAAAAGCCAATGTACTCAGTCACATTAATGCATTCTGACAGCTCAAAATTGATTGGAATAAAACGTACATGTATTTCATATTTTCATAACTCTTATTATGTCTGATTTTACCCTCTGTAGCAGTACATGTAAATGTACTGCTGCATGAGAGTTTTGTGTTGTATAAAGACTTTTGATACATATAAATTGCATACATTGTACATGTTGCATTCTTGGAAAGCTTATTCAAAAAATTAATGTATCCCACTTGATTATAATTTTCGTGTACTAGGTTACATCCTTTCGCTGAATAGGTTTTCATAACTTCTATTCATCTATTCAACAATTCATTTCAGGAAATTATAAAGCTAATTATAATTTTTGTATTGTTTAATCCGTCCAGGTGCTGCAGATACTGAAAGTCTCGTTGTCAGTTTCTTCGACGGGAAAACAGAGAAGATTTTGAAGCAGGCATCCATCTGGATTCCACCCCAGCTCTACGAGAGAGTCAAACTGGAGATACAGATGCCCATCACAGCTAGGCAATACCTTGTCAATAATCCTAACTACCCCATCATGCTGCCTCCGGGATATAGCTCCAGAACGGGGGTGGGTACTGGGTACCTCGCGAAAACGTCAGCAGCTCAGGAAACAGGATACCTGATGGGTGGTTATGACTCCACGTTCGAAGCCACTGATAAGTACCCAGTCTATGTTCCTGTGTACCCCGGAGATTCTGCAGCATTTGGATTCAGGATGCCATCGGTACGGGAGAGCGTTGTTAAGAGCGAGGATGTACACCGGCTTATTCCAGGTACCAGCCTTACCAAAGAGGATCTGAATCGCAAGGTGATGCAGCAGCTTATGGACAACAAGATGATCCCAACGATGCCCGGGGTTGCCAGGGCAACAGCAGAGGAGAGACAGAAGAGGGCATCCCCACTGCAATCAGGGATCCTGCGTAAGAGTGTTTCCTTCCGGAAGGAGGAAGGAGAGATGGACTCCGGTATTGGGTCTTACACAGCTGCGTCGGCAGTAGCCAATGAATCACAGTCAGAACCAGAATCGGAGGATGAAGATGACAACCTCATTGAGAGTGGCACTCAAACGTTATCACTTAGGGACTCTGGTGTTGGCACAGACTACAGCCTCTTGTACAACTACCGGCCTGATAGTTCTCTGGATGAGCGCCCGCCTTGGCAGTACTGGAACCCCAAGTCCAAATCGTCTCGCCCCTCATCTCACAAGAGCTCCAAAGCCAAAGCTTTTCGCGAGACGGTCCTGAGCGCACCTGCGGAAGCCAGGGTACAGCCGATCTCAGCTGAGCCCATCACTGCGTTTTCTCAGTCCCAGCGTCAGGCCTTGTTGGATGCAATTGACCAGGACATCAAGACTGACCGCGCCCAGTTGGAATGGATACAGAGGCACCCCCATCCACCCCTCCGGCCCCCCTACGACCCCGAGGTAGACATGGGACCGGTCAACCGGAGTGGCGCTTTCAACACGGTCAGCAACCAGATCAAGAGTGACCGGGCCCAATTGGAGTGGATCCAGAAACATCCTCAACCACCTAACGGTGCCATGAGGTATCATGGGGTCCCAGCTCATCGCAAGATTGGTAGCCGTGATATCGTACGAGAAGCTAAGGAAAAGGCCTACCTGGAATACAGGTAAATTTTCAAAAATGCATATGTAGACTTTCAATTTTTTTTTAAAGAATTGTTTAATAACAAGTAGGCCTAAGCGTTTTCGCGCCAGCTCTAGGACAGTGCTAAATATACATGTAAATAGTGCTTATGAACTTACATGTATGTCAGTGAAGGGCGAAACCCAATATTTTATTTACATAGCAGGTTGAATAGAAATTTGAAATACCTTTAACTTTTGTTGGAAGCCTAAACCAGGAACCCTTGAATGGAAAGAAGTCAAGACAGGATATTTATTTTTAAAAATCAAGAACACTCTGCTATGGACTCGTGAATGAACAACAGCGGGCGCTGTGACACCTATCAGTAATATCCTGAGCGAATTATACTTTCATACATTATATGATGTATGTATACCAGCGAATTGATCAATTCTATTTTCACCATTGCATGGATACTTGTGGTCATAGGCCAAAGTATCTAGCTGCAATTTTTTAGTTGGAAACTTTAGAATTTTTTTAAGTTTTCGAAAAAAAAGAAACTTATCCATCTTTGAAGGCTTGGGTAAATGAATGCCTGTTGGATGAGAAGTGAAATATTGTTCGTACAAATAGGGACTAAACTTTTTTTTTTGAATGGTTTATTTTCTCCAGACGAAATCAAGTGATGCATATGGAGGCCCATTTTTCTCAAATGGAGATGGATGCAAGAAAAATGAAGGAAGCGAAAGAAGACCGTTGCAGGTTAGTCACATTTAGTTTTGGCTTGTTTTATGCAACCTTGTTCTTTGATTGAATATTTTCATTCCTGAATCATATGTAGAATCTTTGGAGACAATTTCACAATATTATCAGCAGAAAGAATTCAAAATATTTGATGGCATTTTTTAATGATCACTAAACTCATTTTCATTTTTATGACATGATAAAATGTTAATCTCAGCTTCACATGCAGCATTAACATGTAGGCACTTTGAATTAACAATAGACAAATTTCATTAAACGCTGCCCAGCTTCTTTTGTGATGTGTGCCCCAAAAAAGGGGCAAAGTTTCATGCATGTTTTGCCACCACATCTGCCAAAATTAACTTCATGAATTAAGTTTGGAGTTTCTGTTTTTGAAATAATTGATCTGTGGTGAACTGAAAGAGAGTGTTCTTCATCTTTTTTTTTGAGGGATTTGCGTCTTGCTAGATGTACCGTACAACTGACAATTATTTTTTTTTTACTAGAAGTTTTCCTTTAAAGATTAAGCTATTCATAAATGGATCATATTGCATGCCATGCCAGTGTGAATACAACTCACGATATCGTATCATCCATTTCTGCTGAAGTAAACCCCTTTTCAATCTTTTCCCGCCCTCCCTTTTAAAGTGATCAGTTTATGGGGCACATTTCTAAAAAATAAACAAAAGTTGAGTTAAGAGTAAAGAATGAACTCCCATAAGTTTCCTACAACAGGGGTGTGAAATCTCAGCTTTAAAGCTGATTTCAGCTTTTTTTGTGTTTTGGATTTCAGCTTTTTTCCCTCACTTGCCCTCCCTTACAAGAGAATAGGAGATTTCCAAAGTTCAGCTTTTTTACACCTTTTTCAGGTGTTTTCAGCTCTTTTTATCAGTGGTCACTCACACCCCTGCTACAAAACCAAAGGTTTGAAAGAAATGACTGCTCTAAATTTGATGTACTAATATTCACTGTGTTGTGCAGTTGCTCGGGGTTGTATACAACTTACATGTATACCAAGTCGTGGACTTTTTTTGTGGAAAATAAATAATTATAAAAATGTCCCAAAGTTGGAGAAGTTTAGAAGAAGTAGAGGTGTAAGCTGCATGGAGTTGTAAGTCCACATTAACTCCAAGATAAAAAAAAAGTTGCTGACATCTCAATATTTTTTTCAGTGCTCCTGACTGATTTTGACCTCAATGTTCTTCTCTTCTTTTCTCCTTCTTTCTATTTTTTGGGTTGAAATTTAAAACCTCAGTGCATCCGTGGCTGTCGAGGAGTCCCTTACAATGCGATATGACACCTCCAACCTCACACAAGTTAGAGATACTCTTACCTCAGACCAGATCCCCGTATCTGAAATAGCTTATTCAGATAATCCAAAAACAACAAATAACACACTGCCTACAACAACTCAATCCTATATCACTGATGGATCACGGCCACTCAGAAAAACACAAGAAAAGCTTACTATTCGTGATGTGGTGTTTGGCGAGAGAAAGACCTTGACGCCCCCTCCTGCCCCCAAACAAGAAATTGAACAGCCAATCTCGGGGAAGAACGATTCACCAAGGGGGCGGATCGTTTTTAATCCTTACGTCTTGAATAAGTCCTTCTCTTTCACACCAAAAACGTCTTGGCAAGTAGGGGACAGAGCTGCACCCCACAATGGGAACGTGCTTTCAATCCAAAGTGACAGTGGTCAAAATTTTAAAACTGCAGGGGTGAAATCCCTGCAGGCGATGTCCCAACACCAACAGAAAACTAAAACGGGAGAGAGAGCCATGGTCAAGGTGACCAAGTCCACCATGGACAAAATGATCAATAAGGATTTAGAGAACTCGCTAATTGCATTTGTCAATGAAAATTATCACTCTGGCGTTAACACAGAAGAGATGTTGCAGCACATGCAACAGATGCTGATGAATTCATCTCAGGGTCCGAAACAAGTTCCTCAAACGAGACCTTCAAATTTGCAGTCTAGAAAAGGGGGCAGGGAAAGAGTCCAACACAAAACCGCTGTCAGAACAGCTCAGTCTTCAAAAGAAATCTCCAGGTCATCGACAGCACAAAATGTTGTTACTGAAACAAATTTCTCAGAACACAGGCCACACCAACAGCAGTTTTTCGTTGAGAAACCTCTTACTCACTATGGCGGCATCGACAGGCAAAACCCTAGAATTATCCAAAACTCAGTCACTAACAATTCAACCACTGCTCAACACAGCTCATCAGAAACCCAAAAGCAAGTGTGTCAAAAATCAGTCACTCAAAACTCATTCGGCAACAGTTCAGGAAAGACCCAAACTCAAACTGTTAGAGTAGTAGAAAACTCACAGGTGTGCACGGAGGTCAAATCGCAGACGGCGACAGAAACGATAACCAAAATGGCTACCTCCGCCATCCCTAAACAACTGCCTCATCAGTAAGTGTGGCCATTATTCCCAAGCATCATCATTGGAAAGAGCATGTGTAGTTGCCTCATTGTAGAGCATGTCTGATATGTACTAAATCCCAATCACTCTTTGCATGGTGTCTATCGTACATTCATTTTTTCAGTCTTTTTCATTTCCATTGCATACATACATTTCTGCATGAATCTTATGCCTCTGTTTTGTATACAGTACATGTATACATGTGTATTTAGCTATTTAGTGTTTTATAACACAGTAACAATAAGTAGAATGGTGTACATTGGCTCAAGTGTCGTTTTGTTTTCTTGATGTACATTTTATATTTTCAGTGTTTTCCTGCATAACTCAGAATTGAACAATTGACCATTATTTTTCATAAGCAGCATTTGGAGTCATTTGGGGCGGAATCATCCTCTTAAAATTTATCTTTTCACATGAATATGATTACATTTTATCTCCTTTTTTTTCTTTCCAAAATTGAAAAGTAATGACAACCAAAACAAACAACCTGAGGGTGTTTCTGCGTGCCTTTGATGCATTACACTAATTGTATCTTGCATTTTACAGCTTTAATAAAATAACATTGTTTGCTCAATTTTGTTTTTTTCACTAATTGCAGTCTTATTCACATCTATCAATACTTAAGACTGAGATAAAAGTTAAATGGAAATTGAATAATTGGTAAAAGCACAATTTTTTTTTTTAAATTTGCCCTTTTTTGCTACTTCAGGTTGCATGAAAAGATATCACGCATATTAATTTTTAGGGTAATAAATCCAGCTGCATTGGTTACTTTCATTTAACCGGATAAGATTGTTTCATCGGTGACTTCAGATCGTAATCTTTCTCTTTCAAGCATCCTCAGCTTCTTATTACATAAATGAAGTTAATAACACTGTCATTTTCTGTTGTCCCCAACCTAAGGCCAAAAAAAAAAAGTCTCCGGTTTCTGGTATGCGCGCGCGTCGCCGTAGCCATGCGCGTCGGCAAAATGAAAAAGTTTTTTTTCAAAGAAAGATGATGTCTCAAAACCGCAAAACTCACTGGTTTGACTGGAATCCTGCTGCTGCACAATTTTAACGTGTTTTTAGATGGGGTTATGATCGAGAATAAGCTTTATGTGGCCTCTCTGGTCTCCCATAATATTTGCACTAAGTTTAGTCGGGCACCATTTGCAGTCATCAGCCGACATTTGAAGCAAAAAAATCAGGTTAAAAAAAAAAAAGCCGCGTCGCCGCACCACTTTTTGGGCAAGCTCCATACCAGAAACCGGAGCCTTTTTTTTTGGCCTAATGCATGATTCTGTACAAAAACCTTTACACATTCCAGTGTTACGTAATGTTTGTGACAGAGCTAAGAGAATAAACCTGAAAATGTATTTTTCAAATCTTATACATCCATCATCTATAATGGTCAAAAAGATGACAGACTAGGAGTTTTGGATTTTCTTTGAATTATTATTAGATATCTGGTTAATTGGCTCTGTCACGGACATTACACTTCCTTTCATAGTGCTGGAATGGCCCACATGCATTGTTATACTTACTGTTTAGCTTTTTGCAGTTAGTAGCAACGAGAATTTGTTGTCCGTAAATTTCATGTATTTTGTGTTTGAACTCATAATTGAAATATGAATGTGATGTACATTGTAAGGCTTTGCAATGGTGGATAATACAATTGGGAAAAGGTTTTTGGTTTGATCAGTTGGAGTGACCAATTCAAAAAATGTGGTTTAGATAAGAACAAGGCAGGTCTTGATGTTCTTGCCAGTTTGCTTCGTCGATCATTTGAGGATAGTCAGAGTATATCGACTGAAGTTTCCACTTGTTATCACTGGTTCTTCCAAGAGCCACACTTCTCTTGTAGAGTTAGTCGCTTCTTCTTCTTCTCACATGTTGTATTTGCAAATTTCTCACAAGTCACTTTTAAAATGCTCAAGAAAAGTATTTTCACAAACTTCAATCCAAGACTTGATGGTCTCTTTCTTTGATCCCCCTTTTTGTTCATTTATAGGAGATTTGCTGCTGACGTGACCAGGCGTGACGTCCAACGCCAGCGAGACAGTGAGGATAAACTACGTAGCATCCAGGATGCCAAGCGATCGGTCAGCTCCAGTATCGCCAGGCAGCAGCAGGAGAGGTCAAACCGAGAGGCGGACCGAGAGGCAGCCAGGGTGGAGGCCCTGAGACAGCGTACCCAGAGGCGGGAGGACATTGCCTCACAGAGGGAGAAAGAAATCCAAGATGCTATCACACGCAGACAGGTGGGGTGTTGATTGTGTGCAGTGGTTCAATTTTCAGAATGAATTTCCAGAGAGATTCCTGATTAACTCAAGGACCCCAACAAATTAACAAAATTTGTCTGAATTGTGCCAAATTTGTGTCTTTAGGCTAGACAAGCCACTGGCCACATCACTTTTGTGACCAGTGTTTGTCACAAATGATGGGCACAGACTAGCACAAATTTTATGCTGCCCCACTTTAACAATTGCTGCCCTGCTTAAATTTTTACTACCCTGATTTTTTTTTTTTACATCATATACATGTGTCATATTTTAGTTAATGAAAGAAAAAAGGTCCTTATAATGGATTCTTGTTCATTAAGGATTAGTGAAAGCTTGGAGATTAAAGCACCACAAGCCAGATAGCTCTAGAGCCATGCAAGCCACAAATGCACATTTTAAGATATTTAAAGAATTCCTTCTCTTTTCTTAAAAAAAGGGGCCACTTTAAAGTCGTGACCTCGGAAACCAGTGATCGCGACTTTATCTTTTATATTTTTAGTCAGTGGAGAACAGTATGTGCCCTCTATCAGTGATTATTTGAGATTAAAAACCAACTTGACTTGAATTCTAAATCAAACATGCTCGGTTGCTTGAGAGGGAACACTTTATGTTATCTCAAATAAAAATCCAAAGTTAACCAATTGTCTTCTTTTATCAAATCTACTCCACAGGACATCAAGCAGCAGAGACAAGACGACCTGGCGAGGCGTCACGTCCAGAAACTCTCGGAGCAAAATGAACAAGGGGCCGCACGGGAAGCGCAGAAGCGGAACGAGGAGATCCGAAGACGAGAATACTTCTACAACAAGGAGCAGAAGAACCAAGACGCCAAGGATCTGCGGCTGGCCGTCCGAGAACAGAAGCAGCATGACTTGCGCTCTCAGGTCCTGCCATGAGACAGTGAGAACTGCCTACCCAGTGTGCTGCACCTGTTGTTAAAAGAAATGTAGCAGAACCATTTTCTATGGGCTCCGTGCAGAAGTACCCCCTCAGCGGTAAGAAAGGGAGAGTTGGGGGAGACCACTGGGAGAGACATTCGAACGCATTGCCCAAGACGCTTGACGCTCACGCGAAGACGCCATGGGTTTGTGCATATTGACAATGAAATTAGTTGTCCGTACCTTGAGCTGTACCCACACCGCAACCTGTATGCGCACAGCGTATGTCCCGTCCAAGGGCTCTCGAAAGTGGTGAAAAGCGCCCTCTCTCGCTCACGCACTTAGCCAATGGAACAATATTGGTAATGATATCAGGGTCACAATATGATATGCACCATGATGCATATCATATAAGTCATGGTAATTAGGGCAGCGTTTCGATTGGTACGCTCCAGTGTTGTAGTCAAGCAAGGGCGGATCCAGAACACAATTTTTGGGGAGGCCAACAATTTTTTTGGTCCCCCCTAAAGGGGGTCCAAAAAATTTGTTACCAGATGCTCTCTGGTATGATCTGAGGCAATTTCTGACCACTGTAACCAATTTTTTTGAGGAAAAGATGGTGGTTTACGCAGTGCCTGCCTTTATTGCGATGTCACTTAAAAAAAAAAAAAAGTTTTTTTTTTGGGGGGGGGCATGGCCCCCGTTGGCCCCTGTTGGCCCCCCTGGATCCGCCCTTGTAGTCAAGTCCATCACAAGTTAACCATTCCCATGTCAAGTCACAAGCTATTCAAATGAGACTTGACGAAAGCATTCCTTTTTATTGTTCATCCTCTGTTACTTGTGAATGGAAGTTTTGAGATATTTTCCTAAATAGGCCTGTTTTCAGTTGAAAGTCACAGGTCCTCAAGATTGTATTTCCTTCAGGAAAACCATTTTTGCCCTCGAAATGTTGGATTAGTCAACAAACTGTTTTTTAAAGTTGACATCACAAAGTGACGCTATGATTTTCATCTGTGGTTCTTGGAACAGGTTTAAAGTCCTTTTTAATTATCATTTATCTTTAGTTTTGATAATTATAACACAAAATACCCTCAAACGCTTGTTAATTGTACAGTTGTGTCTCACACTAAAACCGTCCTCAAATGCCAAAGATTCAAACACCACTCATATAACAAAGATTCAAACACCACTCATATAATTAAACATTTATGTTCTCTTTTCCACCAAATACGAACTGGCCTTTACACATGAAGCAAGAAAAGATGTTCTTTTCTAAACAGCTGATATTTTATGTGCAAAAAGAAGTTATAATATTTGTCCCTACTTAACTTGTAAGACAAGCAAACTTAATATTTACTTGCTGTAAATGGTGACACTCAGGAATTTTTAATACATTTTTACTTGTGTACAAAAAAGATAAGTTTATTGCATGTACTGTATGTGAAGTATGTATGCATGTAGTACAATTAAGAAAGCTTTTAAAATGTAATGACATGTACACTATGTTGAAATGTTGTGTCATATTTTAAGATGGTCACTTACAAGAATTTAATGAAAATTATGAAATTTGTCTGATGTTGTTGTGAAATTATGTATATTATGAGCAGGCTGTAAGCATAGGAAAAATGATTGTAAATAGTTAATTAAAAGTGTACATATGTATTTCTATGTGTCTAAAATGTTACTCCAAAACACAGCATAATTAATTCCTGTTGAACATCAGAAAAACAATATGTGGTTTGATTTTGTTTGATTTTCATCCCTTGAAGTTAAAACACCACATTTGTCATGATCGTAAAACCAATATTTTCTGGTGAAGACTCACTAATAAGAGAAATTGAGAAACACCCAGCAGATATCTACAGTCTGTGTACAATATTACAATTGTTTTGATAATGATCCCAATTGAAAAATGTCCACACAAATGAGTTCATTGCGAAGAAGGTTGAAGTAGGTTATTATGGTTGTCATTAGAATGGTGAATGATGCTTAGCCATAGAGCTGTAAATAAATGAGTAGAAGAACAGATATTTTTCGTGAGTTGTATCTTTAAAAGTATATATATTCTTTTGCGGAATGGAGATGCAAGGATGGCCGATGACAGCATTATATATTTCACCCCCATGGCAGTATAAAACCTTGTGCCTGTTATTAGATTAGCAGTCGAATGTGATGCAGGAACCATGCAAATTAGTGGATCACTCTTTCAAAAGTATCATTCAGAGAAGAAACAATTCGTTCAAACGCCCTAAAAATTCTAAAAGGCCTAAATTCTTTGAGCGTAGCATAAGCACACAACCTGCCCTCACATGCTGAGAAGGAAAAAAACACTAACTTTTTTCCATTTCTTTTAAATTTCCAAAATAATATGCTATAAAATAAAAATTGTGACAAATACAGTAGTTACCTGCACAATCTCGAATTCAAGTATTTCGTACCTTTCTACCGGGACGTGAGCACTTTTAGATTGAAATAATTTCAATAGAGGGCGCTGCAGTTTTGACTCATTGGCAGGCAAATGGAGTTGAAGGGAATCATTTTGTGTCCATTGTACACTGTTCTTGGTGTTAGAGGAAAGATTTTCACAATTATTTTACGGATAGCTCCGGAATCGTTTTTGAATCTCTCATCTCAACTGTATTCATATAACGAATCACTGCCAATTAAAGGAGAGGGGCAAAATATAGACCTGGGATGTTTTGAAAACTGGAATTGAAAGATGATACTCGATGCTCTTCACTAATACGGATCTTTTTCTTCCAACGAATTTTCACTTTGTAGGCCTATGTTTTGTTTTAACGGTAACTTCTTTGGTCCGATTTCGGGCGTCTGCAGCTCTAGCCTCTGAAAAGGGCTTTCATTTTGCGCACAAATGAACGAGGCCTGCCGAATTGTTGTCTGCCGAATTGTTGTCGGTGGATTTTTTCGTTCTCATCTAAAAGTGAATACATGTAACTTTTATATTTCCAGGAAAATTAGCAATCGAAACAAACAATCTATTTTTCGGAAATAGCACGATGAATACATCTTTAGTTTGCTAATTGGACCATGGTTAAAAATAACCATGGTCGATACCACAGTTAATGGTGCCACTGCCCCTTTTTCTGATTTTCTTTTTTTCGGCGCTGCAAAGTTTTAAAACAAATCCACAAAGCTCGCAAAAAAAATCGGACAAATAAAAACGTATCATCAGAACGGTATCAATAATACTGATCTTCGCTAGAATTCTTTTTTTTTTTATTTATCCTTTATTTTTTAATACTTCATCGTTTGATGGCTCGTGTTTTGTTTTCTTACTTGGCACAAACGGAGTAACTTATTCATTCATGTTGCATCATTGTTGATCGCACGGAAAAACTGCATGATTAGAAAACCGCCCAGAAGCTGCGTAGAAATCGAAACATATATCACCGCTCCTATTAAGCGCGAGGTGACATTCCTGTTTTTATACCCGCGGAACTTGTCGGCTTCAGTGATAAAGCGCGCGGGCATTGGGAGCGAGCGACCCCCGAAGATAAAAGAACGCTCTCGCAGTCTCGCACCATCACAGCTGGCAAATGTCAAAGGAGACAGACAGTTATAGAAACGCCCCTGGTCGGCTACATGGATATCACATAGACGCCATTGTGAAATCAACCAACGTCCTTTCCACATCACTGTAACGGTTCTTGTCCGTTACATATCGGCAGCAGCAGACGATGGAAACTTAGGATGACGTCATTGTTACAAAGTGAAAGTTTTTCGCGCCCATTTCCGGAGTCCACTGCTGAGGACTGAAAGCAAAACACTCCAGGTTTTTCAACGGTGAAGTATCAGGAGTATTTCCTCACAAGTTACGAGGTCTGCGTGCAGATGTATAGCAGTCAGACGTGATTGAGGTTCTCTGGAGAAATGTCTTAATTAATTTCGCGTCTCGGAATTCATTAAGGCCGGCGGTTATTGCGTTAATCAGTTGGATCGTCGATTGGCAAGCAGGCCTGCGATATGGACGGCACTTGAAGTCTGCACACCAGCTTTGCTCTCGCCATATGGCTTCTGGCTGCTGGAAAAATATTGCTCCCATCCCACTGCCGATAATCTTGACACATTTCGAACATCACTGAAGAATTCTCTGATTGCGTTGGAGCCCTGACATTCTCCTCGTAAATATAACCATAAGTGCCGCAGCCTGCGTGTGTTTTGTTCCTATCGCCCTAGCACCGTGGTAATCAGAACAGTACACAGACGGACGTTTGGAAAATTTAGGATTATCTGCCTGAGAGGAGAAGCGATCAAAACAATATTTTGAAGTGAAATCAGCCGTGGTTCAATTAAATGGAGATTTGAGTTATGATACGAGAGAGTGGCAAATATAAAGGCATCATTAGCCATGCATTGACAGGAGAGGACGCTTGCTGAGCTGGCTGCCTCGGCCCAGCGAGTAGAGGAATTCCTGGCGGTGATTTTTTTTTATCAATGACTGATGTGCCTTTTATGGTCCATTTCGCACCGGGGAAGGACGAACGTGTTGTCAGTGCAACGTTGGATCCCTGACGCATGAACATTGTTATGATTTCAGCTCGTGTCACTGGGCGCAAGAATAACAACCGTGAGCACAGGCTCTGCAATTAAATGAATTGGAAAAAAAAAAGAGGGAGAAAGAATGGAATGAAAAGAATAGACTAGACAGTGTTATGTTAGTCATTTTTTCTACAGGATGTATGAACCAAGGACGCAGCCAGTTGTCACGGCTCTACGTAATATCATGGAGGAATATTATATCCACGGAATGCCTTTTACCAGTCCGTCTGCACATTAATAATATCCGACACAGCGGGCTGTCACAAACGAGTTGTACCGCAATCTTTCGCCGGTCTGAAGGCGTTGCTTCATGGTCAAGCACCCGGTGATTTCTGTCAAGTTGGCTTGATGTTGACATCATCCTTGAAGGTAATCTTTTTGCTTTACTTTATTGGTCGAGTTCCAATAATTTTCTGTTGGTGTGAGATTTTGCAGTAAGTTTATGAAAATGTTATTTTAAGAACTTTTGTCAGTGAACTTAACCCAAATAACATTATTACTCACGAATGTGAGTCATCAGTCGTACATTCCTTTATATTTAGCTCAGTGCGAATCAGAAAGTAAAATGAGTGAATTTATTGAAGAAACTCTATTCGTTGTTTTTTCTTTATTATTCCATCCCGAAATAACTTCACAAAGTTGAGTGTTTCGTACTCCCAATTTAGTGTTCTTTATTTCCTCAAAACAAACCAGCCACATCGAAGTGCCAACGGATGACTGAATCGTTCAGTAAAAGGGGGCTGCCCGCCGTTCAACCGCCTAGGTGAGTGTCAACACTTGTGTCAGCATGGGCCAGCGAGCGGCCAAACAACAGATCGAGAAGGGACTGAAGCTGTACAACAACACCAAACAGGAGCAGGCAGTACGCAAATGGAAGGCAGCCCTGGGTAAAGTTGGAGACAAGAAACGCTTGAGGTTTATCCTGTTGGGTCATTTAGCCCTGGCTTACGGCGACTGGGGAGACTATCGCGAGATGTTGGGTTACTCCGTCCAGCAAATCGATATCGCCAATGAGCTGGATGAATTGGAACTCAGGGCCGAGGCTTACCTGAACCTCGCCCGGGCGAATGAGAAGCTATGCGAGTACCACAAAGCCATGTCGTACGCCAGGCACAGCATGAATAACACCGCGTCACAGGAGGACCCTTTAGTGGGGCCGATACACCTCTGCCTCGGCAATGCCAATCTGGGGTTCGGTCACTTCCAGCAGGCACTGGAAAACTTTGACAAAGCCCTAAAAATGGCCATCAAGATCGGAGACAGGGGGTTGGAGTGCAACACCTACGGGGACTTAGCGGAGGTGTATATCAGCTTGAAGGACTATGATAAGGCGTTGAGGTACACGGTGAAAGCGAGTGAACTGGTGAGATGTAGGGGCCAGGAGTGGAGCCCCAAACTACGGACGGTAGTGCAGCTGAATCTGGCTACGCCTTATCGGAAGCTGGGGAAGATGGATCTTGCCATGGATTACTGTGAGGTAAGACACGATTCGACAGAATATGCGAATTTTTCTGTGCATCATCTATTTCTCATCAAGTACATTATAGTATAACACCCCTCTCCCAAGATTGGTACATCTCCAACTTAACATTCGCCACTGCAATGCATTGCCATCATTATTATTGCATTAACCACCATGTTGTAACTTACATTGTGTACCATTTCATCATTAGCATCACCATCTTGATTTGTTGCATTCTCACCACCTCTGTCAGTTTATGGATACAGAAAAACAACTCCATGGTAACAATTCCTCAAGCATGTCCTCCATCCTCCCACGAAAAAAATACATATAACGGAACGAATATTATCAACCAAAATGACCTTCGATATCAGATAGGCAAATGTTTTAGTCTTTTCATACTTGATACCTTTTTCATACCTTTAGATAATGTTCTTTTTGTTGGCAAGGAACGAGTTATGTTCTTCTTGTATAGGTTGTGGGATTTAAATGTACAGTCTATCTGTTTTAAAGAAAATCAATTTCATCCATCAGTGACATTATTCTGGTATAGCAGATGTAGGAAAAATCTCTGGAATAACGTCAGAAATAAACTCCCTGTCAGTAAAATGGGGTCTCGGAACTTAGCCCCTTTCCGACTGTTTCACAAGTATCTGATATCAAAGGCACCGATAACAAACATAAAAGGCGCCTCGTAAAAAAGTAACTGCCCATCATCGGAAATGCCAAGTATTTAATAACGGGTCTCTTTGAGGCCACAAAGATATCGAAACAGGCAGGCTGCCTGTTCAAGCGCAAATGTGCATTGTCCACTGCATTCCAATTTCATGGTATATAATTCGATGAAAATAGACTCTGGACAGAAATCGTATTCACGCTCTACACAGAACACACTCTTGCAACATTTTGCTCATTCATTGATATACAGGGTACAATTTTTCACATTCCGATCCAGCCTGATTGGTTTACATTTCTTGTCGCACGTTCCGTAAATACAAAAACATTGTCTTTGGCATCGGAATCAGCGAATGCAAATTGCATTCCATTCATGATATTCACTGCCGGCGTAATATACAAACGTGTAGAAAGGAGGATGATCCACGTTAATGTTGCATGCAGTGAAAAACAGCCAATCGTATTTTTTTTTTATAAATTATAGTAATTGCTTCACAGCTTTTGTGGAAAGATACAGCGGATTGAAAAAAAAGACATGCAAAGCTGGTAAATTTCTTATTTGAAATAATTAGAAAATGCATAACTTAGTTGCTTTCTTGGTACATGAATGTGAATTGTGAAACAGAGAAATTTAGGTGTAAGTTTTTTCAGAAGTTCCCTAAGCCAGTCTTAGAAAAAGAGCGAATCGTTTGATGGGGGCGTGAAGGTTTTACACCTTTGCTTTTGTTGTCCGACAATGGTCTAAGAGAAGCTTTTGTGGGCTGTCTGTTAGGTCTTGGGGCGAACACTGCAACAGTGAATAGTGGGCTGATTTGTTTTGGGTCGAACAGTATAAAACCTCCTTTGAAGATTGTTAAGTTCCACCAAAAAGTGTTACTCCGCTCTCTGCAGTCTGCAAATACCCCATCAACAGATTGTTTTTATTTCAAATGGCAGAGTTTATTTGAATATCAACCCCGTATTTTGGTCACCAATCTAATTTATCTCATTTACTCGCACGCTGTGCATCCATATTTCATTTTTTTGTATCAATACGGAAATTCTTGAAATTTTGGGACATCAACAAAAGATTACTTTTCGTTGGTAAGTGACGGCTGTCCAACAGGAAAGTCATTGGGCGGATGCACTTCTCGTTTGATGTATGCGAATTTGACGTCCATTCATGATTTATCTGGCTGTTTGTCGATTCAAATGTACACAACTCCCCGTAATATTTTGTCAAAGAGTTAAATGTCAGTCAGAGTTAATATGTTGTCAGTAGTTTAAAGGTCAGAATATTTCCGGTTCAAGAGAGAAACATCAAGTAAAATTTAATAAATAGGCCTATAGGTTTTGCAATTCACCAGCATAGCTTTAATATTCACAACAAAAAACGCAAGCTTGCTTGGGACTCGAACCCACGACCTCCGGAAAAAATTCTCTCAGTGAAGTTTCACGCAGAGACATGATTATGTGAGACCCTCGCTTTCATATAATACTATTAGGATCACTAATGATGTCATTTGGGGGGGGGGGGGGGTCCTCATATTAAAAAGAAGATGTCACGATCACCCATACACCGTACGTCTATTTGTTCTGCCCAGATGTGTCGTGGCACGATCGTTTTTGCATGTAGTTGTTATGTGCAAACTAGAGCGTGCATGCTCCGTCGCTCAAGCGGAAAGGATATCCGCTGTGAGAAATTAATTTCCGGAGAAGTTTGTGATTGCAGTTGACCTTGATGTATTGATTTTTTTTATACCAAGATCAGTGATATTAATGTATGCTGGTTAAGAAACAGATACGACTCGATTGAGGTATTTAACTCCGCTTGAATATTCAAGAAAGAGACAAATAAGTACCAGGCACAAGGACATCACATTTTATTTTTATTTCTTCGGGCACTATACCCATATTTTTTACTCACATGCACACGAGGCCAAAATAAAAGGACTGCACATTATTTTGCTCTTTGGACTTGAGCAAGCTGAGCTGGACTTACCAAATCCCTAGACAGCCAAACTATGCTTAGGACGCAGAACAATAAGTTTTACTTTGAAGTCAAAGGTGACTTCGTCGCAGTTTATAATTTGAAACCACTTCATTTTCCGCACCGTTTAAAGCCATGCCCTGAAATTGCGATGCAGATAATGTAATCCCTGCTCCAAGATGTAAGACTTCTATGGTGTGAAAACGTATGGCTGCTCTGCATGCCTTGGTGACCCGAAAATGCCCGGGGTTATTTCGCGCTGGGAATTCATAAGATTTACGAGCTTATTGCCACCTTACAAGTTTTTATGGTTTTTATGCTTCGTCCTAAACTTCACTTCTGTTAAGCTGTCGGCAGTTTTATACTTCCTGAGAACGACACGCCATATTCTGTGATTTGATCGAGTTTTTTGACAAAGTGTGTTGTGGCGACAGCTGAAAGTTGGGCTACGGTTATTGTGATCTCCATTATTTTTATAAGCAGAGGAATTTATCTCAAACATGGTCTATCTGCCGATTCTATATTTTTGGTGTTCGCAGAGGCTAGGGTCAGCCTAGTTTCCACTTTTTACCCAGTGACGTAATGACTCACAGACTGTCACTGGTGAAGAGCTAGAACCGGGCAGTGCTATTGTATAGGATTTCTGCGTAAAGCCAATGAATGGACTAATTCCGGCCAATTATGTAGACCAGATGCATGAAAAAACTTCCAGTAAATAACCACACTGAATCAATTAAAAAGAATTGTGTGTACTCTGGGGCCAGCTTTACGAGGTTTGCTTTGTTTTGTACTAGATCGAGTAAGTCATTAAATTCATCCAAATTTATGGTCTCATTCCTTTATACCTTTATTTCCTTTATACAGGAAAACCGCACTTCATATTAACTTATACAAACAGGTCTTTCAAAACTTCCTGTCACAATATAACAAGGATAATTCCCAGCCATTTGTTACACCTTATACCATTATCCATCACAGTGGACGTGTCTAACTCATAAATACACAACCGCACGTATTTGCCAGCAGCTCTCAGAAAAACCCATAAACTCACATCCCATCAACAAACCTAAGCCACTACAGTCAAAATTTCCCACTCTGTCAAATCACTAATATTTTTTCCCCTCGTATATGGAGAGATTATTATTCAGAAGTGCATACCCTCAAGTGTTATTTTTGTTCCTGGAGTCCCGGACGTGGACGAAAGGTAATACGGGACCGTCGCCCCTCGTAATTTGGAGTGGGTCCAGGAGAGGGTCGATGCCTGCCCCTGTCCGCTCCCGGGTCCCGTTCCCACGAGCTGGGTTACGCACCACGCCAAGGTTGTCGGTGCCTCGGTAAAAATGATCAAGAAATGAAATTGCTACCGCAAAGTAATTGCCACTTAATCTGTTTCCGTCTCATTAAAGTGAGGAGAATGATTTAATTGATGATTTATTGTGCATTGCAACCTCGAGCACATGTTGTGGAAATATTGATTGAGCAATTATGTAATCACTCATCAGTCAATCAATTTGCGAAGTTGCTCATCACTGTGTTGCTCTTTTGGATGATTAGTCGGTTAACCAGGTATATCAACCAGCGTGTACCAATAACCCAATCACACGTTATTACACATAGTTATAAATACATACCTTACCCCATACCCTAGCTAACCCTCACCAGGCTCACCCTTGCCCTAACCCTAGCACCAATCCCAACCCTAACCCACAACGACTACTTTTCAGTTATATTTAGTGACGCATCCTATCAATGGTTATCAATCCGTTTTCAATCGGAGTTCGGTTTCCCTTCTGAAAAAAAAAACTTTCCAAAATGAACAGGGCCTAATAGTTTTCCAACGTATCTTGAAGACAAAAAGTACCCGCCAGATCGTATAATCAAATCGTCTAGCATCCGATTCAAGGTTGAAGCACTTTTCAATTTCTCAAAAGGGTTGCCTTGACAACGGTAAAAACGCCTCGGGGAAAATCGAGTGGGATTTCTAAAGTTTAAGCTATGACTGGAAATAAATTGGCAATTTTCCCCCTCAAACCGCGGTCCCATCCCCTTTTTCTTTCCTCAAGGACCAAAAGGCACAGCCTAGGGCTAAACTCTTCTGGAAGAAAAAACCAAACGCCATACTCGATTATCTTCAATCGACTCTCAGTTCGGGGAAAAAAGTTTAAGAAAGGGAAATTTGACCCTGGAAGCCCCGCAAGAGGTTGAAGAATAGCCCTTGAAATATAATTGAGAAGCCCTTTAACACAGCCTGCCTGTTACGCGCTCAAATTCTTTTAGTCCGATTTGCGACAAGGAGATTTCGCTCATTTTCCCTCGTCCACAATTTATTCAACCCTGCAGTGCACTGAGATTTTGGATGTAAGGGACAACACAAAATGCAGAGCTTCCAGTTACCTCGGGCATCTCGTAAAAAGCTAAAATATTATGTCGTACTTCGTAGTAAAATTATGGTATATTGCTGGCTGATGGTTCAATCAGAAAAGCAGCTCAAGAGATTGCAAAGTATGAGAAATGCAAATTGACAAACTGTTTCCATCGTCAAGCGTACAGTGTTGCATTTACGGTTTGTTAATACGGTCCTTTTTGTTATTTTCGGCCAACTGTAAACTCTCTTTTCACGTCAGCAGCCTTTGGCAGAATGTTGTAAAAACCTCGTTTATCTTGTCGGCCAAATAATTAGAAATTCTACTGACACTTTCCGTAAGTAAGAGTACGGAGAGCTAATGGTGACTTAGCTAATGCCGCCTAAAAGGGGTCGTGGCACTTGGGTAGCGTTGCGAGAGGGCTGAAGTCGAAGGTGACGAATCGTTAGGTTGGAGGTTGATAAAGGATCGTATCATAGTATGCCGTATACTATGGTGTCTCCTTTCCTGAAAATAATTTACTAAACTCCGTTCTCATTTTTGCGTGAAAATAAGTATACAGGACTCTTCTATTCTAACCCAACGTAGCCATAAAAGGAGGACAGTCAAACTTTGTTACCAGCTGAAAATCAGTCAAAACATTGATTATTTCTTTGACTGGAAAATTGTAAAAAGTCGAAAGGTAAAACAACGATCGGTGTATATATGTTAGTGACCAGAGTTCAACTAATTGTCCAAGAATAAAAGAACCTGTACAAGTATTAAGAATATGTTGTTTTAATTTAAGGGTGTGTATGTTTCCATTTTTAAAACAGTATTAGCCTTTAATTGCAGAATGGCACATCGGGCATCTACAACAGATCATACAATCATGCACAGTTTTCTTGACTGCTGTAATGTAACATTACACACTATATAGCAACAAATATGTCGAACGCGATATCTGTATTTTTACCCCAAATCGTAAATCTATAAACGGACTCATATATAGACCCAGTACAGACATTTGCCTTTGCTCATCGTCCACGGATCAAAAGTTGAACTCCCTCGACACCAACTACAAATCAACAACCCCACTCTCCCACAAATCGCGCCCGGTTTTTTGCCAAAATTGTTCCGTACCCGGGGGGACTGTGCCGGCCCAAGTGATCTGTCAGTAAGATGGAACGGCGCTGTTTGAGCAGGTCAAAGGTCACGTTCTGAACTTGACCTTCCGAGCTTGAGTTCCACGTGGGCTCCATTACGGGGGATCAGTTCCGACCGGTAATGAATGTTGTTTTTCATTTTCCACTTAGTCATCCAAACAGTGGCCTAGATTTTGGAGTGAAAGAAGGACTTTGAAGTTTGATTTGATATCGAAGTCGAGGCAGACAAAAATCTGAAATCTTTGTGTTTTATGGTACCAATTGCAGGAGTTAATAATCCTTGCACAGCACCTTCCCAAAACCTATGCCTGTGAGTTTGGCCAGGCCTGTTTGGTTTGTTTTCCCCAAGCAAAATTCTGCACTCCCAAAAATCTGAAATCTATAGTATATTTTTGGTGCCAACTGCAGGAGTTTTGATCGTCCAGCAGGACCTTTCCACATTGTCTGTGAGTTTGGCCAGGCCGTATTTTTCTTTTTTGCTCCAAGCTCCAAACATACTTCTCCTTAACAGACTTGCGGTCAACTCTCTTATTTCCAAAGATTTAAAATGCACTCCATTCTGGTGAAAATCCACTCCATCTGACTGAGAGACTAGGGGCAATACGATTTAGAGTGATTTCAATAAATGAAAAAGGTCGAGTTTTTCGCTGATCAAGTTTCGACTGAAATGATTCTTTTCAAAGAATTTTAAACAAAACTTCGAGCAAATAGCCCGGTGACATCGTCAAATCCCAAGTTTCACTCTTTGGAAATTGCTAGAGAACAGTTCCAAGATGCACTCCCGTTTTTTCCTATTAAAAAAAGAAAAAGGAAAAAAAAAAAGAAAAAGAAAAAAAAAAATCTTAACGAAAACAAGAGCTGTTTCGGTGTGTACACCGAAACAGCTAAAAAGAAGGAATAGTTGTGTAGGCCTACTTCATTGAACAGTGTGTAGGGGCCTAGTGAATAATACACGAATGTATAACAAACATGAGAAGGGTCGAGTTGGATCGATTCTTGTGAAAAGGTAGAGTTACTGTGTGACTAGGTATACCTGTATTTGTACACAAAATAACTGCCGTACAATTCTCTAGGGTTTCGCTAACTAACAATAACAAGTCGGTCATGACCGTATTCCCTTTTGAGTCTGGTATCGGGGGAAACCCATGGTGCGACAAGGTAACCCAATACGAATATTCAGTGCGGTCTGCCATTGTGGTTATCAGCACACACATTGCGGTAAAGGAGACCACCACAGTTTGGCCGCAGTGATTGCAGCGCGAGCTCAGGCGACTCACGCTGTTCATACATGTAGGCCTATTACGACCAAAATGTCAGAATCCATTGCGTCGTATTATCATTCTGACGAATTTTCTTGAGCACGCATGTAGGGTATTTAGGGTATTAGGTTTCTTTGAAGCTGAATGTGGATATGTAAAATAGAAAAGATACCAGCAAGAGCGGGGAAATCGTTGTTTAATTAAATGAAAATTAACGACAAGTACCGTGGACCATACCTTGATTATTCTTAACTGAACATACTCGACTGGCTGTCTTTTGAGGAATTTTGCATCGAAAGATGTAAACTTAAATTTTGACCAATAAAAAGATCTTTTTTTTGGGGGGGGGGGGGCGGCATTCCCGAATTACGAGCAGAGAGTGGGCACACGTACGAGGGCACAGGCTGGGGGAGATGATGTGCCATCATTCTTCCTTGGTTACTCCAGTGAATTTTGCCCTTTATCCGATCACCGACGTAAAGCTGCAGTCCGCGAGATTCACAAGCTTACTTTGGAGTTACTCGAACCCACGACAGTCCTGCCGACTAGTGCAGTCATTTACTGAGCTGTGTTATGAAATATTTAACTAACTGGTCTATTTCCAAAATCTTGAGACACGTTTTCTGCCTTTCCCCCAGGAAGCAATGAAAATGGCCTTGCAACTGAATGACCGTGCCATCCAAGCTAGATGCCTGTGTATCTTTGCCGACATTCACAGGAAGAGAGGCGATTGTGAGGTAAAACATTGTAATGGTCCTTATAAGTGTCACAAGACTAAAGAGCCAGAACTACTGAACGTCTATATTTTGGTCTGTAGCTCTTCTATGGAAAGTATGGCATTTGATTGATTTGCCTATAAAGTTATACACGCTATTAAAACAGCAAGTTTGTGAAGTCTGCTTTCTTTGATTTTCGAATGATTTTCAGACTTTTCCCTTCCATTGCGTGTGACCTGGTACTGTATCCACCAATATTTTGTAAATATGTCCTGAATGACATAAAGAATGAGTCAGTACTTTCGCATTTCTCATACATATTTCCCATACTTTGAGCGAATGTCGTTAGACTATATATGAACATGGAAATGAAATGTTTAGTTTGTATGCATTCAAGCACAGAGAATCCTATTACCCGGTACGTGCGTAGGAATCCACTAAAATGTGATACGCCGCACGCCAAAGGCCTAGCAAGCTAAATATACATATCAAGTTATTTTGGGGAGAGCTGAGTAATTCGCCCGAAGAAATGTAGATCGTCTTATCATTCCTGAATTCCAGATAAAATAAACACACCGCCGCGACAGCGTTTAAACAAAAATATATTCTCGGTCTCGACTTTCAGTGATTGTTGGTGTAAATAGCTGACTGTTGGTGGCGCTGTTTATGTTGAAAGTTTTGTACGGATTATATTTTTGAGCGGGTGAGGGCGCTGTAACGACGCAATTTTCTGGGTACAGACAACAGAGATACCCCGTACACTGAAGCTACTTGACAACTTGACTCTAATGTAAAAATTACATATTGTGAGAATGTAATTTTTGAATCATAAAGATGTACACTAAAGGCTGGCATTCACAAATGATAGTCCCCCCCTCTCAACGGCGTCGTTACATACAGCGCCCCCATCACTCAAAATATCGCCTTTTGCATGCAATAATTCAAACGAACTTTTCTATTCACTCGTATAGCTAGAGGTAGTCTGTGGAATATCCCCCTTTATCCCCTTGCACAGCAAGGGGATATGATACGCCAGCAGATTCGGCGATTAACTATGCAACACGACTGCGTCTTGACCTCGAAATTCTGCCCATTCAACGGGCGCCTTCTATATCGGGTCGTCCGTAACCCGTTGTTGTATTACAAAATCACGGCATGCAAATTGACCAATCCACAGCTTAGTCCACACCTCTGATCGAAATGACGTCACTGTCTCTAAAGACCACTCTGATTGGCTGGCGCGCGGGGTCGCATAAAATGTACATGCTATGATACATCAGACGTTCAACCGTGGCTTAATTGCCCACGTGAAAGTCTGATCCTCAGACTAAGCTAGAGGATACTATTGTAACAATTACTATTTTTTAGGGGACCTTCGTAAATTGGAATTAAAATCTCAACGTTCCTGAATGGGAAGTAGTCACTTCCTTGAATAGACTTTGCACATGCTTTAAGTAAGGGACTTACAATATATCAAACAGGTTTAGAGGTATTTAAATGATGAAAATCTAATCTCTGTTTTACGCACCATCTGGACGTAAATTTCCTTTTGACAACTGTCTGTCTTTTAGTAATGAATTTTCATCTATTTCCTTCACCTAGTGTTCCAATCTTCTTTTGCCTTATTTCGTTTCCATTATTTTGAACCAACAGAGGGCGTACCCACGCTACGAGTCGTCACTGAGTATCGCTGTTGAAGCGGGAGACAGACTCGGCCAACTCCAGGTCCTTTCGGGAATGGCCAAAACTTTAGTTCTGATGAAGCAGTTTCAGAGGGTAACAATATGGAAAAATCGAATTTTAGACGTAGTATTTTGTAGAACTTAGGCTTTTCACTTTTAACTTTATCATCAAAAGTGTATGTCAATCATTTCAAATATGTTTAGAAGTTATTTCCGTAGGATTTACAAAAAATTCTTTTCGAAAGCAATGTTTTGCAAGGCACTACCTCTTAAGAACTCACGTCTTTTGCATTTTGGCACCAAAGTTACGTCATGCATTTCCAAAGACTGTATACTTTTGTTAGCAGAACTCATCTTTAGAAAAGACGGACATGGTGTGGGTCATTTTGCAAGAAGTACTACCCCCACGTTGATTCACTCGGCGCTTTGCTTTTGGTCAGTGGCAAAAAAAAAAAAAATGTTACGATGGGTTTAGTCAATCCTCGATCGAACCATTATACATCACTTGGTGAAAATAATGTGTCTTGATTATGGTTTTGTTGAATAGGCTCTTGACGTGAATACCCAGGCATTGGACATCGCCACTTCAATCGGAAACAAAGTAAGTGGATATGCCATCCCAGTGGCAAGTATGTCGACTTACGGCACGCTGCACGGCAGGTAAAGCATGATCTGTGTCCCCAACTCAGGAGCTTTTTCTGTAAAATTGCGAATTGCTCAAATTGACCACGAAATCATACAGTATTTACTGGGTTTACTCCCCTTTCAGAGTAACAAATGAATCCGCTCAGGATTGTAGCTCACTATACGGTGCGTATCCAGTGAGAAAACAGAGACTGACGGTTTTGAACCATCTGCCCCGAAACCCAACAATTTCGCCTTAGCCGGCAGCATAAGTGGTCAATTTTTGGCCCAAAACTCCAACTTCGGTCAAGTGTTCACAAAAGGTGCACAGAGGCCAGAAATGGAATCCCCTCAAGATTTCGACTCACTACTGTGGGCATCCAGTGAGATAATCAGAATTGAAGGTTGAACCATAATGTGCCCCGAAATCCAAACATTTTGCCAAAAGCCGGCATCATCAAAAAAGTCTTTTTGCCCATAGATTGAGTCATTCACAAGTTAATCGCAATTTAGGTCACAAGTAAAAGGGAATGAAGAATGACAAAGGAATGCCTTTGCTACAGCTCTCACAGCTCACACTTGACTTGTGTCTGGATGACTTGTGATTGGTTTGTGATTGACTTGTGATTGACTCTTACTGATGATTAATGATTGAATGTTGATGACTTGTGACACCTTACGACGGTCTGACTTCAACCCAACTTTCTATATACAGATGTCCATGCTACGGTCCCACTGGCTGATGCACCAGCTGTACCGTGCCTTAGGCAACCCCAAGGCGTCCCAGCAGCATGCCTCGGCCTTCGATGGCTACCTGAGGGATCTGTCACTCTACTGCGGGGTGTGTCATGAGGTCATGGGTAGTCGACATGACAGTCTGAATGTCCTGACCTGCTGTCACATCTTCCATGCACGGTAAGGGGGACGAACTCGGGAGGCCTAATTAGCAATACGGTCACACAGTGTTTGCGGAAGATGACTACTGTGCGATTTAAGCAATGTCCTCGGACTAAGTATTTCTTTAGAAAAACCGTCTGCAGCAAGTAACATTACAAATACCAAGAGCTGAATCTGCCCTGTCAGACAACATTTGTCGGTTACAATAGGCCCTACAGGGTGAGTCCGAATGATCTGGACCAAAGTTCATCATTTTTTGTGTGGCAAATGAAGTATAATGAGAAAAAACTGAGTGTTTCATATAGATGGTTATTACCTTGTCTTCCACAGGAATTTTTCAAATTAGTGGCTGTGGTGAGGGGTTATGCCATTTTTTATTGAAGTGGCTCATTTTCCAGTCAGCACACGGAATTGGTTTTGCCTTTTTTTAAAAAATGTGTTAATGACCTCAAGTGAGTCAGCCACCATGACTAGGTTTTTGTTTGTAACCCTGCTTCACATCAGTACGCGATTTCAATAATTTTGTTGAACCATGGAACCGTGGTGGTTTGTGTTTTAGCGTGTGTTCTTTGCTAGCGCTTTTCTTCAAAGTGGTACAGTGGATATACATGGAACTTTCACCAGATATGTCCAAAATACCAGCCTATAACATATCTAATTTGCACTTGTTTTGATAATTGCTACATATTTTAAGTATTTTCTTTAATTTGGGCCCAGATCATTCTGACTCACCCTGTACAACCACACTTTAGAATGATTTGACATGTAGCTTGCCGAAAGAAGAGTGCTCTTCCCCTAACCGCAAAGTGAGATATTCCACAGTAAAATAGAACATATTTATACAAGAAAGAACAACATTCATACCACTCGCTTCTGTTAGAGTCATTGTTCAGCTGATGGTCGGAAAACCTTTTTAGAAGTGAAATAAGATTGCTTTAGTCTGAAAGGAATTCAGGTTTTTCTAAGCATTTTGAGGTCCATTAAGCTAACCAGTTTGATTTTTTTCCCGAAAACTTGCAAGAGAATTCGTGAGAATCCTGTAACGCGCGGACGGGGCAATCATAATTGCTAGACATGCAAAGCGATAATAGCCTCACGAAAATATGAACCATTTTCATCCAAGACTCATGGTGATAATCACCCATTGACTAGCTTTCTATTATCAACTATGGAAACTTTTTAAATATTGGAAAATGACAGAATATTACACACATATTCACTTTTTCCCTTCCATTTTATCCCACCCAGATGTGCGGAAACAAGCAGCTTCAAAGCTAGGGGCTGTCCGAACTGCAAGAAGGTGTTGACAATACCGATATTCGTCTGAAGATGTTCATCTCTGGCATCTTCAATTTTGAACCGAAATCTTTCTTAAAAAGAAAGCGAGAACTAATTGCCTGTGAAATGGGAGATATCCTCTCCGGGCGGACGAAACACGACTGAAGTAAAGCAGCTGTATTGAAGAATGTTTGGATGTATGGTCTTCTTGGCCACCTAGCGGCAGCATGGTGTCAAGTCCCCGCGGGAGGGCTTGACAACTGAAGAGCACTTTCGATCAAGAACTATAGGGCAATGATAATTTGACTTCGTCTCAACGAACTCGCACTATAGTGGCATCCTCGCTAGCCGGAGTAGTCTTACTCCTGTATGTCTTTAAGACGGTATATCGGGGCAAACAGAATCCACACATTTACTGTTTTGACATCGCGCGATTAACTAAAGGTCAAACTTTTGTTACAAAAAGCTGACCACCACACGAACTCAGTTTCGGTAGGGTCGGACAACCGTCCCTAAGCCTCGCGATACATACTGGGTTTTGGCTGCCATAGGGTGGGTAGGCCATGATGCAGCACGGGTTCTGGCCCAACCAGTCTTCACTCCAACAAAGACAATGGCATCCACAAGGCACTGAATGGAAATTCTATGGTGTCTGCGACAAAATCCTCGAAATTTCGTGCTCATACGTAATACGTATACAGAACGATTTTTTGGTCGCCTAAGCAATTTGCAACAAAGGCTACACGTCTCCTATTGGCTAACAAGCTCCAGAAAAAAATGATCTCTTAAATATCCAGAATCCTGAATATTCAGTGCGAAGGGAACGTCACAATGTCTACGCAGACAATCTGATTGCCTAACGGCGAGTGTCAAAATAGTAAATTAGTGGACTTGGTTTGCCAGGGTAGTCTACGAAATGGCTAGCATGGACTGTTAGTTGAAAATGGTTGGACTAGTCTAGTATACTAGTCAGCAACTATGGTACCGAGATAATAGAACAGTTATTGGTCGATCGTAATGCCCGGATGTTAAAAGCCACGTGAGTCAGCTGAAAGCAAATTCTTTTAATAAATAAAGACCACGACAATTGACCAAATTTTCTAATTTCAAATTTGTATATGTAGATCAGTTTTATAAAATTACTGAATTGTTTCAAATATCTTATAATTATAATTTAAATTGGTTCTGCGGAAGGAACTAGATTAGTTAACATAAATGCATGCAGGCCTATCGTTTTAATTCATGTTCAATGTTGGTACATCAAATAAAACGAAAACTAGGAACGACATTGACATTGGGTTTTTTTGTAAATGTTTTTTGATACCCGTTTATGATGCGCGCAGCGTGTCGCTTAATTAGAACGTTTTAAATTGGTCCTCTTAAGCGAGTCCAGGAAAGAGACACAAAGATTAAGTGGTGCCGTTCATGGTGTGTTGGGTGTTCTCCACACCGATCGCTAAAATATCGTCAAGGTACTCGTCAAAAGTGGCAGTCGTTTGAAAGTCTTCTGTTGGCAACCTCGTTCCCATGGGTGCGAGATCTTGCTGCGCCATGTTGTTTCCCATCATGCCTTGCGCGATGAAGGAACGCGCACGCGCCCATGGAGTCGCGGCTGTTCTGTTGGCATTTTGGCTGGTCAAACAGGGCCAGCCTAGTGCCCCATTACCTATCTCGCTGACTGACTAAGCTGAGCAGGCTGAGTGTCACTCGTGACTTCGACTGATTGTAGACTGGTGAAGAGACCCGGGCAGTGCTATCTTATAGAATTACCCTGTAACATCAATGAATGGCTTAAGTTCACCCTAATGTATAAACCAGATGCATGAAAATCCTTGCAGTGAATATCCATAATATACAAATAATGTTTGTGAGTGCAGTGGTAAGAATAATTTCATGAACTGACAACGTTCCATCTGTCACCGAATGAAACGATTCTTTCCACTGCAAGAATGTGAATCATTCATTATTTGTTTTATTCAACACCTGAATAAATCCTCGTCATCTGATTGGACAGAGCCACCAATGGTGTGACAGTGCAATGGAACTTCCATTTACAGTGTAATGGAACTTCCAATTTTTGTCGTGCGGCCGCGCCTAGCGATGGGACGAATAATTCAATGACACGTGATCAACGACCCATGCACCAATCAGATGACGGGGATTTATTTAGGCGTTGTAACATGACTTAAGTGCATTGTGCGCTCTGCATAGCTTTGTGTCCCCTCTGTGCCTATCTGACTGACTGACTTTCACTTATAACTTATGGTTTGGAACCCTAGTCTTGTTTATAAACATGCCGTGGTATTGCACCAGTAAAAACGTCGATTCCGGGCTAAAACAGGTTGGTTTGCAGCATGACTTGGAAGAACTCTTCTTTGCTGACGAGATCATCGCCATTGGTGTCGGCCTCATCCATCATGTCTCTGATCGTACCATCTCGGAACTTGAGTCCCGCCGCCTGAGATGCCTTCTTGATGTCTTCAAAGGTCAGGTGACCCTTCTCACCTGTCAACGAATCAGAGACAATGGTGACGTCACTCGAAGTTCACTGGCACATTGCCGTAATGACGTGTTCACGCCTTCTGTTAATACATGGCATGTAGCTAACAATTTTTTTTGGTGGCTTTGTAAACCAAATTTTAAGAAACGCTGATTCTCAATACCGGGAAAGTTTGTTACAAAACAGCTTCCAATTAGCCCATATTTGGTGAAATTTCATCATCAAAATAGGCCTAATGTTGAGTGTTTTATGCCACTTTTAATTCAAAAACTGTGAACTAGTGCCTTAAGGAAGGGCTCGTGACGTCGACAGAAATGACGTTCAACCATGTCGATAAATAAAAACTCGCTGCTTGTATATACTGTCATATTCCGTGTCAAATACAACGGGGCACAGATTTATATACATGTAATTTCTAAAATTTTCAGGAGGGCTTTCTCAGCTCGTTCTGATGTTTGCAGTACTATGCATAAAGTTACGTGTTGTTTCCCCCGTGAAATGTTCATATTAATTAAATCGTTTTATTTTGTATTGATATTTCCCGGACCGTAAAGAATAAGGACTCACCTATGTCCATCATCTTGAAACCCTGCAAATAAGATAAATGATAGATGTGATTGATTATATGATGTGATTGAAATTGCCGTCTATTCATTCTCTTAATTCTGTGATTGTGCATTCGATGGAATTTGGGTTGCATCGGTACTGTTAATTTTCCCGACCGATATCTGCCCCGCCAATCCTCCCACGCGTGTCCTGCCATTATACATGTATTTGGCGAGGAAGGATGGATTGATGTTAAAGTATTTGTTAAAGCATTTTTGTTACAATCGCGTCAAGAGCGAAGTTTCTCATGAAAAAAATAATGACCGCCGCTCTCAATTATGGTATAAAAGCAATCAATGATTGACGATGAACGTTACTTTAAAGACAATATTTCACTACCTTTTCATTGACCCTTTTTGCTTTCCCCAATATCTCACTAAAAGTCACAATTTGAGTAAAACGCATCAATACAATATTTGTATAATACTAAACCATACATTTAAGATTGGTATACTTACTTGCTCCAAATCGCCGTATATATCCCTTGCGTCGGCCTGTTTGTAGACCACCACCTCCAAAAACTGCGCAAATGTGACTTCGCTGCAAAATCCAAATCATGACATTCATGTTAAATTATTTATTGCCAGTGATATCAATACCAAGGTTACAAAAGTTTTTAGGACCTACGAGATCTTGATTTTTGTTCACATTAAAGGGGGAAACGTCTAAAGGTGATATCATTTAATTGATAACATGTAATTTAAGAAAACATACATGTAATGTACTTTCTTGGTAAGAATTGACGAAGTACAAATCAGTACTTGGATAACATTACTGTGAATTTTCTACAATATTTCATTTGTGCTTTTCCCTGTGCATGAATTTCACGACTTTCTTCCTGAAGATCAGGCACTACCACAGAATTCTGCTTGCAGTTATTTTCCTCGGTATTAGCATGAGTGACGTCTTTTTGTAAACACATACCGTTTTGGTCGCCAAAATGAACCTGCTGTGATTTATTCCCGTGATGAATGCCTTTGTTATAGCGCTCAGCAGTCCGTGCTGAGAAGTATTGTTTTCATCTGCTTTCAGGTGTCTTCATGCACATTATTCTCCTACTTATCCATTTCTTGGGGATTCTTTACTTTGTAGAGTCGTGTTCGAAGATCACGTGCTATACCCAATGGTGGATCCAGAACACAATTCTTTTGGGGGAGGCAAACAAAATTTTGGTCCACCAAAGTCAAAATTTTGATCCCCCAAAACAAAATTTGTACCCACTGTTTTGTTTATATCATTGAGTGGTCGGACTGAATCATGCCTCTGTATACTTGAGACTTACCGTCGAGGTGCCGTCCCTCCATTCACGTCAGCTGCAGGCAGAACAGACAAAGAAACATGGGTAAAAATTTCCATTGTTTCTTTCGCTTCCTTTATCTTGTGTAGTGTCTTCCCTAGTTGCTGTGTTTTCAATAATATTTGTCACGTCAGTAGTGGTTTGTGTTTTGAGTACCTAATTGTATTGCATTAATACTAAGGAAACGAAAATACTAAGGAAAAGAAATCCGCCACTGCGTCTATAACATGAATCCCATTTCAGGTAACAGTGGACTTGCTTTACCTTCCTCAATCCTGCACAATCCTCCGGGACCTCCTTATTGATTTTGAAGGATCTGTAGGATTTTGAGGGATATTTCGGATTCCATCGAATGCACAATCACTAAACAGCGGTGTACAATAGCTTTATGATTATACCAACGAACACTGCCGCAGCGTAAAGTCCATTGTTGCAGAACCGTCAAATATTAAACTTTTATAGATTAAAAAAAATCATCATTGTTCTTGTGAAATATGTGTCAATTAAGGTACCATTAAGCTATATACAGGGGTACTTACCAATCATTTCGGTCAAGTCGTCCTGGGTGACTTTGAAGCCCATCACCCTCAGCGCCCGCCGTAAGTCGTCCGCGTCGATAAACCTGCAATTGAAGTTATTCGTAAACCTTTGCTTGCCATTTTCTAGTGACTTTTTTTCACCTATAAGAATTATAGAAAATGCATATCTTATAATGTAAGTTTTTTTCCGTGGCATTATTTTTCTCCAAGCAAGCGTGACTAGCAAGTATTCTTAAGACCCAATGTTGTCTCACAAGTAATTTGTGAAAATAGCCTACCCTTAATCATGTCAGTCAACAAATTTACATTTTTTTTAAGTACTTGCATGTTTAAAACTTGAAAGCCTTTGATGTAGGTGGCGTATCCGTTTTTCTATTGCAGCTCATTTGAACTCACCCTCTGTGCTCGTTGTCGAATGTATCAAAGACGTACTTCAAATCCCGTACTTCCTGCGGTGTGAGCTCCCCCTGTATTTTGGCGTCCACCTCGTTCATTTTTGTTTCACTTGCAATGTTCTTCAGCATTTGCTTGGTCGCCTGAGGCCGACTCGGGGCGTCACTACTATCAACCGACGTGCGAGCATCCTTCTTGTTTTCTCGCAGCATTCGGCTACCTCGTGCATCGGTTGTGTTTGTCTCGGATTCGCTGGAACTGGATTGTGTCCTTTTCGCAAAAGTGCGGTTCTTGCTTCGAGTGACTTCAACGTTTGAGGTAAACCTCTGTTCCATTTTGAGTTTTGTGGCACAAACGAAAACCTTTGAAACGAGTGATGTTAGATTTACTTTACAATGTCACACTAACTATTATAGTAATAATTGGTTTCATGACTTGTTTTGGCTCAAGGGCATGAATTATTATAGGCCCACATCATTATTTTGATTGCTTGGACATTACAAAAAAATGTCTTTAAGGGAAAAAAAGGCACGAAGCCTGGAAGGGAAAGGTTTTCAAATTCTCCTAGGGCATTTGTTTTGTTATTCATTTCAAGGCACTAGCGCCTTTCGACTTAGAGCTCATTGGAGGATACAATCTATATCGACTATTGGAGGTTGATTGGCTGGTGATATTATTTGCGTATCAGGGGATTCTGTAGCTACTGCGTATAGCTGACCAATTGCCCAAACGATCCGAGCATAAAGTACAAAAAGGGATTCATTAAAATGTATAAACAAAACCACAGAAATAGATTACGCTATACTTAATTCCCAAGGTTTTAACTGTGAATCTTTCAATAGAAACCTACCTTCTGAATGGAGTTTGCTACCGTGAAACACTGTACATCAAGGCTATGGCGTCATTTCACTGGCTATATTTCATCAGATTGCCGACTCGCCCCTAAAATTATGCACGCAGTTTCAAAGGTGAAATACAATACGGTTGAAATACAATCTGGAGTAGGTAACCGTTTTTTAATGACTGTACCTCACAGTAAAATAACTCTTCTACTATGATGTATATCAGTACAGTGCCAGTGTCAATATTCCTCGCGTCGGGCACACAACAAAGCAGTACTGACGAGAGGTAGCCATGGATGCTGCCATATACGGCGCTTATTAGTAGTCTCTTCACCAGACGCAACTAGTACTTAACCGTTCACGATTTTTGGCGTACAACGTCCAACCTTGCGTCCAATAGTTGTTTAGTACTGGTACAGTGGTAGAACACACAAACACTGACAAAAAATGTGAAAAAACAAGGTTCCTTGTTAAGCCAAGATGTGGGCTTTGTAACGATTACCGTCTTTGCAACTTGGAAAAAGTTACCTTGAATTTACATTACTGTTCAGAAAATGTACTGCTATTATCCATTTTTTGATAATTATTCATTATTAAAAAACATGACTTAGGAACTCATTTTGTGATTATCATAATGGTTTATCCAGTAATACACGGATATGCACGCCATAAATCACAGCTGAGCAGAAGGCTACAACCAATCACGCTCCATCTGCAGTATTTGTTCAGGCGCGATAATATTTGCACTATGATCGATCGATAGGTCTAAACAATCACGACAGAGCTATGCAGGTATATAATAGAACCAAATTGGACGTTTAAAGGTGGACTTCACAGTCTTCAGTCAACAAAACCCTGAGCCACCGTCGTCTTGTTTGGCGTGTGGAAAGAAAGGACTAAAATGCACTCTGTTGTATACCTGTTTGTCTTTTTTACACTGCCTTTCACTTAAGGAATTCCCAAGGTATTCCACAGTACAGTTATAAGGATTTAACTTTAAGCCTTCTCTCGTTTGAGCAACCAACTTAAAAATGTTTTGCCGACATTCAAGTGTTATATACTCGGGCTCCTTTAAGCATCGACCTTTTATTTAATATTCGTTCCTGCCTCGCTAAAATTGATTTAAACTGATTCACTTCAGTACCAACTTGTTGGTTTTGTTTATTTAACCCATTTGATTTCTTGTTCTTATAAACACCTTGATTAGGCTTTTAAAGTTAATTTGGGACAGGTAGACCAAATGCCGTGGGGCGCTGTGGTCCAATGGTTATGGTGTTTGACTCCGTGTGCCGTGGTACATGGGTTCGAATCCTGACCGTGGGAACATGGTGCTTGTGCTCTTGAGCAAGGCACTTTACCATTATTGCTTCGTCCTTCGGATGGGACGTAAAGCCGTAGGTACCGTGTGTTTGCACCGGTGCTTCTGGCAGTGGCAGCAATATGCGCCGCAGCACCTAGCAAAAAGGTGCTAGATAATGGGTCTCATAATTATGTTCATATACTTCATTTACCTGTCTTTGGTTGCATTCTCCCCAGCGTTTTTTATCCTTTGGAAAAGGCGCTATATAAATACGGTTATTATTATTATTATGCTATGACAATGACTGATTATTAATTCCGGTATTTTTTTCATCCGAATGGACGGTTTAACCTTGCTTGTTAATAATAATAATAATAATAGTGGCATCTTATTAAGCGCAAACAGGTCCATCATTCGGTGACGCTCATGGCGCTATACAAAGAGTAAGTACAAACTACAAAATTTATAAATGACAAAATTATAAATGACAAACTACAAATTATAAATGCTTGGTCCAAGACGTATGAATTGCAAGGTGCAAGCCGAAGAGGATATTAGAGTGTGAACAGGTAGGTTTTGAGTTCTTGTTTGAAGGAGACCGAAGAGGGAGCTTGACGGATAGAGAGGGGTAGACTGTTCCAGAGAGTTGGGCCTGCGTGAGAGAAGCTGTGGTCACCCCAAGAGTGTCGGGATCGAGGAACTTAGGCCCCTTATACAGTTTTAAACAACTGCTCCAAATGTACTCTAGCAATAGTCTGTCTGTTTCCTAAGATAGATTCGATAATTCAAATCAGGAGAGCAAGCAAATTACGAACTAACTGACAGAATGATCAGTTATGAAAACGAACGTCTTTAGACACCGCAGACATTCTGTAAGCGATCGCAGATTGTCTGTGACTTTAGAGAGGCTTGCAAGCGTGTATGACTAAATACTCGATTGGAATGCAGACATGTCCGTCTTGGGTCTCGACTTGGTATCGAGACAACGCCCACTGCCAGAGATCCTCCAGATATGCCTCCTGGTCCGACTCCGGTATTCTCGCTGTTATGCCAATTGCAGTCTTGAAGAATACTGCAGGATACAAAGACAAAATATGGTCATAGTTAAATATTCCAAAATGATGTAAACCGAGCAAAATTAAAAATGTGTGCCGTTTAGCAAGAAACTACAGAGATGGAAAAATGAAGAAACAATTCTGTGCAAGCACAGAAATTTAGCATCAGTATCATTACGACGAAAGCAGAAAATATCTTACTCTCGTAAACTACAGAGTTGCTAGCTAGCTATCATGTGCCTTTAAACAGAAATTTAACACAAAGCTTTCCTTTTGTCATCGTTAAAACCCCTATTGATTGACGTATGATTTCACAATTGACTGACTTGCTACCCCTGGTACATCTGATCGGTGTTGTAGCAAGGGCGGATCCGGGGGGGGGGGGGGGCAACGGGGACTGTGCCCCCCCCCCCCAAAAAAAACGAACCCAATTTTTTGTTTAAAGTGACATCGCAATAAAGGCAGGCACTGCGTACACCACCATCATTTCCTCAAAAAGTTTTGGTTAAAGTGGTCAGAAATTGCCTCAGATCGCACCACAAAGCATCTAGAATCAAAAAATAAAAATAAAATTGGGGCCCATTTTTTGGGGGACCACCCCCCCCCCATCAAAAAAAATTGTGTTCTAGATCCGCCCTTGTGTTGTAGTCGAGTCACCACGTTTCCATCACTAGCCTGGTCAGAAGTAAATCCGGCCTAAACTCCACTTACAAGTAACAGGTGGCGAGCACCATAAAAAGCTCGTGACTTGAATTGAGACTGGAGATTTTGTGATGGACTTGTGAGGACTTGTGAGGACTTGTGAGGAGTTGTGATGGATTTGTGAGGACCGTGATGACTTGTGAGGACTTGTGGGCACTTGTGATAGACTAAATTCAAGTTTAAACACTGCTTGTGATTGACATGTGATTTTCCCGATTACAACTATCCATTCAGATATAGACTGCTCCTTTCAAGTCAATTAATCAACTCATCAATATCGCACCTTCAGGCTCGTGACCTCTGATTAGATAGATTTGAGTGTGTTCAACCAGTTACTGCGTGCGCACAACACATGTGCATTGATCATTACGGTTAACTATACCCATCATGCATTGCGTCAACTTCCTTCGCATTTAAAAAATGTAAGTGGTCATGGGCGGGCTTGGATAAGGACTGCGTGCGGTGTTTTATTTGCAGCACACGTCGTCAATGGATCATGATTATTCAGCTAATTCGATGTTTATTAATAAGAAAATAACAATGACGTCACACCATTGCTATCAGTCAGTCATGCATGTACATTAAATCATTTCAAAGAACGGCTTTCGTCGAGCTGCCACAGTGGCCTTCTATAGTGGAATGAACTATGGATCGCAAGATCTGTGGTTCGAACCCGTGGCCATTTTCATCAAATATTTTTGTTGCTTGGGATAAGTTTAATTGAAGAGAAAACACTACGAGAACCTAAGTGTCCTTCCATCCACACAGTGTGATAAATATTCATGTTAAGGTGCGTGATGTGATTGGTTAAAAAGACGATGTATGCTTCAGAAAAAAAATACGCGGGCTGCGTGTAGGATGGAATGCTTACATTTTGTTTGGAGTTCCGTGGTTGGCAGACGATGTTGAATCTCACATTGCACCTTCGTCCAGCCACACGTCGCCATTAACTCCTCGGCCTCTGAGATGGATCGTTTCCAAAAGTATTGCGAACCCTTGAAGCCCTAGAATTACAAAATGTTGAAAACGCAATTATGCTGACGTTAAATCTAAATGATAGTGAACACATAATAATTAGGTGCTAACTCCGTTGCAAGTCATATATTATCGCCAATACGATCATAAGGTTTTGGAGTTTAGAGTTTGATTTTCAAATACCAGCTGGGTACATTGCAATTGGCACCCAGCCTCGGTGAGGTCCGTTGGTATCGGTTTATCAACTAGAAACCAAGCTTCTCAATTCAGATGCGAATCACGACAAGATGGCGTCTGTGGTAGGCCGCGTCCAAGTTGGCATTGGCTTGCAGTTAATATTATCAAGGTATACATTTTATATTAATTTAACTTATTTGAATTTTCCTTTATTATTTTAGTTCATTTGTTTCTTTTGAATTGTCTACTTTATTTGTAGGCCTATTTAGTTTATTTGGTTTACTACTGTGCATCAGGAAGCACTCGGAAACCAAACCAAACCAAACCAAACCAAACCAAACCAAACCAAACCAAACCAAATCATAAAAGTACGAAGTTGCCTGCTGGGCGCATCCATGTTTGTTCACAAACCTATCCGGTTCGTTAGTAAAAACGTCAAACACGCGCGTGCACCACTGATTACTGGCGCCCATTGGATAACCGCTCGAGGTGCGTTAACTTCCGGTTCCATTCGTGATATTCTACACCGTGTGAAGTACGCATGGTTGAATTGAGATGATGTCACTCTAACGAACCGCTGGATTTTGTTCGTATTCCGAGTCATGTGTTCAGGTACTTGCCGGTCGTAGCCTAGTAAGCCGGAAGCGGGAAAACGAAGGACTGCAACCTCACGTTTCAATATTACTCGCCATCTTATAAAGCAACCTATTTACTATAATCTCAATTCCCTAATGTGAATTCTGCAATGTCACATCGCTTGGTTCAAATAAGATCAAAACTTTTTTTAACTACCTGTGCGTTTGGAATGTCTGGATTGACATTAACTGCATGCATGGTCTGACTCACCTTCACGTATTCTCCCCAACGGGCGTGACTGCCTAAGAACGCGCGCACATCGGGAGGAAATGTCGTTCGGTTACCAACCATGAGCAGCCCCTCCCCTCCCGGCTTGAGACAAGCCAAGATGCTCCTGAGTGCCTTAGCGGGGTCCGGGCACCAGTGAAGAACGAAGAAGCTGACAGCCTTGTCGAATCTTCCCAGATAGTCTGGGTTGTCTCCGATGGTCTGTGCGTCTCCCAAACCGTAAGTTACACTGGGTTCTGAGTTGTTAGCACGAGCGAAGGCTACCTTCTCCTCTGAAGTGTCGACACCTGAATCAATGAGTACGTGAACACATCGTCACAAAAGACTAAAATGCACTACCCAATGCATTTAAATGTGTCAGCATTTGGAGTGACATTAAACAGGTTGGATGTTATTTTCACATTAGTTTTGGCATGACTGATAGAGCAGAAAATAAATACCCTATGAAAGAGGATTACGTTCAGACGGGATTCCCGATAAAAATTCCTTTAGGCATACAGCAGCTTAAATGAGTAAATTTATCAATGAATTATTCAAAATAAAGGAAATTAAAGAAAGTCGCATCTTTAATCCCTTCTGGGTATCGGGCTGCCCTTTGGAATTATTTTTACCCTGAGCAGTAGGCAGATGGTCAATGTTAAAAGACTCCGTGCGATTCCCCCCCCAACCGTATATTTACCGGTTACACTGCTGACTTTCGAGGCTAGTGCCTTCGTCTCTTCGCCCGCACCACAGCCAACGTCTAAAACGACATCCTCCGGTCGAAACGTCAGCTTGCCAATATTGCGCATTATGATGCCATGTTGATTGTATCTACCACTTTCTTGGTAGTCACCGTTCGCTGGAAAGCTCATTTTGCCAGTTCGTCAATGCCTATCTGGTATCTGTAATATAACTAAAAGTGATTGATATTGAAATAGATATGTAGGCCTACGTCGAAGAGACAATACTGCAAAGTCATCTACCATTCGATCCTAACCATAAGCATTATACTTCAAGCTTAATGAAGTTTAGGGAAAAAAGTGGGTACACAAGCGATTGCCCGCGAACTAAAAAACCCCAAGACACACCACTTGACCTTTGACTCATCAAGGTCGTCCAACTGCACTTTTTGTATGCGTTGTAAGCGCGGTCATCCGTGCACAGACTAACGTGCATTCGTTGGCAAATCAGAACCGTTTACAGTCGAGTCTCGTTATAACAAACTCGTTTGGACCTAGCCAAAGTGTTTGTTATATCAGAATTTTGTATTAAGAGGAACATCAGTCCCATCCATTGTGCACATAAATGCACAGTCGGGACTAAGGCTTTATGTTTGTTATAACCAGAATTTTGTATTAACAGAGTTTGTACTATAAACGAGAGTCGACTGTATATCTTAATGCTGCCCATAAACCACCTACACAGGAAAGCAAATCCGCCATTTCTACATCATTATCTTGAATGGGAATTTCGAGGGGAAATGATGGCAGGCAACAGGCTTTGACCTGAGTAATACTAGGGCCTATAATCATTGTGTGATAGCATAGTAAGTGCACTATTTCGTCGGGTGACGAAATGATAGGGTTCGAAAACGTCAACGATGTAATCTAGCTGATAATAATGGTTGAGTCATGGAGGTAGAATTCTACCTCCATGGTTGAGTTTATAGATAGTGGACTTACCTACTTATCTGACGTGTTTCAGATCATCAGCCAGCCCTAGGCCTATATAATTATAGGCAGGTTCGTGGTTCCAGAGCATGCAACTAGCAGCATTCAAATGGGATATGGAACAAGTGCATGCGATTTTGTGCAGAGTCACGGGCAAATGGTGTGAAAGTTAACTACGGGTTTATTGACCCGGCGCAGTATACCCCCGCACAAATTAGGACAATGAAAACTGAGTGACCGAGGTAAGGCACACAATAGGGGATTAGGTTTTTAACGTCATTCGCTCATGGTGGTATTATTTTGGTATGAAAATACATACGACCTTTTCGTCTGGCTCTCCATTGATCAGTGGCGCAGCCTTCGCGTCGCGCTTGCAGTGTTTGCGCCTATAACTGAAGGCCCCAAGCATGGAAGACTCCACGTGACCGTATGATTCCAACTTTCCAAGTACTCAGTAGCATATCCGGAGGCTTTTCGTTCGTGGTGATACCTTTATGGAAACTGCTACTGTGACTGCAAACACCTATACGGTCTAGGTTATACGCAACTGCTCAGTGCTTGTTTTACAATGAATTTTTGTGCTGATTGAATTATCGGTAAGGCGTGCAAAATCAAAGAAGTGCATGCTCACATGTGTGATTGTTTGGTTTATTACAAAAGCCATTGTCGGTCATGTTCGTGTTCAGGGGCATATAGTGGGGGTGCCACACCCCCATTTATTGTTTTGTCAATATCGTGTCTGTCGACAAATGCCTCAACGAAAATGCAGCGTCACCTATTGTCTGATATTGTCCGATATTGTCCAGTTTCGTCCGAGTCTGTTTTGAACAGCGCCCCCATTTTGATTAGTTGGGGGACGATAATTAGCGTCACCTACCTTTCTTTGCCAACCATTGTTTTTTTTTTTTAATTCAATTAATCATATCGTCGTGTGCCCGGCAGAAGGGCATATGTGCATATATGCCCTTATGCAATAGCGCGTAATGACCAAAATGTTCCCAGCAAAAGGGCATATGCAGAAAACTGCCTCTATTTGAATGAAATTTAAACATTTTCATCAGAAATTAATACAAGTTGATCCAAAACTTATGATTCATAAGTGTGACAAATTTCAAATTCGTACGATTTATATTTCGTGTGGGAAAAATTGGATACATAATGCACGCGAGGGAACAATGGAACCTTTCAATGCAATTTTCTTGAAAATGATTTTTTTGCAACAGAACGCTCATACGCCCTTCTGCCGGGCACCCGATATATTTATTTATCTATTTATTTTTGCAAGTAACAAGACGGATAAAAACACAAAAATTACATATATTTGTTAAATATATATGGTTTGCACTTTTGTCAACCAGTGGTAGGCAAACTGTGAAAGGTCAATGATACAAATATAAATAAAGGTTATTAATGTTATAAGGAAATGTTTTTAATATTTCCAAACATATCATTTGATTGTTGCAAATACAAAATAACCCACAAACCATACCAAAGTCATAATATAAATGCCTCTTTCTTACATAATGAGGGTGTTGATATGCATTTTTTTGCTAAATTTGTTGGCCATCCACGGCTTTAATTTATGCGCTTGTGGCAGTCCATTCAAAATGGTGCTCAGAGTTTACAAAAAATAGTGGTTCAGGCCAGTATAATTTATGCTTTAAATTGCCTACGCCAAGCAAAACGCGATTTGCATGCCCTCAAATTCTCAGGTATTAAAACATTTTGACTGAGGGCCATGAACTTCACGGTTTGTACAAAAGAAGGGTGGAAGCCGTGCAGAGGACCACGAGCTCGTACATTTTGTATATGTATGTGAGATTCGGATGAAACTAGGCCCTAAAATTGCTCTATTTTGCAATGGAGCGTAGGCATCATTCTTCAAAATGGCGATGGGCTTAAGGACTACTTTGAGGGGTGATAATCTTTTCTCCCAAAAGTCATTGGTTAAGGGGGAGTCATGTTGGCGTTGGGGAGTCAGGTTGGCGTAGCGACTGTCCTCGCCTTCCACCGCTGTGGCCCGGGTTCGAATCCCGCCCACGCCAATATGTGGATTGGATTTTCAGTCCCTACCTGATTCCGTGTTTTTTTCTCAGAATATTCCTCTGGGCTTTTCCTCCCACTTCTAAAACTGTAAATTCTTCTCATTGTCTTCTCTCTAGCTCCAGGCAAGTTCTTCAGGCTTTCGAGCTACAGTGCCTAGGTCACTTTTTAGGAATCCTTTGTTTCATTACGAGAAAGAAATAGAATAAATAAATGAAATAAATAAATGTCTCCAACACCTTAGTTGCGAGTACTTTTAATAATTATTGTAAGAGCGCGTGATTATCACTGAGGTCTATGGAAGTCTATTTTACTGACCTGCACCCCTATTGTCGAACAGCGCCCTCATTTGCCAGATGGTGTCCAGTCTTTCCAAGCTTCAAGGTTAATACATTTTCAAAGACCCCGATGATAGATGTCCCCACTTCAGAAATTCAGGAAAAATACTCACAACTCTGTGAGGTGTTCAAGACGTACATCAAATTAAAGCTTTTTTCATCATCTTTCATTTTCTGTTCAATAACTTTTGGGAGAAAATTCCATCCAAAGATGCTCACCCCTAAAAGCAGTCCTGAAGCCCATAGCCATTTTGAAAATGGACGCCTACGCTCAATTGCAAATTAGAGCCATTTTAGGACCTAACCATCACGTTTCACAGAAATACGAGCTCGCAGTTCCCTGCATGGCTTCCAACCTTCTTCTTCTTCTTCTTTTTTTTTTTTACAAACCATCAAGTTCATGGCCTTCAAAATGCTCTAATACTGAAGAATTTGATGGCATGCAAATCGTGATTGGCCGGCGTAGGCAATTTCAGACCGATTTACTGGCCTGCACCCTCAAGTTCCAGCACGAGTGGCCTGTCGGCCATTTTGTTTTCACAGGGACTCCCTCATTCAAATTGTTCTGGCGACGCCTGTGTGCTCGATGTCTTTTGTTACAATGTATCAGGGTTGCACCTAAAGCCTATCGAAATTCGCAAAAGGACCATTGACACACCTAGGGTTAAACGGATGGTCTTGGGTCAGCACACACATCGATTTTACTGTATGCGTAGGCTACATTGTAGTTTACGAATCGAATTTTAAAATTTCAAACCTTGCAGCCAACATAAGGTCCGTAATTAAGCCATCAATTCATTTAATCTACTGAAATCTACTAAAACTGATCGCTTCAATATGTTGAGTACATGTATTATCAAAAATAATCATTTTGTAAAATATTATTGTTATTAATATTATTATTATATATTCGACCAAAATTACAAACACAGAGATGTGCCGGGGCAGTAAAAGTAAAAATACTGTGGTCCGCGGACCTGTTGCCCCACATCAAAGTGCTTTAAAATCAATATACAAGAAATATATATAGAAATATAAAACACCCACAAAGCAAGGAACAACACGTCATTAGGCAAAAAAAAAAAGTCTCCGGTTTCTGGTATGCGCGCGCAAATTTTTTTTTTCCAATATAAAAAGATGATGTCTCAAAACCGCCAAACTCACTGGTTTGACTGGAATCCTGCTGCTGCACAATTTTAACGTGGTTTTAGATGGGGTTATGATCGAGAATAAGCTTTACGTGGTCTCTCTGGACTCCCATATATTTGCACTATGTTTAGTCGGGCACCATTTGCAGTCATCAGCCGACATTTAAAGCAAAAAAATCAGGTAAAAAAAAAAAAGCCGCGTCGCCGCACCATTTTTTGGGCAAGCTCCATACCAGAAACCGGAGACTTTTTTTGGCGGGGGGGCCTTAAACACTGTTTAAAAGACAAACTTCGCACACAAAAAAAGATTACAAAAAGCTAAATAAAAAAATATACAACTCTATATAAAAAATAGAAGTAAAAAATCACGACTGATCAGCCACTGGATAAGAAAAAAAAGAAAGAAAGAAACACTACCAACAGGCATTGGATTAAAAAAAACCCAGCCCCAACCAGAGAAAAAAAAAGAAACAAAAGAACTGCAAAAGAAACAATTGAGGAGAAATTTAGATATAACTCAAACCACACTATGGTCCCAAGCAAAAGACTCAGTAAAAACAAAAAAGATTAATAAAAATTGATACAAAATTAAATACAAATGAAAAAAAATATGTACAACCGCCCCCCCAAAAAACCAAACAAACAATGAAGACCATTCCATAAACAGGAGACCAGTGGCGTAGCTACGGGGGGGGGGGGGGGAGACAGCCCCCCCCCCCCCCATGAAACAACTTGAGGTCTTACCCATGCGAGTTTATAAAGCAATAACAATAATATGTGGAGATAAAACAGGTTACACTATAGATTCCTTAAGACTGCGGAGCCAGGTATGCAAGGAAACAGTTAAAAAATCTATTCGAAGCTGTTTGGGAAGTTAATCATCCCATGGAGGAATAAAAACACATGATCATTCCAAAGTCTCGGGAAGGCGTGCATCGGACTAAAATGCAGCCTCTGCGTTCTGGCAACTAAATGTACAAACTTAAGCGCATCCACATGTTAACCTGGACGTTATGAAGTACTGTTTGACAGTTGACCTCCTTAAATCAGCACTTGGCAATAAAGGATAGTAACAGATATTTTCTACGTGATTCTAGTGTATACCAATTCAGGTGTTGTAATCGGTCAGGGTAAGACATTTCCATTCTCCGTTGCTTTAGAACAATCCGCGATGCTTCCTTTGTATTCTCTCCAAGTCATCTACGAGCTTTTGGGTGTGTAGATTCCAAACTGGCAAACCGTACTCCAAAATCGGTAAAACCAACGACTTGTAGACAAAAGAGAGCACGCAAAGAAATACCGACCGGCCATACTAGAAATCAGACCTAGCATCTTGTTAGCGCGAGAGGTAATATAATTGACATGATTAATCCATGTAAGATGGCTGTTAAGAATAATACCAAGATATACTTGATCTCTTTCACAACTTGAAGTGTCACCGAGCCAGTTTATATTCAGGCTCATCATGATTTTTACTGCAGGTGAATCTGACCACTTCAGTTTTAACGGGATTTAATCGCATTTTGTTGTTAGCACACCACTGAACCATTGTATCAAGATCATTTGCGGCAGAATTTGATCGTAAGGTGTAAAAACCGGTCGATAAATAACAGTGTCATCAGCAGATAATGCACACGGTGATTTAAAACACGAGGGTAGATCATTAATAAAAATGTTAAATAAAATAAGCATTTTGTTATATGCATCATTGTAAAAGTCATAATATGGGATTCATGTTATTAAAACTGTAGAACAAACGCGGGCAATGGAGTGTTTTGATCCATGTTCCCTACAACGGTTTGGCAGCGTGAATAATGATCATTTCAGCTGGTAGTCGGACGTGATCTGGTTTCGACGGCTCCTCATACCGAAACAGCGCCCACTGCCACATGTCATCTAGATAAGCCTCTTGCTCGGACTCCGGTATCCGAGCTGACATTCCCAGACTGGTCTTCAGATAAACTATATGGATAGAAGAAAAAGAAGGCTGTTTTATCGATGTGATTTCAATGTTATAAAGGTATTTCCATGTCAATCTTTCGTTATCTGTGCCCTCTTGTTATGTTTTGTGATTTTTTTCTGATACAAAAGTATTCGAATTAAAGCTTTTAAGAACGGACAACCTAGACAACGCCCTCACGCGTTCGAAAGAATTGAAAGCGTAATGGCAATGTCGATCTTTCGTTGTTTGTATCTGGGCCCTTTTGTTATGTTTCATGATTTCTTTTTTTCTCTGATACAAAAGAGCGGACAACCTGGACAACGCCCTCATGCGTTCGAAAGAAACTCGAAAGAGTCATGACAATTTTTAGATTGTCCATGCTGAATGCTTCCATGAAAGCAAATACTGGGTTCGCCCTTTAGAGACGAAGTTTTTAAGAAACGGGAGGTCGTCGAATCGAAATAGGGTTTTAAATTAACATTTTCAATGGATTTTTGAAACAATTTGGAACCTACGTTTTGTCTGCACATCCGTGATTGGTTCGTGGTGTTGCAGTTCGCATCGCACGTTTGTCCAACCACAAGCTCCTAATAGTAACTTGGTTTCCGAGATAGATCGATTCCAAAAGTGATATGAAGTCCTGAAATCCTGTTCGAGAAAAAAAAGGTCGAACACATATTACTCTTAAACAACACTGTCAATACAACCTGATTTTTTTTTTTTTTTTTTTTTACAGTTCTTGACAACCGGAAAATCTATGCCCATAACTTTCTTTTGAGAATTTTAGAGTCAATAATAACCCACGACCAGATTATTTTAACTGGTTTTCAGTTCCATCCATCTGTCTTTATGCCGAGTCATTTTGACTTGTTTTCCGGTCGAAAAGGGCCAGTCTGCACTCCTCTTCGAACTTATCTCACTCAATTCAGTGACTGTCACTTGTGAATAAGACTCACCTGCTTGGCACAAACAGTTGACTCAGATTTTTTAAATTTTATTTTGCATCTTTTGACATTAAGAAATAAAATGAACAGGAGATGTCAAGGAAAAACAAAGGTATACACTCTAAAAACAGCATTAGTCAGATTTGACTAGAAACCAGTTAAATTTTACTTGCCATTCAGGTTCAGCTGGGTGCAACAGAAAATCTGTCAATCTGACTAGATTTTCCAGTCAGTATATATGGAAAAAAATGTTATGCAATTAAATGAAATTGGAGTCGAACCCAACTATTTTTTTTTCTGAAAATGTGCATGTTTAACTAAATTCCTATAGTCAATTTTCATTTACTATAGGAAAACCAGTCAATATTTTGACTAAGTAGTTTTTCGAGTGTAAAACTGTCATCTTAATGATGTGTTCATCCAGTCCCCTGTTCCAAAAAAAAAAAAAAACATATACAAAGATAAAAAGATAATTGCCCAGTACATACTTAAAAATTGTTGAAATTATAAAATTAACACGATAATTTAAAACACACACAAAAACACATATTCAACATGCAGTGAAAACCCGTTAAAATGTGTTAACATCATTTTACGCAGACAAACAAACAAGCAGACAAGCAAACCAATTCAAGACAAGCCGGTATTAGGCAGAAAGAAAATCAGACACGGACGAGCAACCACACAAGCAGATCAAATCAGACATGGGCTTGCTTCCCCTCCCCCCGGACAAGCAAAAAAAGGAGAAAACAAATAGGCGCGAAATCATATTGTTGTTAAATTAATGGGTTGGGGAGGGCAAAATTAACAATCGGGAAATAGCTGGCAATTGGAGGGCTTTTTTTGGGGGGGGGGGGATGTGCTTTGCCCCCCTCTAGAAAAAAAAATCCTGGCGACGCCCATGAATCAGACAAACAGGTCTCAAACAAAATCAGACTCACAAGCGGACAAAATCAAGCAAAGCAGACAAACAAGTAAACAGAGTCAGACGCCAAGCACATATGCCAACCAAAAAACAGACAACGCCACAAAACGAACAGACATGTTCAGACCATACCAATACATAGACAGTCAGTACCACTGAAAACAGGCGACCAAAAGAGTTATGGGCAATTTTCCAAGAATTGTCAATATTGACCATGGGACCAAGTTTTCAATTTTAGGCATTGGGACAAAGGTAGGCTAATTGCCTCTGTGTGGATGATTGCTTGGCTGACAAAAATGTGTTTAGCGACTAAACACAAATCTGAACACTTTAATTCTTGCCAATAGTTTGTACACATGTTTTCATGCTAAACCAAAAAAAATTCAGCATGACGTGATAGCAAGAAAGTGTTAAGAATTGTGTTTACTCGCCAAACATATTTTTTGTGTATAGGCCAGGCAATTATCCACACAGAGGCAATTAGGCTACCTTTGTCCCAATGCCTAAAATTGAAAACTTGGTCCCATGGTCAATTTGACCTCTCTTGGAAAATTACTCATAACTCTGTCAAACATTATCAGATGAGACGTTTGATGTCTCATTTAAAAGTGGAAAGGCGTATCTTTCAAACCATACCTATATTAGGGCATATCTTTGTTCGTTACTCATTCTACGTTTGACATTCGTTATATTATATTGTTTGCACTTTTTTTGTGATACACACTCTATAGTCGATATACGGCAGGATTATACTTTTGTACCTTCGCGTAAATACCCCACTTGGAGTGGTGCTGCAGGAACTGATTGGCCTCGTCTATCAAGTGAGTGCGATTGCACACAATGAACAGCGCCTCCCCTCCCGTCTTGAGACAAGCCAAGATGCTCCTGAGCGCTCCGGCCTGATCCACGATCCAGTTGAGAACCAGAAAACTGACTGCCTTGTCGAATCGGTCCTGCAAGTACAGATTGCCCCCCATGGTAAGGGCGTCGCCGTGGATGTACGTCATGTTTGGGGCGTGGTTGTTGGCACGGGCGTAGGCAAGCATCTCAAACGATGCATCAATACCTGAAGAAATAAGTTGGTTGAAACAAGATGCGGTGAAACGGATTAGCCCCTTCCAGCGCCCTGTTTGCAGGGCAGACTTGTCGGCCAGACCAAATAAGCCATTTGCGAGTTAAATTTGATTACAATCTGGAACGCTGACTTAATCCAATGCTTTGCACGTTTTAACTTTGCATTCTCCCGACCAAAGAGATTGTTACTATATCACATTATTTGGGGCAAGCCTTATGCTAGCAACGCCCAGCTCCGGCATGGTCTGGTGTCTTTGTTCCATTCTCACCCATTGTGAACAATCACGGATCCTAGACACCAGGATAAACGACTGTTCTGAGCTCTAGTACAAAATGCACTCAGTGGACTTGCCTTAATTGGTTAGACGCGTGATAACGGGCATTAAAACCCGTTGGCGCGTGATCGCGAATTTTCCAGATGTGCCATTGTGTTGGGTTGTTGCACGACATCTAAAACGGAAATATTCATAAAACTGTAAGTAAAACTACTTCTTATTTAAGATATAATTGTTCCAAATTATTTAAAAAATAAATACTTCAGGATATAACAGATGGTATTGTGCAGTTTTTGTCGTCATATAGATGAAGTATTTACCCGGGAAATAAATGTCAAATTTCGAGGAGAACACCGTTTAACCAAATTTCGTTTTTAATTAGGCTTTTATTAAAACGTTTTAGAGAGATAGGATGCCGAACTGATGAAACAAAAACGACATTTCATTGTTCATCTTAAAGCTAAAGATATTGTGCTCGGCATTACCATGGTTATTTAGTTATCACTTATCAGAATTCAATAATAAAGACCAAAAACGTAGACTCATGAATATTCCAAAATATAATTCGCTGGCTTGACAGACTTCGAGGCCAGATCGGGCGAAGAGCCTTGCAAATCTGAAAGCCACCGCGCGCAGTGGTCTTTGTTGAAAAGTATTCATGGTATTTGCCACCAGTACAGGCCGTTATCACGCGTCTATAACCAGGAGTTGGGCCGAGTCGTTCATCCTTGTGTGTAGGATCCGTGGAACAATGTACTGGTGCTGAGCGTCCCTTATAGTCCAGGCAATATAAGGTTTGACCTCAAACAAATTGCAACAGAATTTTTTTCACCACAGTGCATTTCTATAACGTTCCTTAAAATGACATATGAATAGTCCAAAAAAATCCAAGTGGTGGAAATATGCCTAATTTGCATAAATCCAAAATGGCCGCAAATTTTAGGATTTTCACATTGATTTGGTCATATTTCTCATACTAGATAGCTTCTTGAGGAACTTTAAACAACAATTTTAGTCCTTTTACATTGATTTCATCATTATTCTAGTCCTCGGTAAATTTCAAGATCCCTATGTTTCCCAAATTTTCCAAATGCGGTATAATAATTTGCATAAATGCCGTATATTAATTTGCATAAATTAAAGTTAAAATTATGGCTGTCATGTGTGGACATCACAATTTAATTTTCCGTAATTCTAGTTCAGTTATGTATACATCAATATCACACCACAGAGCATCTCTATATGGTCCCAAAAAAAGTAAAAAAAAAACCAAGTGGTGGAAATCTGCTTAATTTGCATAAATTCAAAATAGCCACTGATTATATGATTTTCATATTGATTTTGCCATAACTCTCGTCCTCTCGTCCTAATTTGTCCTTTTAACATTGATTTCATCATTATTCTAGTCCTGGGTACCTTTTGAGATCTCTGTTTTTCCCAAATTTTCCAAATGCCGTAAAACAATTTGCATAAATGCCGTATATTAATTTGCATAAATTAAAATTAAAATTATGGCTGTTATGTGTAGACATGGCACAATTGAATTTTTCCTAATAACTTCTAGTTCAGTTATGTATACATAAATATCACACCACGGATCATCTCTATATGGTCCCAAAAAAGGGGAAAAAAATCAAAGTGGTGGAAATTATGCCCAATTTGCATAAATTCAAAATGGCCACTAATTATATGATTTTCATACTGATTTGGCCATAACTCTCGTCCTACATTACTTTTTGGGGTACTTTAAACGACAATTTGTCCTTTTACATTGATTTCATCATTATTCTAGTCCTGGGTACCTTTTGAGATCCCTATGTTTCCCAAATTTGCCAAATGCCGTATAATAATTTGCATAAATGCCTTATATTTATTTGCATAAATTCAAAAAAAGGAAAGTAAAGTTGAAGTTGCAACACAATTAGGACCCGTGTTGGGACTTAGGCCATGAAAAATGAGTTGCGGGGGTAACTATTCATCAGGTTTTGCACTTTTATTGAGTCTGATTTAAGAGGCGAAAGAAACATATTGAGTAATCTTCATCCAAGAACAGAATGACAAAGTTAAATACTAATTCTAAACAATTAAAAAGGAACATGTAGCAAGTCAATTAAATACAAACACAATATAGTTAAAGTCGCAATTATTTAAGATGTTTTCGCTAAATCACTTAATAGTATCAGTTTCGAATATGAAACTCAAAAATACAAAATACGGAATATTCAAATGAAATGATACTGTAGCTTAACTTCTTATCATATATGATTACTGTGAAGGGAGAAAACAATTGTACTTTCCCTGATAATCCAAGTTCAGTTATGAATACAGAAATATCACAACGATCCATATTTGTGACCTATCATCCATATTGGCTTGCATGCAATGTTAGTCTGATTGTTATCATCTACACGTACATCATTGTATCTTAGAATGAACACTTATGTGGCAGACTATAATCTTCAGTAGCATTAGGATTAATGTCTGGTTGTAGGCGAGTTGGAACAACTAGTGCCACGGCATTCAGTGCAAGTAGTTGAACAAGAGAGGCCAAACTTTAGGCACGTGCAGTTTCTATTCGCACAAGTCTTTCTTACACCCACATCTGATGACCTCAAGTAGTGATGGTGGTGCTGGCGGTTTGTCCGTTTGTATGGGAAGATTTTGCCATCAATGCTGGAGGCAACTTGTTTGCCAACCCTTTCCACTTTGCCAAACTTTGGAACTTTGTAGATGCTGAGGTTGGTGGCAATGTCTGAGCTTCTAAATGCGAAGTGGTAGTTGATAGCTTCACACAAAATCTTCTGTACCTCAGAGAATCTAGACCCTCCGTCGTAACACCACTGTACAGACAGACCAGTGCCTTCTCTCCAGCTCTGATTGATAATGTCCTGTTTCAGGTCTGATCCAGTTTAACCAAAAACTTTAGCTTGTTTACGGAAGCTGTCATTCCCCATGGTTTGCGGAAACACCATGTGCGAATAATTTCTCAACTAAGAGAATGGTTCTCGTTGTTTGTTAACTTCGTTTGCAAGGTATTCCTCTTTCCTGAATTTGCCAATCACGTCACCCTATGCAAAGTTAGCTGTCAGGCTTGGACAATTACAAGCTCCTGATCGCCTAAGATGTGTGGCATCTTTGGTAGTGGGACCATCTTCATAACCATCAAAACCTACAGTTGGATGTCCAAAATCTGCGAGTAATGTAACAAACATAGAGCTGGCATATAGACAGTGCAGATGTGCACCACCATCCAAAATATAGTGCCCTGCTGACAGCTACCCGTCGTTGAAAAAGTAGTTGTGGGTCTACCTGTACAGATTCGTTTCTGATCTGTTTTCAAGTTCTGGTGCCACTTGTTACGGCTTGACCGGTCAATTCTTTTGAATGAATAGTCCTCTACTTTCCTTCCAGCCACGGTCCAATATCTTCTTACCTATATAGGTCTACATGACTTTTCCTATCGATTTGGTTGAAGATGACTCTATAGGAAGCATCGTGTGTGACAACATTCTCTTCGTCCATGCTATTCTTGGCTGCGACATCACATCTCGTGTATCTGGACTTGGTAAGGGTGTAGCACTCCAGAAAATCACGGGGAATGACAGCTTCCGTAAACAAGCAAAAGCTTTTGGTTAAACAGGATCAGATCTGTAAGAGGATATTATCAATCAGAGTTGGAGAGAAGGCACTGGTCTGTCTGTACATTGGTAATACGACAGAGGGTCTAGGTTCTCAGAGGTACAGAAGATTTTGTGTGAAAGTATCAATTAGCACTTCGCATTTACATGTAGAAGGTCAGACATTGCCAGCAGCCTCAGCAGCTACAAAGTTCCCAGTTTGCTTGTCTGCTACCAAATATTAAAGTGGAAAGGGTTGGCAAGCAATTTGCCTTCAGAAGATGGGGGTTAGCAGATCATTGATGGCAAATATCTTCCCATACAAACGGAAAAACCGCCAGCACCACCATCACTACTTGAGGTCATCAGATGTTGGTGTAAGAAAGACTGTGCGAATAGAAACTGCACCTGCCGAAAGTATGGCCTCCCTTGTTCAACTGCTTGCACTGAATGCCGTGGCACATACTAGTTGTGCCAACTCGCCACCACCAGACATTGATCCTAATGCTGCTGAAGATTATAGTCTGCCACATAAGTGTTCATGCTGTGATACAATGATGTACATGTAGATGATAACAATCAGACAATCAAACACTGCATGCAAGCCAAAATGGATAAAAGGTGGCCAATCTGGATCTGTGTAATATTTTTCTATTCCTAACTGAACCTAGATTATCAGGGAAAATACAATTGTTTTCTCCCTTCACAGTTTACTTGTAATCATATATGATAATAACAGAAGTTAAGCTAAAGTTTCATTTCATTTACTATTCCGTAGTTTGTATTTTTGAGTTGCATATTCGAAACTGATAATGTTAAGTGATTTAGCGAGAACCACTTGAATAATTTTGACTTGAACTATAATATTGTGTTTTATGTAATTAACTTGCTACTTGTTCCTTTTTTAATTGTTTAGAAATAGTATTTAACTTTGTCATTCTGTTCTTGGATAAAGATTACTGAATATGTATCTTTCGCCTCTTCTCCATTATACAGATCGGACTCAATAAAAGTGCAAAACCTGTGGAATAGTCTCCTCCATGACCCATTTGTCATGGCTTAAGTCTCAACACGGGTCAAAATTGTGCCATGGATATAATTGTAACTTTACTTTACTTTATTTGAAATTATGCAAATTATAGGTTTTCCCGGACAATTTCGGAAAATGTGTACACGAATTTGTAAAAGAAGCATTCGTTTTCGTGCGAAATAGAATGAACCTTCCAAATCTCTGTTTCTATTCAACAAATGATAATTCTTTTTCCGTGAAGGTGCATTCAGTCGTAAAAAATCAGCGTACGATTTCCCGAATGTGCACTGCATTTAGTGTATTGACATTTCATTTTAGCGCGAAATCGAAGGCACATCCGCAATCCTATTTTCCTTTTAATTTGTCATCAATCTTTTTCGCTAAATGTGCAGCCGATTTCCCTCGCAGTGTTATTTAACGTATGCCTGGTCAAGCATTGGAATTCATTTATGTGTTAAAGTAACATTTGAGGAAAGGTTGATTGAATGATTGAACTTTTGAATATTCATGATGATTGAGCTAAAACCAAGAGGTGTAGTCTTTTGAAACATACCAACTATTGTAATAAATCCTTTATAAAAACCTAACCTTAAGAAAATCTTTTTCTGCTCAGCATTTGCCACAATCGCATCATATAGCCAAGAGTCTCAGTTCACATAGTCCTTAAATATCCAATAATGGCTGCAACAGGGAGATACCGACGAATCTCGGACGTTGACCGAAATCGCCTCATCGATGCCTTTGAGGCTGACGACGCTGACTATCTGCAGGTAGCAGATACGCTGGGCATCAAGCACTCAACGGCCAGATCAATCGTTGGCGTATATCTTCGGGATGGTCGTCGTAACAAGCTGCCGAAAGGAGGACCCATAAACCAGAAGGTTGACGACGACATGAGAGATGCCCTTCAAGGATATCTAGATGACAACCCCCTTCTAACTTTGCGTCAACTCAATACTCAACTGCGAGCTGATCTTCCCGATAAGCCCTTCGTTACCACTAGTACCATCGCTAGAACTCTAGATGGTATGCTTATAACTCTTAAACTAGCGGAAGATGTTCCAGAACAGAGGAATGAGCCACGCATATTAGATGCACGAGTCATATTTGGAAATTGGTTTCTTCAGGTTGGTGTCCTTGGCCACACTGTGTACATTGACGAGACTGGGTATAACATATGGACCCGTCGGTCTTATGGTCGCGCTCCTCGTGGAGAGCCAGCAAGGCGTGTCGTCCATGGCCAGAGAGGCAAGCAAGTCAACATCACGTTTGCCATTTCTGGTGAGGTTGGACAGAATATCATCAGAGACTGTGACGAGAGCGACTTTTGAGGATTTCTTAGCGACGACTGTACAAGAATGCGGTATGTTATTCCCGGCAGGCGAACGCATATATCTGATATTTGACAACGCTCGTCCTCATATCCGAGCCCAACTACCCCCTGATGCCGGCAATTTCACCATCAAGTTGCTGCCCCCATACTCGCCATTCTTAAATCCTACGGAAATGGCGCACTCAGCTTTCAAGGCGGGAGTGAAGCGCACGCTGGGGCTTCCTGAATGGCAGGACAGATTTGGAGACCAAGACGCAAGAGTCCAAGCTGGTGTGAACCTGCAAGTCTGGAGATCCCTCCGTCTCCAGGAGGTGGCTGCACTCAACATTGGAGAGGTGACACCTGCGAAATGCACCGCCTGGTACAACCATTCTCAGACATATCTCCCTCGATGTCTTGGTGGACAGGTCATTGAAGGATAGACAATCGAACTGATAAGACGAGAGAGAACCTTAAGAAATACATAAAGAAATTAAAATACAACTAAGACAATGAACCAACAAAAAGTCCCCATGCAGATCCTATGTAACATGGCACGTGATGTGTCCCTTTACCGTTTCAATAATATGGATACATGATTATTTTTATTGATTTCATATTGGTCATATTTATATCATTTTCACATTTCATTTGCTTACATTTCACATAGGCCTTTGTGTATATAAGAACAAACACATTAATGATCAATAGGGCATACATTGATTAATTAATGAATCAAAGTTGTATCATGATTTGTATAGGCCTGTAAAATTTATTTAAATTGAATGCAGAAAATGCGAATTTAAATTGTAACAAATGAAAAAGAATGTTCAATTCAGCCCATGTCACAATAGACAATCGATTTTCTGCGAATTGGATTGCACATTCGTAATAATCGGCAACTCATACGTCAAACCGAAAACCTAATCACGTATTTGTAATCCCTTAAATGAAACGCTATGCACATTCATTCATTTGATTGATGCAAAATGAAATTGAATGCTAGTTATTGCGAAAATGAAACCAGGATGTACGTCGTTCTCAAACTCGGCGCCAAATTGAATTTATGTTTTACAAATTCAAACGCACATTTTCCGAAATTGTCCGGGAAAACCTATATTATACAGCATTTGGCAAATTTGGAAACATATGGATTTTGAAAGGCACCCAGGACTAGCATAATGTTGAAATCAATGTAAAAGGACAAATTGTTGTTTAAAGTACCCCAAAAAGCAATGTAGGACGAGAGTTATGGCAAAATCAATATGAAAATCATGTTTTAAGTGGCCATTGGCCATTTCGAATTTATGCAAATTAGGCATATTTTCACCACTTGGATTTTTTTCGGACTTCTTTAGGGGCCTTATAGAAATGCACTGTGGTGTGATATTTATGTATACATAACTGAACTTGCATTATCAGGAAAAATTCAATTGTGACATGTCCACACATGGCAGCCATGATTTAAAACTTAATTTATGCAAATTAATATAAGGCATTTATGCAAATTATTATACGGCATACGGCAAATTTGGGAAACGTGAGGATCTTGAAAGTTACCTAGGACTAGAATAATGATGAAACCAATGTAAACGGACTAAAATTGTCGTTTTAAGTACCTCAAAAAGCTATTGAGTATGAGAAATATGACCAAATCAATGTGAAATTCCTAAAATTTTCGGCCATTTTGTATATATGCAGATTAGGCATATTTCCACCACTTGGATTTTTTTGGACTTTTAGTATGTCATTTTAGGGACCTTATAGAAATGCACTGTGGTAAAAAAAATTCTGTTGCAATTTGTTTGAGGTCAAACCCTATAGGCCTATAGCCTGTACTACAAAGGGTATACGTACAGGTCACTCGCAAATGGCTTATTGTGGGGTGATGGCATTGTGTTCCCTTTATCCTTTTTTCTAAAGATTCTCATCTAGGGACTAGGGTGATGTGTTTCTGTTGTAAAAATAGTGGGGATGATGTTCCTGAAAGGACCATCACCCCCCAAGTGGGGTATGGTCAGAACGGGGGTATGGTCAGAACGGGGGTATGGTCAGAACGGGGGTACGAGCGAATACGGTTATCACCAATGTTGTCACTAAAAAGTCCCCAGACATCGCAGCTACAACGCCCTCAGTAATGTGATCAGAAAAATATGGGACATTTTAACTAAATGTTTTAAAAGGGCACTTTACCAAAAAAATATGTAATTGTCAACATTGGCTTTTTCGCCGTAATTTTCAGAAATGGATGGATTTGGGGGTTAGTATTTTCATAGAAAATATATTACACTGACTTGTTTAAAATTATTGTATGAAAAACCACGGAAACAAAATAATGATGTTCTTCTTTACATTTAAGAGGAATGGCAAGTTGCACATTGTGTTCCAGTGCACAATTCATGCCATGGTCCCATTAAATGTATTTGTTATGGACTGGTCACTTGAGGCTTTTTCACAACCCGTCACAAGCCGTCACACAAGTCCTCAAGTCGACTACAACCATACACACAAGGATTAACGACTCGGCCCAACTCCTGTTGCAAGTTAGACGCATGATAACGGCCTGTACTGGTGGCAATTACCATGAATACTTTTTAACAAAGACCACTGCGCGCGGTGGCTTTCAGATTTGCAAGGCTCTTCGCCCGATCTGGCCTCGAAGTCTGTCAAGCCAGCGAATTATATTTTGGAATATTCATGAGTCTGCGTTTCTGGTCTTTATTATTGAATTCTGATAAGTGATTACTACATAACCATGGTAATGCCGAGCACAATATCTTTAGCTTTAAGATGAGCAATGAAATGTCGTTTTTGTTTCATCGGTTCGGCATCCTATCTCTCTAAAACATTTTAATAAAAGCCTAATTAAAAACGAAATTTGGGTAAACGGTGTTTGTTCTCGAAATTTGACGTTTATTTCCCCGGTAAATACTTCATCTATGACGACAAAAACTGCACAATACCATCTGTTATATCCTGAAGTATTTATTTTTTAAATAATTTGGAACAATTATATCTTAAGTAAGAAGTAGTTTTACTTATAATTTTATGAATATTTCCGTTTTAGATGTCGTGCCAAAAGCCAACACAATGGCACATCTGGAAAATTCGCGATTACGCGCCAACGGGTATTAATGCCCGTTATCACGCGTCTAACCAATTAAGGCAAGTCCACTGAGTGCATTTTGTACTAGAGCTCAGAACAGTCGTTTATCCTGGTGTCTAGGATCCGTTATTACCTGTCACACTCCCAACTTTTTTCGCTATCGATTTCGTCTCTTCGCCCGAGCCACAGCCGACATCAAGCACGGTGTCGCTAGCCCGGAACGTCAGCTTGTCGATGTTACGCCTCACCAAGGCTCGCTGTAAGTGTCTCCCTTCGCGGTCGTAGTCATCTATCGCTAAGAAATTCATTTCTGATTTGAGCCCAGCGCCGACGAAACAAACCCACAAGTTGATGCAAATATCTCTTATATGGATATTGTTTAAAGCTATATATTTGACAAGCTTTACACACAGACTGAGACAAGCAGATGTTATATGTTGGCTGTGCTATTGCCAAGTGTGGCCTTTATTATTACAAGTATAAATGGTCAGTGTAGTGGTCTTGTGGACAGTGGTCTGTTACATAATGTCTAGACAAGTGACCTTAGCTGGGGTTACTAGTTGCAACATCAGCACATCAACACATCCCCCTTTCTTTAGAAGTTTTGAGGAAGAGTGTTGCCATAACAAACAAGGTTTCCATAATAGTATCAAGGTTATAATGATCCAAAGAATTAATCAAATTAGTAAAACATGTTCGTGCTGATCATAGTATTTCAAGTTTCATAACAGTCATGTTTTAAGAAATCATTGTTGTAGAAGGAAATTTCATTTGTGTAAAATAACTGCATAAGGAACACTTTCAAAATGATTCTTAAATAAATTTAGTGTCAATGAATCAACATTTGATAAATGTCCGTTGTTAATATATTGGTATAAGTAAATGTCAATTTAACATTATACACCACACTTTGGCCATATTACTTTTAAGAATAATCTAATTATCTATACTATCTACTCTATGCTGGATGTATCTCTAATTTGAACGTTAACTGTAAGTACACGATAGTTAATTTTGCATTAACTGTATAATCTTGCAAAGAACTCTGACTGATTTCTTTTCTTTTCTTTCTCTTATTTTATGTGAATCCATAGTATTGAGGCTTTTTTACTGTTCTACCTGATCTTGTGTTATAACCAGAATCCTTAGGTTTCTCAACTCTTTGTTTCACTTCCATCTCCGAATTTGTGTTAGAACTATCAGGGTAGTCTTCATGGTCATCGAGAAAAATTGGATTTGTGTGTGTTTTGTCTGGTTTGAGATGTCGTCTGTTCCTGGTGTACGTCTGTCCAATAGTGTCTTGTACTATGTATGATCGAGGGTTGTCTCCTATACGAATTACTGTTCCTTTTCCCCATTTGTCATTTTTCCGTATCCATATGTTTTGTCCAACATGCGGTTGTCGCAACTCTTTGTACCCTTGTCATAAGTTTGCTTTTGTTTACGGTTGTGTTCTTTGATTTTTTGAGTCACGTCAGGGATTACTTTAGGCTTCAGTAGTTTCTGCGTCGTGGGAAGAAGAGTCTTTGTCCGTCTGCTAAACAGTAGTTGATTAGGTGATTTGTTGGTGTTTTCCATTGGTGTGTTTCTGTAGTTGAGGATAGCAAGTTGGATGTCGGCATTGTCAGCTGTTGCTTTTCGCAATAACTGCTTGGCTATTCCAACTGTTTTTTCTGCTTTGCCATTACTTTGAGGATATCTTGGTGAGACTGTAGTGTGTTGAAATTGCCATTCTGTGCTGAACTGTTTGAATTCGTGGCCAATATAGCATGGACCGTTGTCGGACACTACTTCGTCTGGTATTCCATGTCTGGCAAAATGCGTTTTGCATAGCTTCACGATGGTTTTGCTCGTGGCTGAATGTATTTGATCGATTTCAAAATAACTTGAGTAGTAATCAACGAGCAGGAAATACTGTTTTCCATTCAGTTCAAAGAGATCGGTGCCCACTCTTTGCCATGGTCTAGTTGGAACTTCGTGATTAATTAGTGGTTCTCGTTTATTCCTTGGGCTGTACTCGGCACAAGTTGAGCATTTTTCTACTTCTTCTGTTATTTGAGTAGACATTCCAGGCCAAAAGAGGATGTCCCGTGCTAGTCTTTTAGATTTTTCAATGCCTTGGTGACTTTGATGGATCTTTCCAAGCATTATTTTTCTCATAGTTTTCGGTATGACTACGCGGTTACTTTTGAATATGAGGTTATCTTCTAGAGTCAGCTCATCTCTGAACTGCCAATATTCTTTGACTGAGTCGTCCACTTGGTTTTTGCTTTCTGGCCATCCTTTTTGTATAGTTTCTTTGAGAGTCTGAAACTGCCTGTCATTTTTTGTTTCCTTCTTTATTTCTTCTAGTCTGTGTGGAGTGATGGGAAGGCAAAATACCATACTGATCGGTACTGTCACGTCACTGGAATCATCTTCTGTCACGTCTAAGTAGTTTCTACTAAGACAGTCGGCTACATGCAAATCAGTACCGCGTACATAATATACGTCGAGGTCGTATTTCTGCAGTTTTAGTAGCATTTTCTGGAGTCTCATGGGAGTTTGATGAAGTGGTTTCTTGAAAATGGATTCTAGTGGCTTGTGATCTGTTTGGACTAGTACCTTACGTCCAAAAACGTAGGTGTGAAACTTATCACAACCAAATACAATTGCTGCAAGTTCCTTTTCAATTTGAGCCCATCTTCGTTGTGTTTCAGTAAATGCTTTGGATGCAAAGGCTACAGGTGACACTTGCGATTTATTGTCATCAGCATGCTGCAGCAAAACTGCTCCTGTGCCCTTGAGTGAGCTGTCAACACTCAGTATAAGTGGCTTGTTTGGATCATAGTACTTTAGTACTGGGGCTTCCGTCAACAATTGTTTGAGTTGATTGAAACATTTTTCATGTTCATCAGTCCAGTGCCATGCTGTTTTCTTTTCAGTTAGTTGTCGAAGGGGTGCTGTTATGTCAGACAGGTTTTTAAAGAATTTACCCAGGTAATTGACACAACCTTGAAACTCCTGTACTGCTTTCACAGTTGTTGGTGCTTTCATCTTAGTTATTGCTTCAATTTTCTTGGGAACTGGTTTCAACCCTTCGTTTGTGAGGACATGGCCCATGTACGTGACCTTTGTCAGACATATCTGACTTTTCGCTTTGTTCAGTTTTAGATTCTTTTCTTGGCATCTTTTTAGAACATTTTCTAGTCGCTTATCATGAACTTCTTTTGTGAGTCCCCATATCAGAATATCATCCACCAACACCTCTACACCATCGAGGTCTTGAAATATCTCTGTCATGATTGATTGGAACAGCTCGCTACTACACGATGTTCCAAAAGGCCAACGGTTGAATCTATATCTGCCCTCTGGTGTATTGAACGTGAGGAGTTCTGAGCTTTCCTTGTCTAGTGGTATTTGCCAGAAGCCTGAATTACAGTCTAGTGTACTGAAAAATTTAGCTCCCGTTAGTTTGTCTGCTATGTCTTCAATGATTTTCATGGGAAAATGAGGTCGCTGTATAGCTTTGTTCAAATCCCTAGGGTCAAGGCATATCCTTACTGCATTTTTTCCCTTTTTAGCAACTGTTACCATCGAGCTTACCCATTTAGTTGGGTCTGTTTGCTTTGTTATGATCCCTAGATCTCTCATGCGTTTCAACTCTTTCTTAACCAATGGTCGTAGCGACACTGGTAATTTGCGAGGAGGATGCACTACAGGGGTCGCATCTTTATCAATGTGAATGTGCTGCTCTTGGTCTACGCACCCTACACGTTCTTATAAGTTGTTAGCAACTCTTTGCTTGGTTTTGGTGTTTTTTCTTCTTTGTGACTTTCTTTTACAGTCTCAACTTTTGCGATCAAACCTAGCTGTTTGATGGAAGGGAGACCAAGTAAAGATACTGGTTTGTCTACAACCTGAAAATGCAGAACATGATATTTTCCATGTCTTTCTGCTAACATAGTGCATCGACCTTGCGATTTAATTGCATGCCCTGAGTATGACACAAGTTTTGTCAAGGATTTTTCCATCTGTGGTTTACCAATCTTTTGGTATGTATCGCAAGACATGACATTACATTGTGCTCCAGTGTCTAATTTAAATTTGACATTGTTGGAATGAGATTGGCCGTTTAAGTGTGTGTACTTTAAATTGAGATTTACATACCACTCTTGTTGTTTTATAGTGTTCGCTGTTATCTCATCCAGCAGGAATTCCTCAGCATCACTCGATGAGTAGTCGTCCTCGGTGGACGGTGCACTGGAGACGTGCACGTCGTTGACTTTTCGACGTGATGATCCATACTTCTTGGGTCGGCGTTTGTCATGATGTTGACTCCGTTGGCGTTGAGAATTGTCCGATGATTGGCTCGGTCCGCTGCTGTATTTCTTGCGGCAAACTGTCCCAAAATGGTTCTGTCCACCACAAACGTTGCAGGTCTTTCCGTAGGAAGGGCATTGTCGGGCGGGATGTTTCGTTTCGCATCTCGAACATGGTGCTCTGGGTCCAGATGACGTCTTTTTGACAACATGGACGGTTGTTGCTGTTTGGTGCTGTTGACTTTGTATGTGGGTCATGTGACTGCTAGCCAGCTCTGCTGCTTTGCAGATGTCGATTGCCTTTGACAAAGTCATATCTGCATCTCGAAGTAGGCGTGCACGGACTGTGTCCGAAATGATGCCGATGACGATCTTGTCTTTGATGAGGCTGTCTCTGAGTTCACCAAAGTCGCATTTCTTGGCTTGATTGCGGAGAACAGTTAAATACTGCAGTATACTGTTCAATTCTCTCGTCGGTCTGTTGGTTTCGCTTCTGAAAGTTATATCTTTCGAGAGTAACATTCACCTTTGGTAGGAAATGCTGCGAAAATTTGTCGAGAAGAACATTGACATCTTCTTTGTCTTCCGTATTATCAAAAGAAAAAGTGTGGTACACTTCTCTTGCATCTCCCCCGACTATGTGAAGCAGAGTACAACTTTGTACATCTTGGTCTGTTTGTGGAGACCAGTCGCTTTTGCGTAGATTTCGAAGTCCTGTCTCCATCGTTTCCATCTTTGAGGATCTGTGGTATCGAAGCACTCAGGCGCTTTTAGGCTATGAACCTGCTGCATATTGACGATACTTTTTTGCCTTTATACAATTTTGCTATTCAAAGGGCTTAACTTCTGACACCATGTTTAAAGCTATATATTTGACAAGCTTTACACACAGACTGAGACAAGCAGATGTTATATGTTGGCTGTGCTATTGCCGAGTGTGGCCTTTATTATTACAAGTATAAATGGTCAGTGTAGTGGTCTTGCAATGTTGCAGTGTCAGCAAGCTGACGTGGTAGACAAGTGACCTTAGCTGGGGTTACTAGTTGCAACATCAGCACATCAACACAGATATCGGGGGGGGGGGGGAGCTCGCAGTGTGAACTTGCCAATAACCTGGAACGCTGACTTAATCCAACGCTGACGTTTTAACCTTGCATTCTCCCGACTGTT